TTACGCCGTGTAAGACTAGGGGTCGGTTCTCCGCGCCTCCGGTGAAAAGACGGACCCGGGGAATTATTAAAGCCCGGAAAAAAGGTAATCCGAATGACGCAAATCCGTTGATTTTTCTCTCGTTTCGGTTGCGGTATTTTCACTGTCCGGATAATTGAGTTTAAATACATCCACGCTTCCGAAGCTCATTCTCTATACTGGACCCTTGTTTCGTTTGATAGCTTGGTCTTAATTCAACATTACCATATAGGAAAGATATTGTGTAACTCTGGCTAAAAAAGAGGAAACATTGAAAAAGTCTCTACTGGGTACTGGAAAGATACTCGAACTTGAAAACAAACTGGCCCTGTATAAAGCTATTCTAAAACCAATATGGACTTAGGGCAACTCGGTGCAATTTCAGCTGAGGAGTGCTGCAACCATTTCAATCCAAAACTCTGAGTTAGTTAGTTTGTTTGGTGTAAATTACTTAGTTTATCAGTTAGTTAGTTAGTTTGTCAGTTAGTTAGTTAGTTTGTCAGTTAGTTAGTTTGTCAGTTAATTAGTTAGTTTGCATTAAATTAGTTAATTTGTCAGTTAGTTAGTTAGTTTGTATTTAGTTGATAGTTTGTTTAGTGTAAATTAGTTAGTTTGTCAGTTAGATAGTTTGTTTGAAGTTAGTTAGTTAGTTTGTCAGTTAATTAGTTAGTTTGCATTAAATTAGTTAATTTGTCAGTTAGTTACTTAGATTGTCAGTTAGTTAGTTAGTTTGTATTTAGTTGATAGTTTGTTTAGTGTAAATTAGTTAGTTTGTTACTCTGAGACTCGTTTGCTTCTCGATGTGTCGTTGATCAGCCGTTTAAAAGATTTCTATTCTGAAATTAAGTTTATTTACGTTAAATACGTGTGAAATAAACGTTCCCTTTGGACGAAAGATCTTTTCACAGCGTCACACACATGACGTGTTCCAAATTAAAAGCACTACCGGCGGAAGTTAGAAACTGGGTGCCAAGTAAGACGAGGTTGCACGAAACACGGGTCGAGAAGTCGACTGACGCCATTGACAGGTGTTTAATTGAAATATCGTGCGAACCTGTAACATAATGATACACGTTGGGACCGTGATTTATTAATTTAAAACGAAAACGATATATACACGAGTGGGTTTAAAGAAATTGAATTGTGGATGACTATGGAAGACAGTCAGGATGCGCTTGTTTGTGGTTTCAAGCGCAGCCAAACTGGGATTTCATCATATTTAAAGTTCCCGACGTTTAATATTTGAAAAGCTGCACGGAGTTATAAAGTATCAGTTTCTGCATTCCCTTTTATCCAAGTTCGCCTTACTGCCCGTAAAGAGGAACTGGAAACACACGTTTTCTACGTTTCTCAACTTTCTACGTGGCTGTCCTACTTTCCGCGAGCGCGTTAAATGGTCGCAGTTTACGGACGAGGTTTTCCCAATTTTTCGTCGTTCGTCGCCTCCCCCCGATATTTCGCTGGAAGAAAAAAAGAGGAACGTCGCACGACGACGCGAATAACAAGCTTTTCGAAACGCTTCCGCGAATTTGACAGCATCCAGACAGTTCCCGTTCCCCGTCGCTTCGACAAATAATTACAGTTATTCGTAAAATTGGGCGTACACGCGACGCGAATATCGTATTTTACGTGCCCGGTCCAGCGAACGATTCTCACGATTTCTATTCCTGCGCAAGAAATCGAAATAAAAGCAACGATTGCGAATTAAAAATTTCGATGCATCGAGAAATTTCGAGGGGAAAATAGTTTTAACTAATTTTTCATTCGCTTGAGATTCTAGAGGCCAAAATAAGATGAAAATCAAAGATACTAATTTGTATATTTTCGGTAAAGTATTTTTTTTCTCGAAAGTTGATAGGAATTCGGGGGTATGTCTATTCACCAAAAGTTATTGTAATTGACCCCAGTAAACGAAAATAATTTTTTTGGAACGATTTGAAACTTTTAAATTTCGACGAAAAATTTCAGGGGAAGAGGTCAACGCATGGTCAGACATTTTCAGTAATTAATTTTTTTCTCGAAAGTGAGTGAGATTTCGGGGGTATGTCCATTCACCAAAAATTATTGTAATTGACCCCTGCAACTAAAAATAATTTTTCTAGAACGATTCAAAAATTTTTAATTTTGTCGAAAAATTTCTCATCTTCTCGAATTTTTTTCTCGAAAGTGGGTAGGAATTCGTGGGTATGTCTATCCACCAAAAGTGCTTCTAATTGATCTCTGTAACTAAATATAATTTTTTTAGAATGATTCAAAAATTTTTAATTTCGTTGAAAAATTTCACACCTTCACGAATTTTTTTCTCGAAAGTGGATAGGATTTCAGGGATATATCTAATGACCAAAAATTCTTGTAATTGACCCCTGCAACTAAAAATAATTTTTTCAGATCGATTTGAAAGAATTTTTTTCGGCGGAAAATTTAGGCACCCTACCCCCTGTCGATTTTTCTTAGAAATTCATTTTTCATTTTTAATAGTTTTGTTTGGCGCCCTATAGAAAAGTTGTCTAATACTTTTCTGTAGGTACCTAGGAGCTCTACTTCAGAAAAAAGTTTCATTGAAATATATTCACTATTATAGGAATTATGGCAGTTTGAAAATTGGACCATTTTTAAGGGGGTTTTTAGAATTTTACGGGGTGAACGAACAAATTTTTCAGTATTTTTACAATTTCTACATATTCTTGATTAAAATACGCGTCGTTTGCATTTTTGAAAATTAAAATCCTTCAATTCGTTCAGAAGTTATGACATTTTAAAGATCCGCATGACATTTTCGGGTAACATTTCTGGCCATAAATTCCATTTTCAATTAGGAATTTTTTTCTCGAAAGTGCATAGGAATTCGAGGGTATGTCTAATGACCAATAATGCTTGCAATTGACCCCTGCAACTAAAAATAATTTTTTTAAAACGATTCGAAAATTTTTAATTTCTTCGAAAATTTCACACCTTCTCGAATTTTTTTCTAGAAAATGGCTAGGATTTCGAGGGTATCTCTATCCACCAAAAATAATTGTAAATAACCCCTGCAAGTAAAAATAATTTTTCTAGAACGATTCGAAATTTTTTAATTTTGTCGAAAAATTTCACACTTCGAATTTATTTCTAAAAAGATTCTCTGCGCCGTGGACGTTCGTGTATCGCGTTAATGGACAAAATGGTACATTGCGATCACTAATTACATCCAGTTAAACGTGACGTTATCCCTCTCCCTCGATCAGGTCGCAGCCAGCAGCACCCTGCGGCTGCAACCCTTCAAGCTTCCCCGTCTGAACTCGGTATGATCAGTGCGAACGATAAGTCGAGACGTCTGCCGGGCGTATTCTCACCGCGTTATCTGCCTGTAATTAGTTGCACCTAATGACACATAATTAAGACAAAAAGCTCTCTCGAACCGACCGTGTACTCTGTACAGTGCTCTTTACCTACCGATGGACGCTTCAGAAATATGAGATCGCGCCAAAGGATCCTCCTATCGAGGGTACAACCAGCCTCAAAGTATGGACAAACGATTACACCGTATCGAAAGAGAATATTATTTGCTCGCGTTTCAAGGAAATGTTTATCATCCGTTGAAACGTCGAAACGAATCAGCACGCGTAAGAGAACACGTCGGTTCGATGTAATCTCGACGATGCACCGTTATTGTATTTATGGTAATGTTGAAGCGACGGAATTAATGGTCTCGGGGATGATATTTGCTAACCGCGGCAAAAATAATGCGAGTTCATACGGATCCGTGGCCGTTTATTATTTTCATCGCGATTAATTGCCGATCTGATATGCATGATAATGATAATGTATCGGGGCGCTGTTCGACCAGGCGAACCTGCATTAATATGAATGACGAAGAAAAACAAACATTCGCCTAGTTGCGTAATAACGGGGAACTTGCACTGAATTTCGTGCCAAACGCACCGACGCGATAATAATTATGAACTCGATCGTGTAGTTTTCGATCCCGCGGTTTTCGCAACACCGAAACAAAAATAGGGAAATGATTTTCCTTTAGGATATCAAAAACAATCTTTTTCGTGAACATGGATGCTAAATAGAGACCGATTTCTAAACATGACTTCGGATTAACATAAGATAATTTAACCAAACACGGCGGAATAACGTTACCCCGTTGTTTCCGCGACCGAAACAATACGCTATTAGCATCCCAACGCCATCATAATCATATGCTCGTGAACTCACGCAACAGCGAGTAACCGGAGCCGTTATCTCAGTTAATCCTATTATAATTCATATTAGGTCAGTCAGCGAAGCTCTTGTAAATTTTTATCGGTCCGTTTCGTTGCACCGAAACCCGTTTATTATCGTTGGTAAACGTCATCGTTGCTGTTGTCGTTTAGATCGATCAGCCCCAAACCCTGTTTTCAGGAATAGACCGTTTATTTTCCGAGAAAACCATTTCTATGAAACATTGTAAGCGTTCGAAAACATACATAGCTTCCCTCGAAAAATTAGGATATTTTTAATCGCGTTTAAAGCGCACGGAGAGTGCTGGGGATTTATTTAGCGGACGTGGTCGACAATTTGCCTCGGTCCCCGTGCGTGTGCCTGGGGGATGCTCGAATAAATAATATTAAAGCAGGTTCGGAGACCTTGATTCATTAAATAGTGGTTAAAATCTCGGTAATACGGGCGAAATAGGAAACGTGGAACGGGGTCAAGCACGTCGGTTGAACTCGGGGGGGGGGTTAGTTCGGTGTCGGGAGTGTGTATAATCCTTTCCTAATGACGTGCCTATTTTTACCTTTAATACAGCTGACACGTCGCGATCGCGCCTAGCGGGGAAGATCTAGTTCACGCGTATATGTTTTTCAGCACATTTCGCGGTCTGATTAACGTGCATACGTGTACCGTGCAGCCTAAATCCTCGATTCGAGCTTCGAAAAGAATCTTTTTTGGGAATTAATTAATTTCCTTATATGTTTGGGAGGTTTAATAACGAGTCTGTTTGTTGTTTACAGACGCCACAGCGCAGCGTAGCGATATCGACGACCGTGTTTCACCTGCTGGTCCTTGCCGGTCTGTTCACCTTCGGCGCCGCTGCGTTCTGCCCGATCAAGTGCATCTGCGACGACGACAACCTGGTGGTCTCCTGCATAGAGGCGAACCTGGACGTGATACCGATCGCCCTGAACCCTAGCATCCAACGGATAGTGCTCAAGGAGAATCGGATAAAGACTGTGGAGGACGCGGCCTTTCGGTTCTACGGTGACTTAAAAAACGTCGATCTGTCCAGCAATCACTTGTTAACCATTCCCAACGGGAGCTTCGAGGCGCAGAAGCAACTGGTGGAGCTGCACCTCAGGCACAACAAGATCTCCGCGTTGGCAGAGAAGGCGTTCCAAGGTCTGAAATCGTTGACGGTGCTGAATCTACGGGACAATTACTTGGAGAGCCTGAAGAGCGGTCTGTTCGCGTCACTGTTGAAACTGGAGGAGCTCGATCTGGGGAAGAATCGTATATCGAAAGTGGAGGCCGGTGCGTTTCAGAAGCTGGGCTCGCTCAGGGTGCTTCATCTCGACGACAATCAATTGAGAAGCGTCCCGTCGCCGGCTCTGGCCCCGTTGAACGCCCTGGCGGAGCTTCACATAGGCTGGAACGCGTTCTCATCGCTGCCCAACGACGCCTTCAAAGGATTGGAACAGTTGACCGTGCTGGACATCACCGGTGCGGGTTTGGACGATATCGGGGACGGTGCTTTCCGTGGCTTGAACACTCTGCGCACCTTGGAACTGGACGGGAATAAATTGAGGGAAGTGCCGACGAAGCAGCTGGCGATACTGCCGCGGCTCGAAGAGCTCACCCTGGGTCAGAACTTTTTCACCTCGCTGAGGTCCGGGGCCTTCCAGGGGCTCTCGAAGCTGAAGAAACTGGACATATCCGCGGCGAAATTGTTGACCACGGTGGAGCAGGGTGCGTTCTCGGACAACGCGAACCTCGAGACTCTTATACTGAACAGCAACAAACGACTGACCACGATGGAGGACGGCTCGCTGGCCGGTTTGCCGAACTTGAGGCACCTGATGGTGCGCGACAATGCGTTTACCGGATTCTCCGAGTCCCTGGTGGCCTGGAAGGAGCTACGCCGACTGGATTTGAGCGAGAATCCGATGGTGTGCGACTGCAGCCTGCTCTGGCTGTCCGAGGTGCTCGTCCCGAGGAACTCCAGCCCGGTGATATGCGCGCAACCGCCGGAATCCAAAGGAAAACCCATCAAGGGAATGACGCCCGACGAGCTGGGCTGCGCCTTCTCCGATCCCCGTAAACAGGCTTTGCTGGCCACGCTTTGCGTGGCTGGACTCGCCCTTCTCACCGGTTTGACGTTGATCCTCTACTACAGATGTCGCAGACGCGTCAGGGACGCCCTCAAGGACTACAAGTGGAAGAACCGAGCGATCTCGCGCAAGGAGCACGAGTACCAGAAGACCTTCTCCGACGACGAGTACATCGTCAGGTCCGCCCATCCTCATCATCACCATCATCATCACCATCAGGCTCAGTCGCAGCCTATACCCACTCATCATCATCATCATCACCTGCAGCAGCAACAGCAGCAACAGCAGCAGCAACAGCAACACTCTCAGATCGCCACTGGCATCAAACCGATACCGGTGACGGAGCTGTAGCTAGAACTTCGGGCGGCGAGCCCCGGAGCCGGCGGCGTTTGGTTCTTGCCCCACGGCAGCACTACTCTCGCCGAGGGCTTCACCTACATCGACGGGGAAACGGCGCGACAGATGCGCCGTCCGGGGACGCTGCCCAACTCCGGGGCGTCCGGTGCCCGTCGATCGGCCGGACCGATCGACGACGGATCGACGCCCCTCAGCGTGAACGGGGACAGTTGCTCCACGACCAGCGGACGACTGCATTACGCGAATCACTCTTTGCGTCGGGCGCCCCAGTCGCCTCAACCGCCGCCAGACAGCCCCCAGAACGACTCGAGGGTTCAAAACGGCGTCCCAGGACACCACCACCCTGCACCGCCGCTACCCTCGAGACACCAACCCTCCTGCGGGCAGTCCTCGTACCCCACGCTGCCCATGAACGGCCACGCCGCTCATCAGTATCATCATTTCCCCCGCGACAAAGACAGATCGTCCGGTCGCGAGAGAAGTCGCGATCGTGACCTGGCCGTGCATCGGCCCGACAAGCACCGCGACGCTCACGTCGAGATGGAGATGCGCGACGGGATGGACATGGGCGAGATCGGACCCTATCGAGCGTAAGCCGCGAGATCGAAGCCCCAGCGAATTGAATACCAAGACTGAATCGTACTGGCCACGTTTCACGCCTCCTCGTATTCGTATTTGCGATGGAATTGCTGAAGACTGATCATGATGTACATTCCAATCGCTCGAAAATATCAGAATAATCGACGCTAAGAAGCCAAGAGAGAGCATCGATACCGATAGATTGCGAAGCCTGGGAACGTGAAACGTCCTACGAGGAATCGCGTCAAAGAGTCCGAGGGACAGAGGCACAGTACGTATTACGACGACGACAATTGTGTTCGTCCCCGGAAGCAAAGACGCGTATTCGAGACGGCAGCTGACTTTGAAGCTTCCCAGCGAGAAGCTACGGAAAGACGAGACCGGAGGAAGAAAGCGGAAACGATAAAAGTGCAACGTCCAGTTGCGAGAACGTCATCCGACGAATGAGCGTTCCAAGATGCGTCGTTCGTATAAGTCACTTTGACGCGATCGAAAAAGGACTTGAAACTCTCGCTGAAAACAGTCTTTCGGGTCGAAATGGAGCAACTTTCAAAAGGAAAAATCGTATTCAGAGTGTTCTGTTGTCGATTCGAAGCTTCGTTCGTTGTTTAAAACGTAATCGATCGATGGTAGATGAAATTTCGGGATCCCGAAAGCAATCTCAACGAGTCGACTGGCAGAGCGATCGTTCAACCGAATTCGTTCTCCTGTCCTTCGCGAATCTCGAACGTAATCTTATAACGAGCTTTCTTGAACCTGGAGGGCTCATTCCGCTGAAATAGAGCTCGATCATGGACGCGGAACCTTTCACGGAGAGAATCGGGGTCAAAATGGCGTACAATTTTCTTTCGAAACCGTCATCTCCGAGATCGACCATTTTTAATTTGACAAACTTTCTTTAGATCGTTTTGGAATCTTCGATGAAAGCGTTCCCCGGGAAAACACCGACGAACGAGTTAGTTTTCCACCAAAAGACTCGAAACTTTTAAGAAACAGAGCATTCCTGCAATTTATCAATCCAAGTTTTCCCCGGGTTATAAATCCTGTAGTTTTTCCAACTTCGCCGAGTATAAAGTTGCTGCTATTGTTTCGACTCGAGGGAAACTCGAAGCGAACAATTTCAGTTGAATTCCGGCGAATTCATAACAACGTTCATCCGATGAAATTCTGTTTTCGAATCATAAAGTCCAGATAACGCTATTGACGATCCAGCTTCGAACGTTTGTGAAATTATTTTTGTATTGTCCGGTTGCTCACAATAGTGTTCTTGATTACTGTACAAGTCTTCACCGAGTTCGGTACGCTCTTTATTTCTCGTTTCCTAAACTCATGCGATCGGCAGCTGCGTGTAAATTAATTCCATCCACCGATAGGAGCTGAATTCGGATTATTTTTAATCCCACTTTATACTGAACGTGTACTTTTATTATAAACGAAAGGCCCCTGGGCGTGTGGGGCCTTTTTCCTTGGAAACGTCGTGGATTCTAATAGTTTTCGAGATAAATTTCGTGCATCCTTAGCGTAGGACGTAACTCAGGCGGCCGTTAGCGCGATATTCGAGGCTCCTCTTTCGGAAAATGTCGGAGGGAAGCGTCTGACAAATGGAATCGCGTTAAGATAGGATGCTGCAACGGGGTTTGCAACCGCTCGCGGTCCGGTTCAGCTGCTGGAGAAAGATGCGAGCCTTGGTCGAGCAGATTATTTTTCCGGCCGAGTGTACCCTGAGGAATTCCACGGTCACCCAGGCCGAGAAAGGTGACTGCACCTTGAATCGACTCTAGCGCGCCATTCTCAACCGTGCAGAAGCTGGATTCCAGCTTCGATCCCGCAATACCTTCTCGAGCATCCACCATGATCGATTCTTTAGCAAAAAAACCAATCCTCCTACGCGTCAAAGACCTTTCGACCTTCTCCTTCGATTGTTTCGAACTTTGTTCACTTTAAAAAGATCAATCTTTTGTTACTCGTCGAACCAAAATTGCATACAACGCTCTTCTTATTAGAAATTCCATAAAATTGCACTCCATCGAATATTTTTATTTCTTACACTGTGTCAAGAAACGAGCATCTATGCCATGACAAATAGAGGTCCCTAAGACTGAGAAATTTATGTTTTTTTTTATCAATTTGATTCTTAGAAATATCGAGATCTTTGTACGAACACAAAGTTATTCTACGATAATTTCTAAAAGAGCATCGTTGAAACAAATCTTTGCGAATTATCGTTCTTTAGGAAAATGTATGATCGTATTTGCCAAGTATTTTTTCCGCTGATAAAATCGCAATAAATAACAAGTCGACGAAAGTCAATTTGAAATCAATAAATCACATTTCAATTTCCGGGTTTCTCGTTTGGAAATGGGTTTTATTAAATGAACAAGTCCGCGATGAGCAAAAAAATTGTAGAAACAAGCGTGAAAAAAATCGAATGAAACATAGAACTCGTTTTTATCGTAACAGTGTACACTAATCGATTACGAAATAGTATACAGAAACGAAATTTTTTCCTTCGATATTATTATTAGCATAATTTTGTCGATCGAGACATAAATAATAGGTTTTAAATTTGCTCGTGAAATTTATTCCTTTTCCCGGTCGAGTATTAATTAAACACAAAGATGCTAATGCTCGCGCGAACTAAAATGAATCGTTTTAACGCTGATAAACGCAAAGAGTGATTGAAATATTTACCATTGAACATTTTATTCGCTTCTAAATGAACGCTTTATCCGCGGCGCGCGTACGTCGGTATCGAATTTCTGTCCGTGACAACAGATGTTAAAAATTCAAAAGCTATCCTGTGGGTTTGTTTGATCCTCTGTTCGGGAACTTCGAAAAAAAAAATAGGGGATAAAACATTTATTAGTAATTTGCCTTTCTTGATAACGTATCGGTATATATAGACAAATACTGCACCGACTGAAATATTAAATTATCTTTTTACATGTTTGACACGTTGTGTTTCGTCGATAGATTCTATTTGCAAGTGTAATATTCGAGGATCCATGAAATTTCTGCCATAATCGCGACAGAACGTGTTCTGAGGAAGAAACTTGCATTTTATCCTGCATGCTATTAAATGCATTCCGGCGAAACGTTTCGGGATCGAATATCGAACGATCTACCGATAAGTCAGCTCTAAATATATCAGATCTTATTTTTTAAGCAGCGTAAGGGTTTACGGAATAAGAACGACGACGCTAGAAGGAAGTAAGGGAGAAAAGCACAGGAAATTGGGCGTAAAAACGTCTCTTGTGTTTCCGAGGATCGTCGCGCTGAACGAACCTTAATTAGAGTGTCCGATTGTAATTAAGTATATTGTAATTATAAATGTCGGGGTCAAGTATCGTAGATAGTCGATGGAAGAGAAAAGAGGGTAATCTGTCAAAAAAAATTATATATTTTACGATATGTCTGTCGTTTAAAAATTAAGTGAGCTGCATCGTATCGCGTTGCTAGTCAATCGACACGAGTCGATGAGGAGTGGATTGAAAAGATTCGATAATGGGGCAAGGGGTAGAGAGAAGCGTGGAATAAATCACGAATATTAAATTATTGTACAAAATTTAATGCCGATAGTTTGTAAGGCCTATCGTTTTACGAGATCGACCGTATGTTTATATCGTATTACGTATCTATTATAAATAGTACTATGCGCCCAACTCGTATTCTATGCACACGATTCCATCACGTTCCTTTCGCGTAAACGGGCCGAGAATTCCGACTGGTTCCGAGCAAACGTCCACGTAACATGTTATGAAACTTCCTTCTCGTTCGGGATATCCACAAACGGAAGTGTTCCCGCGGATAGAAAAATCCTCGAAGCGAAACTCACGTAAAATAGCAAATATTTTCGATCTCTGGGACTCTCGAAACGTCATTCCTGCTCGAACTTTGAAAGATAGAAAGAAGAAGTAATTAATGACGATTAGAAACCGCGAAACCGCGAATGCTCGAACCAGGAAGAGCTCTAGCTCGTTTGTCAACGTAGTAGCGGCTGACTTCGGTGTCCAATCCCCCAGTTCTTCGACCTCGTAAACTCTGAATCGTTTCCAATTGAAAAAAAAAAAAGACTGAGGAGGTGACGAGGCTTGACGAAGCCTGGCAGAACTATGAAAGATCATCAGCCGGCCAAACAAGAGGAGAGATGCGCGCGATGACGCTGTACATTGGTGTAAAGCATAGCGGAGCCTTATTGAGAAAGCAATATGCATCCTTAAAAGCTGCTTAAAAGTATTTTCAAGCTGTTCATTCTACTCGAGTAATTAATTCCTATGCTAAGTATCGGAGAAAACGCGTTCATCGACGCTGATGACCACGTTACCGAGTATCACCTATTCTATGTAACCCACGGATAGCTCGCTCAAACTTTTAAGCATCCCCAACCGGTTCCAACGCACAACGTTTTTACTTCTTACCGAGCGATCGACAAGTTTTCGATCGTTTGCACTGCCAATGGTAACCTTCTAACAGCGTTTACTTAATCAAAATCGACATTTACACGTTCGTTGAGCCGTTTTTAGCGCGTTTGTACCAGTGATATGATTTCTGATCGAGAAACGATTGCAAAGAGAAATGGTATGGCTTGTAACCTGTAATGTATGCGCTATTGAATATTCCCAGTGACCTTTGTCGCAAAAAGAAGTATTTTTTTTCGTGTATGCATGCTCGAGGGATCGACGTTATACCGTGGGCGGCAACCAGTCTTCACGGGCTGCGTGTAAATACACTTTCGATGATAGCGTGTATAAGAATCATTCGTCGCCTATAAGATACGATTTTCTCCCATTTAATGAATCTTTATTAAAATGTATGATAATGAGCGCGGTCCTGGCTCCAGCGGCCTTCTTTTCGCTGCCTTCTCGCCGGTTGGAACCGATCAAAACTGTAAATAGCGTTGCAAAACGAGTACAGGCGGGAAAAGTGACTGACGGAAACACGGACGCGCTCGATGGAAAAATAGCAAACGGCGCTATTTTCGCGTAAAGAATAAGAAAACGCGTACAGACTCGTGAGAACCGAGCGGAGAAGCAGTGGTTTTAGCGAGTCGTTGGGCCATAACATAGGTCACTAAATATAATATAATATTATAGGGATATTCCAGCGTTATTTTGTACATAAACAACTTTATCAACGGATATTAAGAAGTCATCAATAAATCTATATATAAAAAGTATTTATCTCACCTGATTTATCTTCCCGCGGTATCTGCATCCAATCAACATGTTCAACGCGTGAATGTAAATCCGAATGAATTTTAAAATAATTTATTCGATCGCCAAAGGCTTAGATGTTTACGTAACACAAAAACATTTATTCTGTTAGATTTATGTAACATTACATTTAAATAGGTTCGTACAATGGTTTCATCTTTATGTATAAAAGCTATGTCTAGAAGTACTGAAAACTTTGGTAGAAGCTAATAATCGCACAGCGAGGTACCTGCACCGAACATTCGGACAGAATTTCAACGATTTTGCATATAAATAAAATTTTTTTTATTCAAGGTAGTTACATATATCAGGCACACTGTACTAATGTTTACTTTTGTTAGGAAAATTTGTATAATAGAGCAAAAGAATTCGAAACAAATATTATTATTGTCGATATGCCAAAACCTGCTATTGGAAATAGAAATGGCACTAGATTGTTTGTTAAATCATAAACTATCAGCTGTAATAACAGGAATTTGTTATAAAAATTATATTGAATGCTATAATTAAATGCCCCCCTTGTATTGACCATAAGGACAGTAAAAAGAAAAGCATACTCCATTTTCTAAAGGAAGCTATGGATTCACTAAAGTCTCCTCGCGTTACAATTTTTTTACAAATAAAGACAAAGACGAAGATGAGAACGGGGACAAACACAAGGACTAAGAATAAAGACTAACAATATAACACAAATAAACAAGTAACATTTCCTTACATATCATGTGTTATAATTTGTGTGATTGTTTCTATAATTCATACGATTGATACGAGAAAACATTTACCAGATATACACATTCATATTTGAGACATTTATTTCTGAATATTGAACGAATTTTGGAATAGTTTCGTCCGGGTTTTCGGTGTAGATTCTCTACTGTGCATCGCGTATTCCCCTGCTGTGTAGATTTAAAATAAATCCATCTAACACTATACATTGAAATGATCAAACAACTAAACGTGACGCGTTCGGAATGTTTCTCCATGAACCAAAGAAATAGATATTACTAAAAACGTGTTTACCTTAAATAAAAAATAAATACACGGTATCGACACAAGCGATAGTTTATTACTTCTGGGTTAGTTATTGTTTGTATAAAAAAATCTCTCGTTCTATGTTACGAATTATATCGCGGTTTATTAAATTTTTTCACGAAATTACTATTTTTCCTTTTCTTTTTTCTTTATGAAATCTGACGTATATCTTGGTTAACAAAGTGTGTATAATATTTCATATAAAGCAACTAATTTACATCAAGCAATAGTTACAAGTTTCTGCTTCTTCGATTAATGTTTTTTGGACATCGCAATCCCGAGGCCAACGATACTTGCAAAGCCGATAATAACCCCTCCTGCGATGGCCATGCCACATAGGCCCTCTGTAAACAAAGTAGATCATAACATAGATCACCTTGGCAGTGTGTATTCATTCTGTCGAGCGACATCAAATCGTTACCACGCTAAACACGACGAAAGAATTACCCAAAATGAGAGCTGATACATAATAAACAAGAACGAGTTCAAAAACATAGTCATCTCCATAACCTTTTTCAAGTCACTCGTAAATTCAAAGTTATCCGCGTTGTAAATAGTGCGCATTTACGCCGAGTTCGTTCAAGTGTAACCTAACCAAAAAACTAACAAGATTGCAGAACACTAGAATTGCGTCATACAACGGTTAAGAACAAGAAGATAAAAGAAATCAATACTGTTAAGTTCTCCATTCTAATACTTAAACATCCATTCCTATACGAAAAGCTGTTTTCTAAATTAATTACCACGGATTAGAAATTTATCTTTTTTCGATTATTTTTTGATCTTGCTTTCAACGTACAGCGAATATACGATGTATTAAAAAACCCAAAGTTAACCTAACCTTAAATTGACGAAATATAGTAACTACCGACCCATGAAAATACTAATAAAGTAATAAACTAGTATAAGTAAACTGTTATTTAACTATTATAGACGATAGAATGAATTAATAAGAACCTTTTTCCATTTTTTTCTTGATCAATGTCTCCAGATGTTGTACTTGCTGGTTTCCAGGTTCGACTCTGAGGAATGCTCTAACATATGTTAAAGCTTTCGAGTATTCCTGCAATACGCAATGCACAATTAATAAACAAAGTTAATTGTAAAAGGAATCTGGATGAATCTATAAAATCTTACCTTTATTCTAGCATTTCCAATGGCTAAATAATAAAGGCAATCTCGTTTCTCGCTTTCGCTGTCATTGCTATATAGATCTTCCAATAGAATTATTCCCTTTCGAATATCGGCAGGATATTTACTTCTAACGAGACACCATGCATATTCAAATTGTGCTTTTTGCGTCACGTACGACATGTTTAATTGATCTTGGTATACGCGTTCGAATTTCTGAAAGAATTGGTCAATAATTTGCAATATATGATGCAATAAGTAAATAACGAAATATATAGATCGTTAAAATTTGAATCATATTTTGAGCATCGCAGTGACATTTCTAAAATAATGTACTATAATTTTATAGTAAACGAATAATCTCCGCAACCTTGAAACCAGAAAAACAATTCGTAATTCTTCCATAACCTCTAAAAATCGTTTAGAAATTTGATGCAATTGCATATTAAAGACAAAGCTCGAAACGAAAAGCTTAATCTAGGAAGGTATTTTATGTCCAATACTTTCCCTAATAATATACGTAAAAAACACAAGAAAGTTAGGAACAATTTCGGTATCTTTTATCGAGAAGATTTACCTTTAAATCTTCAGATGAAACAACCTCATCCAGAACATCCTCCATTTTCTAATATAGAACTATACGAATTACACGAAGAAAACAATTTGTCTTGTCCTAAATTCTACCTTAAAAGGAAAGAACACATCACAAATATACCAGCTTCTTTTCGGTAAATCGGACTGTCAGGCAAAGAAACAATAAAGTGCACACATACCCTTCCGTTTGGCACCGCAAATGCATTGGCGAAATAGCAACGCGGCATTCCACGTGAAATTTAAATAATCTTACAAATTTCGACCGTGCAATATCTCTTTAATAAAATATTATCTAAAAAATTGATGGTATAACATCGAAATCGATAATTGTTACTTCTAATTGTTAATGGCTATCATTTTTTATTTCTGTACGTTCAATCGTATTATCGCTTAATATTAGAATTTTTAGTTAATTGATCTCTGTCTTTCATTTACATTTTTAAATGCGATTATGGTATTGTAAAAATTGTAAAAAATATTTTAGGTATTGGGGAAATTCGAGGAGAGGGAATTCAAATTATATGGATCGTTTTTGTTATAAATATTTATTACATTTATTACATCATTATTTATTAGAGAAAAGTTCGTTTAATCGTTTTGTCATCGAATACAGAGGTATACCCATTACGGTATAAAAATCACCATTGATTTTCTCAACTAGACAGCCACCTAACCCTTGCACACCATATCCTCCAGCTTTATCCCTATAACCAAATTTTAATTTTTAATTTTACGCAATAGAAATGGTTGTGTATGAAAGGAAAAGGGATTTACTCTTACAAAGGTTCTCCTGTTTGTATGTATGTCTCTATTTGTTCTTTGGATATGTCTCCAAACTTTACTATTGCAGAGTCATAAAAGTTTACCTCCGCCTTTGGTGTTTTCAAACACACTCCCGTGTAAACTATATGTTCTTTATTCGCTAAACTAAAATATGATGCATCTGTATAGCTTGTAAATGCAGTGGTATCATTCGTGCATAATCATTTTACCTCGTCAACATTTCAAATGCATGCGACTCGTTCTTTGGTTTGCCATAAATGATATCACCCATTGTGACCATAGTATCAGCACCAATTATCAAAGAAGGCTGGACAGGATCTCCTGATAATCTGTCGTATACTTCTTGTACTTTATACTTTGCTAAATCTTGGACGTATTCCCCATAATTTTTATACGCAGAACTGTTCAAGTTCTCATCGTACTCCGAAGGTACTACCTCCGCATTAATACCCTGTGTTATTATAGTAAAACCTGCATGTTACTGGCATACAGTGTATAATTGCAAACATAATTATAGTTATTTTTTAAAATTTATTTCAACAATTTACGACAATTTATGTTTGACATTATAAACTAGAAATTACCAATTGTTTTATTATTTTGTATCGTCTGGGAGACCCACTGGCTAAAACAACTCTGTTTGTTGTTAAAGCTTGCACTGTTTGCTGTAACATCACCCTTTTTATTTTCTCTAACGAATCAATTGAATAATAAAGTTTCCTGCATAGATTTTGAATAGACCTGTAATTTGTTACTTTTGTTTCGTAGTTACACGCGAAATTAGTCTTTTAGAAACACGTGCAACGTAGACAGTTCGCGCAAAATTGTGTGCACCGTGTAACGATGAATTTGCTATAGCTTAAAGTAAAAGAGAGAAAGCAAGTGTGTGTCTTTCCTTCTCGCTCTGAATGGAACTAAAATTCGAATTATAAGCGTATCGCGTTATAGGTGAATTAAAAAAATAATGTAAAATAATTAATATTTAACACTTTACCGACCGGTAGCGGTTGATTAATCGGCTATCGGTCGGTAAGCGTTGGTCGGTAAAACAGTTGATTAATAGGCTGTTAGCCGGTAAAACAGTCGATTAATAGGCTATCGGTCGGTAAAGTGTTAAAAAGCTTGTATTATAGATATAGAATTTTGTAATTATTTTAGAGTCAGGGCACTTTAAAACTAATATTAATTATTAATTAATAATATTCTTTAAAATAATTTAAAAAATAATTTTTTTTTTTTCTTTTTATCGTTTGGTATTTTGTGTACATTCTGAAGTAAATGCATATGTGAGTTGAGGCCGACAGCTATTATAATTTTGTTCATAATGCGTACAAAATTTGCAAACAAAACGTCGCGTTGCCTCAGTCGTGGACGGAATTTCTAAAAAGAAACCCCACGCGTAATGAACGTCGTCCATGGTGTACTCGTTAAAAGGTTTGAAACGCGATTAGACAAACACTTTGTCGAGGGCGGGCGTGTAAAAGGGGGATGGGTACACGTGTTTAGCGCTGCTTAAAAATATTAGAGCGGGAAGAACTATTTTCTAGGCACAGAAAGACTCTAATACATCGTAATCGGTAAATTACGTAAATGCCGCATGCCATGAACGAACCTAAAGGTCAGTCAGTCCGAGGTCTTACATAATCGCAAGGCGAAAGGTTGACCCATCTTTACGCCGCAGTCTTCTTAGCTGAACAAAGATTTCGCGGTATTTTTTTCGTCATACTTTGCATTGTTTCGACGGCGCAACGCTCGTAACCGTTTAATTAATTAATTCGGAACGATTCGTCGTTGAGTGCTCGCCACGTCTTATCAGAGTTTCATTTCTTTTAAGTCACGATCATAAAGCTATCCCGATAACGTTCCGTAAAAGTCGTCTTCGCTTTAAAAACAAAAGTGAAAACTTTCGTTTATCGTACGACATTTCCGCAATTTTAGAATGTTTACATTGAAAACGTATTATTACATTAGGAGAAACGTTATATTAGAGCAGAGGAAGTCCCGGTTTCTTATATTTATGTTGTTGAATTATGTTTGAACGAAGTTTATGTTGACAATTCCGTCCTAAATCAACTCGCTAGAAACAAGGTAAGATAATGAGGTTACGTAAATTGATGGGTTCGCTATTCACGGTCTTTAGGGTCTATTAATTGTTGTTGGTCGACGGGGGCGATCCATTTGCACGAATTGCACATTGGAAATTGTGTTGGAAAATGAACTATAACCGTGGATAGATACAGGAGTCGTTATCGCGACGTTTGCTTATGATAAAATGTGTATCACGTGTATTTAGTTGCAAATAAAAATGTAAATTACACGGAATTCTTGAAACAACGCTATCTGAAGATCTACATAATCAGAGGCTGTGACAAGCAGGATATTAAAAACCAGTTATTAAAGGGTATTCATAAACAGCATGCCAAGATAAACGCGGATGATGTATGCTATTGTTATTTCATGCCTTTGCTTTTTTACGGAATCGCCGATTCACGGAAATAGTAATTTTCTGAGATCAGAAAGCGATCTCCGCCAAGGCAGGAAATTTATTCTGTGGTTTATGCAAATACAAGGTACAATATACGTCAGATCATACGTAAACCTGCGTATACCTTTGAATGGCTTGTTTTTTATCTTTTTCTGGACCAATAAAATGTGTATTCCCAAACGTTCAATGACTCGATATACGTGTTTGTCTTTCTTTCAATTTTTATATCTCATGTGCAATCCTAATTGATAAAGTCATTATTTAATTATTTATTTACGTAAGCTAATTAAAATTCTTTGATCCACTTTATTTAATCTGTTAGAATTAAAGCATAAAAATGAAAGAAATGCGATTAGATAATCCATTTGCTTGGTGTAATAGTTTCGAACAGCGAATGAAATAGTTCTTCGGTTCTTCCGTGCCTTTGGAACAAGAAGTTATTCGTTGCTGACGAATTAAAAGCCATTCGATGTTCGCTGTCCGGTTAAAATTGTGGGGAACACAGCCGGGAGGTGTAATCAAGGCTAACCGGGGTGGTACAATTAATTATTACAATTCCAATTAATGGGGATAAGAAAACGCCATCGTCGCTCATCGCGCTTATGAAATCGACGATCGAAAAAAAAGAAAGTCGGATAGACCTGGCTCCTCTTCCAGTTCGGTGAATTTACAGGTTCTGTTATCTAGTCCAAAAGACAAGTGAAATTACCAGTACATGCGTGTGTAATTTCTATGTCCACGCATTTACGCGAAATGTTGCGTGGGCATAAAAGAAACCCACCGATACGAGTGACCAAACGCGTTGAGTAATTACGAGGATGTTGCACTGCGCATCTGCAACGGACATTGCGTAACAATATTATATATTGAGTGTTAAAACGTTCTTAATCACGATACGAAATTAATGCGTAGTCGCATCACGCCGGTACATCGAGTTCTTTTTCGCTGAAAAAAAATAAGACGTAGGAGTGTTGCGACACTCGCGGGCCGTTTTCAGTTCCCCTTTTAATCTTTTCGCGAAAGTTCTTTTTATCGTTCTCTTTATTCGAGATCCTTCCACTGGCAATTTCATTTCCTAGTTTCGATTAAACGACGCTGGATGGCAATTAGGCGTATTGTAAATTGTAAGGTCGATGTTTAGAATCTTTGTCTTGAAAATCTGGGTTCGTCGACCTGGGCGCATCGAAAGGTCTCGAAATGTGTCTCCTTAATCCCGGATTGTAAGTTAATACCGCTCCTTTACGCGCCCGTGGGTTTCTCTTTCGGCCATTTTGCAACGCGCGGGAATTTGCAATGATTCAGTTGGACGGTCGGGTAGTCGTGAAAATTCGCGTCGCGGCGTCCTTTAAGGCGTCATAAAGCGAAACCAGGTAAAATCTCGAGGCGCGGGTAATCGCCAGGCTATCGTTATTAAATGCGATTACGCAACACGAAAAGCTGCTTCAAAGGACGCGCATTATGAGACCGGCACGTAGTCGTTTCTATGGGGGGGGGCTACGTCATGCCACGAAAGCGACTTGCGTTTAGCATTACGGATAATACGATCGCGATCAGGGGCGTTATTCGAACGGAACTCGATCCCGGAACAACCAGATCTGTCCTTTATCCGATCGAGGACGATCTCTTCCTCTGGTCGCTAAATACATTTACGATACGCCTGTTGGGAAGATAAGTTCGCGAATAGCTGACACACCTTCCGACGAGTAGTTTTCTGACCTTTTCGTTGTCGCTAAAAAGAAAGAAGCTTGTCCGACGGATCTTCGATCCAAAGTGACGGTCGATCGCTGTCGAGGACTGAAAACTCTGACATTTCAATCTTCGACGAGATACACCGGCTGTTTACCATCCTTCTTTCTATTTACCGTTTCGACGAGGAAAGAAACGTGGAAAATGCTCGATTCTCTGTGAACTTGTTACGTTCGTTAAAAGACTGAATATTCTATGGTGTTACGGACGTCGCGTCACATGAATGACACGATGTAAATGTCGGTATATGGCCGTGGAATCCCGCGAGAAAGGCTGGCTAAAGATTAATAACGAATCAGGAGTCTCCAGCCGGTATTAATGCCACGGACGAGTTTCGTCGAAAACTTTTGCACCACCTTACGATATTCGGCTGATGAATCGGCTTGGCCGTATATTTAATGGGTGCACTCGATCCAGTATTACGCAATGGGGAACTCGTTCAATGTTTGGCCAAGAATCGAGCATGCAAAGTATAAAACACGTCACGTGTTTCGATATTGATAATAGAATTCACAAAATTCGTACAAACGACGATATATCGATGTAACTAACACACATTCGCGCGGGCGTTTCGATAATTAAGTCACGCGTGGGACTATTAATTTTCATTAGTGACGAACAATATGTGTTTCGCGTTTGTCGGTGGAAACGGGGGGGGGCTAATAAAAATCAGTTACATCGTTTTTACGTCGGATTCGTTTTAAAGAACGACTCACCGTTTTCATGACTGCATCGATGAATCATAACGCGCTCGATCACGTAACGAGAAACCAGAGAATCGTAGAGATTACTTGTACTATCCAAGGCTGAACTCAGAAATGAAAATATCGAAATTTCTAGCTACGTCGATAACGCGAGGACTTTGATCCAAGATCGATAGTTTTCTGCGCGGTTTATAGTTTTCCATCGAGTCAATCGTTGATGTTTACGCAACTTTACGTTCTGATCTTTTTCTACGAGCAATTACCACGCGATACGTGCAAAATTCCGCGTGGTATCGTCTCGCGGTGAGTTTTCGCGGTCAGTGAAATTGGCGAGGTATGAAAATTGTTTCGCGAATCCATGAAAATTACATTCCCTGATGCATTATCGCCGATTGGACGTTGGCGCGGCAAATGTCAGGGTTAAATAGAAGATTGATGTATCAGAACGCTGATATTCCAATATCGTAACATGTGTAATTTACCTAAATTTGCGTCAGGTTCGATTTGGACGACGTCGAACGCTTTGTGTTTCACAGAGGACTTTCGATACCGCGTAATCGAAACGCTAACGCCGTAAATAGAAAAAGCAATAGTTAAATGTCAAACCATGCTTGACCAAAGTATTTTATAATATACTCATAAATATTATAATTGTTATTCTAGGAGAGTGTAAACATCCCGTGTTGCAACAGTCGGGCAAAGTTGCGAGTGAAACTTTTCTAAGAAACGGTAAATAACGAAGATGCGATTAAACAAACAGTTTTACAACGAACCGAAATGTTTCGATGTTGGTGCAACGGGTGAATGCAACGTTAACAAATGAGACTCGCGGAGCCGTGCGTGAAGAAGCTATTCAAGGAAATCATTACAATCGAATCGTTCTATACAATCGTACATGACCTAGACACTGGAACCCTTTACGCAGCGCAGCGTTCGATCGTAGTGTGTTTTGTTCGATTTTGTAAAAATTCTGAGCAAATATCCGGTAGAACCTTGCACGAAGCATCAATTATCTTCTCGCTTCGCCTTCGTTCGTTCCATCTTCGTTGCACGTTCCTCTCATTCCCACTCGCGACTCTAGCAAACAAATTAAAACGTTATTTATACTTTGTCTCCAATTTCTACTTCGTTTTCGTTGCTTATTGGCCCGGAATAACGATGCTAATTCCATTTTTTAATATCCATTTATATCTTAGACTGTTTGCACACCATACACTGTGGATAAACGTGTAAAGGGTATAGCCGAATAAGGGGGTCAAATGTGCCCTTGAACCAAATTTGTCATACGAAGGGTAGTTATTGGGAAAACTCGGATTAGCGAATTTGTGCCTATTTCCCCTATTTAATCGAGTATGAAAATTATGAAAAAAATCTGGTGCATTGCGACTATTGAGATACGTGTTTGAGAATTTTTTCCAATTTTTCCATTCCAAATCCTAGGCGTGAAAAATTGAAAACCCAAAAAAACACAGAAAAATACGGACTTCGTATTGAAGCTTTCGAGACACTAGATTTATATAATTACTGTTAATGCGTATCGTCATTGGCTATCTCCCTGAATTTTTTCAGATTTTTTGGCAGGGTGCGCCGTAGTAGCAAAAATCAAAAACCGATTTTTTCGACGTTTTTAAATACCGCTCTAGTGTATTTGCTTAAATACCCCACTGTTTAATTATGAAAAAAATCTGGCGCATTGTGGTTATTGAGATACGTGTTTGAGAATTTTTTCCGATTTTTCGATTTCAAATCCTAGGTGTGAAAAATTAAAAACGCAAAAAAACGCAGAAAAATACCGATTTCGTATTGAAGCTTTCGAGACACTAGATTTATATAATTACTGTAAATGCATATTGTCATTGGTTATGTCCCTGAATTTTTTCAGATTTTTTGGCAGGGTGCGCCGTAGTAGGAAAAATGAAAAACCGATTTTTGTCGGCGTTTTTCGCGTGAAAAAGCAACTTATACTTTGAATTTTTGTATTCCCTTTAATAGATAACTATATTCTGTGGTTTTAAACATTTCCATGTTGAGTAAAACAGTGTATACAGTGAACTAAAATGAGCATAAAGTTGTAACAAGCAATACCAGAGGGAGGAAATAACACATTATTTATATTAATAAAATCTTAAATAAAATAAAATAAAATATAATATAAAATATTAATAAATAAATTAATTTTTAATTCCAGGCAAATATTTTATAATTCAATTATTTTAAAATCAGAGACGAAGCTTCGATAACGAATATTAAAATTAATGTTTGGTTTAATGATTTCATTTTGACGCTTGTCGAATTTCTCAAAAATTGTATCGTAACGTGTGTTATAAAAATTAATAATTGCACGAGTATATGTGCAAATTAAAATCATTACGTTCTATATTCATCCTCGTTGCGGACAAGTTGGATTTTTTTCAATTTTAAATATTTAAAAAATGAGATAAGAAATGGTTTGAGTGTGGATCGATTAAAACTCACAGTTGTTGCAGAGTATGAATCTTTCTGCTCATAAAATATGCTTCCCCATTTGGGATATTATTAATTGAAGGTATAATGAGTGATCCACCCACACTGTAGCGATTTTGTGGAAACGTGGGAATATTCGTGGGTCCTCGAGCTGCCGAAAAATGAACGGTCGTGGAGAGCCGACGTCCGTTTCCCGTGTCGCGATGAAAATCCCGCGACGCTCATGCTCGTTCGAGCGCATTTTTCCGAAGATGCACTGGTCAGAAGAAGTGCATTGTGAAGAGGGCAGGGATGACCCCTTTCACTGTACCACGTTGCTACGGTCGTGTATATAAAGAGCCGAAGCATCTGACGAAGAAGCACAAGTATCAACCCATCTGCATCCTAACCGCTTCATCGTCGGTGTCCGTGTGACAGAGAGATTATGTTCACTATCAAGGTAGGTACTCAGTCCGTAAGACACGCGGGAGTAGCCATCGAGACTCGGTTTTCATCGTAGTGGCAAACGTGAATTATCCACGGTGTTAGCTGTCTTAGGGGGGACCATTTGATTTACGCGGTTATGGGGGAGCAATTCGCGTGTGCCTTTTCCAAGATCTACGGTGTTCCAGGGAGATCGATCGAATCACCAAAATGGAACCTCTCGGGGGCCCTAAAATTATTTTTACGCAAATTTTGCAACGTGTTTTGGTCCGGTAGATCGTTTAAAAAAATTGTTGTTCCACCTAAGAGTAGCTTTTGTGTAAAATATTTTCCGATAATCGACGATCGCTGAAACGTGTTTCACTTTCATTATTTTATAATGATTAAGTAAATTCAGAATCACCTGGATAAACTTTGAACGTTTCGAGACGATCGTTAATTGCTACGACAAATTTGTTAACGTGTAATTGTCGAGGAGTGTTGTATCGGCGCGAAAGCACGGATGATAACATTGACAGACGTCGCAATCCTTTCGCCATAAACGCGCAGCTTTTAAATTACGAATGACTTGCATCAGGATAATTCTACAACCGATTACCTGCGCGTAGAAATTTCGTTATTACCGTTATGTCACTCGTTGGTTGGATACTCGTTATGACATTCCGGTTTTGTCCAGGACGCGTCCTCCTCCGTTCAGTCGCTCGAGGAAATTTTCTCTTTCTCGAACAGAATAAAAAGGAAAAAAAGGTAGAAAATTCGTAGGTAAGGGCGCGACGATAGCATTGTTCTTCTCTATCCTCTGATCCTCCTCGAGGCGTTCGAAGATCTTCGTTAGCGATGTTGCGTACGATCAAAATCAATGGAACACAGAACGGGCGTGAAATTAAGAATAGAATTATCATGACAATTATCCGATTGCGTCACGAGCCGTGTCGACACCTTTTTCTTCGAGGTAGGACAATCGCGAAGGAATAAAGCGTGACACCGATGTTGGATCCTAAGTGCTTTTCTACGCACACGCGCCTCTGCCATTCTGGATTCCGATCGCGACATCTTTCGCATCTTTTCGATTGTTCGAACAAGATAAACGAACAAATTTAAATAGAAAATTAAATGTTTTCAACCCCTTGAATACGTCGATGACTTGCTCACTTTAGATTTTAGACGTTGAATCTTTCTTCTTGGTTTTTTAATTCTTTTCTCGATCGAGGAATTAATCGAACAGTTCGGATCTTGTATTTATTTTTTCCGCGATCGATATGTATACCAATTGATTTTTTCCCAGTTTCAATGCCGCAAACTCGTTCTTCCGCGTTGTCGAAGTAGCGCGCAATTGCATATCGTTGCAACGGAAAAAGAGTATGAATTTGCAACGAAGAATTGCGTGGTTCTCGTTTGAAAAAGAATCTTCACAACTGGCTTTGTACATATACTTTCGAATCGTATATGCAAATTGAACTTCTTAATAAAATTGAAAGAAAAGAAGAAGTTTCGAGCGTGGGCGGTGAAAAATGAAAAGATCGACGAATGGACCGAAGTCGGGTTGCCTCGTGATCGTTTGACATTATGAATGGAAGAAGCGTCTGGTTGTCTCTCGTTCTTTCATAATCCGTCTTATTATACGTTATGAAGAACAGGTGGACGTAGCGTCATTACCAGAACAGCATTCCTCTTCAGTTTCGTGCAACGCTTGCGAAACATTTCGTGCTTGCTCGTCGTTTTCTTGATATATTCTTAATAATTCTCGAGATTTCTCTGTCGATATCTCTATCCCCATTTTGCAATAATCTTTTTACGTTTATCCGTTAAGTTGGTAGAGTGAAAAAGTATCTGATAGCCCATGGGGGGGCCTTCCTTGTTCTCTTCCGCCCGACACTCGGCCTTCTGCGCCTCTCATTGTTCGAGTACACGACACGTAGGAAGCGATCGCTTGTTCCAGCTCGGTCATACGGTCAAGGAGAGGCGAAATATCGATTACGTTGCTACGAGAATGAAATCCTGTCCCGGATAAGGTTCCATTGACGACGTCGAACGCGATCGGTAATTAGAAACGCCGCGATCCACCGGGCAGGATTACAGCTCGCCATTTGCAATCCTATCTTTCGTCACTTGCAGACGATTTTCGAACAAAATTGATAATCCATCAAACTCGACCAACTAATAATAAAGTAATCTCGTATAAAAAAAAAGTAACATCAAGTGCCTGAAACTAGAAGACTCGTGAGCTAGATAGACGAGAATTTGCTTTTGTTTTGATATTTTCGCGAAGAATCTTCAGGCGAGGATGAGAAGCGATCGGGATGACATTTAGGGTGGCGAGGAAGATGATTCGCGGCTGATGGGGGTTCTTGAATGAAATTACACGTTTCACGGGCGCATTACACTGTACCACTTTCGTCCTGCCATTACGCCGTATTTCATAATGTCATTTGCGACTGACGTAACCGCGTCGTGCAGCCTCTAGGCATTATCATCTTCGCTTGCCCTTTGCAGCCACACAAAGCCACGCCACCGCGTTACTTTCACCAATTCTATGAATATTTGAACGAAAGGTTTTGCAAACGGCGCTAGGGGATCGGCATCCCATTGTCCACGGATTTCCCATGCGCTACCTCTCTTACCAAGTCACGAGGGAAAGAGCAACTCAAAAAAACTCGCGTTCCAATTAAGGCTTAATTGACACCCCTCGTGCTTCGTTTTCGATGCCCTTTCGTCGAACCTTTCGATTATACCAGCGATTCTAAGTAACGAAAAATATGTTTCAGGTGTTGGTGGCGGTCGTACTTTGTACGACAGGGACATTAGGGGCACCTCAACGACCCAGTGGCGGGGCTGACAAAGATGCGGTGATCACGTCCCAGCAGCTCGAAGTAAACTTCGATGGCAATTACGTCAATAAGTAAGTGCTCAACAGAACGAGGAACGATTTCTCTGAAACTGTCGGCCAGTCTCAACGCGATTTTTCTATCGTTCTTGATGGATGCGTCGGATCAAAGCGTAAGAGAAGCATCGCGGGACGCGGTTTTAATTTATAGTTCTCCGAAAAACGGGTCAAACGTTTCCGAATGAAAAATGTCTGCTCGTTCCTGGAAGTTTGCAACGTAAACTTGGGACAAACGTTTTTAAATGGTTCGACGTACAGTTTGTCGCGCGGCAAGTTGCGGGGAGATAGCTTTAACGAGGTAGCGGGCAAAGTAATTACACAAGGTGAAAACAATGGGCAGGGGATAACAGGTATTCGTTCCCAATGGCAACTGTCGCCCACTGCAATCTCTGTTCTGCATAACTGCATTGTTATTCGCTGGCAGGAGCGTTAGCTACCGTGTTTAAATGTTTATTCTTTCAATTACGCTGCCCTTTCTTCTCCATCGAGTCGACAGAAGTGATTACTTCGTACCATTTCGCTTTGCGATGATTTTGTCGTTGGATTCGGGACTCAGTTGCGTTGTTGTTTAGCTTCGAGACGAGCAACGGGATCAGCCACCAAGAATCAGGCCAGCCTAAGCAAGTGGACAACGAGACCCCGGTGGTCTCGCAGGGTTCGGATTCTTACACGGCGCCGGATGGCCAACAAGTCAGCATCACGTACATAGCCGACGAGAATGGCTTCCAAGTGCAAGGATCTCACATCCCCACGGCACCGCCGATACCACCAGAGATCCAAAGGGCGCTCGAGTGGAACGCGGCTCATCCCGAGGAGGACGACGGCGGTCAACCACGACCACCTGGCCGAGGTTTGATCCTCAGAACATCCCCCTAAACCCCATACTTTACTTTACTTTACATTACGCTTCCTAGAGTTCACAATTATCTTCTCAGAACTCCCCAATTAAAACAATCCAAGGTACTTCAATCTACTTAGAATTTCCAACACTTGGGAGTCTTGAATTAAGTTTCTCAGAGGCGATGGAACAAAAGTAGATTATCGTATCGCGGTTTAGAGTAATTATTTTGAGAATGTTAGGTGTTAACGTAAGTTAGAGCGTGATAATGAACGCGAAAGCGTTGTTCGGTAATTAACAGGATTCTCTTTCCATTCGGCAGGTTAATCAGCCCAACTATACCTCAAACGTGACCTGATTTCGAGCCAGCCATGGACAGAACCGACCCCGAGCCTCCGATGCAACCATAAAAATAAATATAGCGTGGTATATTAATCTAGGATTATACGTAACAGAAAAAAAAATATGGCGCGAGCCGATCCGGTGTATATTAACTATATACTTCGAGATTCTTTATCATACCTTGTATAGAAGAAAGTAATGCGCACTGTTCAGCAGCTTACGACAGGATCGTGCCGATGCGTGCACGCTGCTTTCACACGTAAAACGCGTAAAAAAATAAACGACGCCGTCGCAGTTGCGTGGATGCGTATCGAGCGTCGATAGTATATATAATACGTATACTTTAACTTGTGATTTTTGTATATAAATAAAAGCGTTTTGCCGATGAATTTCTTTACTTTTACATTGTTTGACAGCAGTGAACCTTCTTCTCCTATGGACAATCAGTTATGGACACTCGAAATCAACACTTGTGTTTCCTAATTAATAACTATATGGAACTAGAAGCTATTGTAAATTCTTACCAACGTTTTTCTAATTTTTAATAAATTTCCTTCACGCTCTATGAGAATGTTGTTCAATACTTTTCTATAGGTACCTATGAGTTCTACTTTCCCTAAAAATTCCATTGAAATATATTCACTATTGTAGGAGTTATGGTCGTTTGAAAATTGCACCATTTTTCATGGGGTTTTTTTAACTTTACGGGGTCAAGATTCAACTTTTCGAACATTCTTAGAATTTCTACGTATTCTTCGCTAAAATATGCGTTGTTTGCGTTTTGAATCATTATAGTCATGATCAGACATTATATTTTCAGTAATGAATTTTTTTTTCGAAAGTGGCTAGGATTTCGGGGGTATGTCTATTCACCAAAAAATATTGTAATTGACCCCAGAACTTAGAAATAATTTTTTTAGATCGATTTGAAATTTTTTAATTTCACCGAAAAATTACATACCTTCTACAATTTTTTTCTTGAAAGTGGGTAGGATTTCGGGGGCATGTCTGTTCACCAAAAGTGATTGTACTTGACCCCTGCAACCGAGAATAATTTTTCCAAAACGATTTGAAATTTTTTTTTCCGTCGAAAAATTTGACACCTTCTCGAATTTTTTTCTAGAGAACGGGTAGGATTTCGAGGGTATGTGTATTGACCAAAAATGATTGTACTTTACCCTAGAACCTAGAAATAATTTTTCCAAAACAATTTGAAATTTTTTTTTCCGTCGAAAAATTTGACACATTCTCGAATTTTTTTCTAGAAAACGGGTAGGATTTCGAGGGTATGTGTATTGACCAAAAATGATTGTAATCGACCCCCGCAACGGAAAATAATTTTTTTAGAACGATTTGAAAATTTTTAATTTTGTCGAAATTTGCCTAACTTTTGGAATTTTTTTCTCGAAAGTGCGTAGAATTTCGAGGTTATGTCTATTGACCAAACATGATTGTAATCGACCCTTGCAACTGAAAATAATTTTTTTAGAACGATTTGAAAATTTTTAATTTTGTCGAAATTTGCCTAACTTTTGGAATTTTTTTCTCGAAAGTGCGTAGAATTTCGAGGTTATGTCTATTGACCAAAAATGATTGTAATCGACTCCTGCAACTGAAAATAATTTTTTTAGAACGTTTTGAAAATTTTTAATTTTGTCGAAATTTGCCTAACTTTTGGAATTTTTTTCTCGAAAGTGCGTAGAATTTCGAGGTTATGTCTATCGACCAAAAATAATTGTAATCGACTCCTGCAACTGATAATAATTTTTTTAGAACGATTTGAAAAATTTGTTTTTCGCCAAAAAATCTCAGCATACTCGAATTTTTTTCTCGAAAATGGTTTGGATTTCGAGGTTATGTCTATTGACAAAAAATGATTATCATCGACCCTTACAACTGAAAATAATTTTTTTAGAACGATTTGAAAATTTTTAATTTTGTCGAAATTTGCCTAACTTTTGGAATTTTTTTCTCGAAAGTGCGTAGAATTTCGAGGTTATGTCTATCGACCAAAAATAATTGTAATCGACTCCTGCAACTGATAATAATTTTTTTAGAACGATTTGAAAAATTTGTTTTTCGCCAAAAAATCTCAGCATACTCGAATTTTTTTCTCGAAAATGGTTTGGTTTTTACGGTTATGTCTATTGACAAAAAATGATTATCATCGACCCTTACAACTGAAAATAATTTTTTTAGAACGATTTGAAATTTTTTTTTTGTACATTTTTTTTTCCTTAAATATAACATTATTAATAACTCGATCGATTACTGGTTTTTTTATTGAGAATTAAGACCTTACACATTTTGTACCAATTGAGAATACGGTTTCGCTAAACGTTTTGCCAAGCTCTATGCATACTTCAATGTTGTTGACCTTTTGTTTGCATTTTTCAACTCACGAATAAATACTCTTACTTTCAATGTTACAACGTGATTTCTAATCAACTAAATACTATAAAGCTTGTACACGTTATCAACATAATTTTCTATCGATATTATTACTGTTTTTCTTTATTCTTAACAGGTTTAATATTTTTGAATAACCCAGCTTAGAATTAAAGCACTCGAAACGTCGTTTGACATGTGGTTTGTATATTTATAGCAACTGGTTATTTACAATACCAGTTAATTGACGATGAAGGTGCAGATTGATTACAGGTTGCTCGTCCTGTAATCTAGCCGGAAAGGTTTACTCGAATACGTGTTACCGGTCATACGATGGTGAACCGGTATCACCGAGTGACATTTGACGGAAAATGTCGGTGATAGCGTAGCGTACAAACTATAAAAGGTGCACGGGAGACTCACCCGTTCATCAGTTCGGTTTCATTCGTTATAACTGGAAAACCACTAACCGAGGTAGCTGCTTGAACATTCAATTCTCGACAACAACAAAATTACATTCGTCGGTCATTGACCTTTCAGAATTTTATCAATACACGACAGAATCTAATTTATTTCACTATTAATTAACGCAGATATTACGATAATCGCGTCGATCAGTGGCTAACGAACTGTACATCCTCTAAACCGTGCAATTTCTTTTCAAGAAACCACCCACGCCATGTTCACCATCACTGTTTTCCTTCTAAACATGATGGGTATGGCGTTAGCTGCGGGCAACGAGATCCCCATCGTCAGTCAGAGCCAGGACATCAGTCCAGACGGTAGTTTTTCCGCGAAATGGGAAACTGGCAACGGTATTACCTATCAGGAGGAGGGATTCCTGAAGAATCCTGGCCAAAAGGACACAGAGGCTGAAGAAGTCCGGGGTTCCGCGTCCTGGACCGCTCCGGACGGTACCAAAATCAACCTCGGCTGGCTGGCCAACGAAAATGGCGCCAATTTTCAAGGAGCCCATCTACCGACACCACCGCCCACGCAACCAGTGCCTGTTCTCATTCAGCGTGCCCTCGACTGGATAGCCGCTCATCCCTACAAGGAAGAGAAGAATAGATTGTAATTTTTCACGACGTTTCACTAAAATAACAATTGAGGTCCTTCGAGGTCTTCCTCTTCCTCTTCCCAAGCGCGTAAATGCCTCGAATGCACAGGACCTAGGCTTATCAGGGCCTGGGTGATCCTTTCTACTTCTGAAACGGTTGGTAAAAGACACAATGTTATTACTGCGGAAATATATTTACCATTCTATTACTTTTCTCCTATTATTTACCTTCCTCTTCATGGCGTAACATATTTCTTCAACTATCGTCGATTCTATTGCTTGTAGAAAAATTTACAAAAATTCCAGAAGTGTACTGTACACACGACCTCGATACTTGCACGTTGAAAATTTCCATAAGAGCTGTGAAGGTTGTAAATATCGAGGGGTGGTAGAAATAAAATGGATCAGTGTCTTGAATTGCAACGTTTATTCCGTATGCATCGGTGACATATACTAAACAACGATTATTTACACTGTCGTTGCTCGTAGTAGATGCTCGCGTCTGCATGCGCGACGATACATAATACATAATACATAATACATTATATAATAGGGTATAACGATATAATACATGTGTATGTGTTATACGTATGTATGTACCTCGGTAAGTATAAAATAAATATTTACAGCAAATTGAACCAGAGTGGTGAACGCGTGTTATAGCTGGACGGGAGAGGCAACGACGGCTAGCGACTCATTGTATTTCGTGGCGTTAAAATTGAGGGGCTCGGGTGAGATCACTGACGACGGACGTGTTATCGTTTACACCTGGTTCTGGTCATCCTTGGAGGGATGCGCCGCTATCCACTCGAGCGCTTTCTGAATTAGGGGCGGGATCTCGGGCGTGGTGGGCAGATGAGCGCCCTGCGGTTGGAATCCGTCAGCGTTCGCGACGTACGTCAGCGAGATTTGCTGGCCGTCGTCGCTCTGATAACTGAAGCTGCCCTGCGCGTTCATCGCCTCGTTCTCGGACCCAGCGTTTTGCACCTGGCCCTCCTCGTCCGCTTTAATCCCGTTACCAGCCTCGTAGTTCCATTTGTACGAACCGTCCGGGTTCGGGCCCTCTTGGCTCTGGCTGACGATCGGCACCACGTCCTCCGCGGGGGCGGATGACACGCAGCACGCTAGCGCGAGCACAGCTATCTAAACAATCCCAAAACAAAACCATCATCGATTTTCTCGTTCAAGCTTAACCATCGAGATAATGTATGATTGGTAATGAAGAGTTTGAAAGTTCATGAAGCTCTAAACACCGCGTCGATTATGTGTCACGTCACTGGAGATGAACAGATACTCAGTGTTCGCGTCATTGTGCCAGGCAAGACCGTTTCCCGCGATTTAGCGATGCATCGGGTGCAAGAGTTATGCAAGTGCCTGTTGCACGAAGGATCTAGCCTACTTTACAAATAACGAATCAAAATGTTCGATTCCTGTGCAAACAAACCTCGTAACTTAACACTTTACCGACCGGGTAAACGCCGACCGATAAAACAGTTTATTACCGGCTATCAGTCGGTAAGCGTTAGCCGGTAAAACAGTGGATTAATAGGCTATCAGTCGGTAAGCGTTAGTCGGTAAAACAGTCGATTAATAGGCTATCTGTCGGTAAAGTGTTAAGATGGGCACATAAACGGAAGTAATGGAATTTTTATACGTTCAAGAGGAACAGTACGCGTACCAACTGGACGCAGTAGGCGATACCGTTTTGAGTCAGCCACGATCGCCCCGGTAGTGCAACTTTTATTCGATCGGACGTGGCTGCATCGCGCAGAGATCTTCGATGATATCGAACGTTCTGCACTGTACGATTTCTATATCTAAGATTGCACGTTTCTATTCCCAAATCTGACTAATAATTTGCGATACGAGATACACACTTTGGTTCCGATCTACGATAAGTTCACGGCGTCCTCGGGGACCAAATGCACCCTACTCACCTTTCGAGCGGTTCGAAATGTATAGAAAGAAGACACCAGGCAACGTTTCACAGAGTTTCCGGTACGTATCACGGCACAAGAGACGCGATGGTACGGGCGTGTCGCGGCACTCGACGAAATTCTCCTAAACGAGGGCTCACTGAGGACTATCCCGGATCTCTCGACGGACTTGGATCGAATTTTTTTTTTTTTTTAATTACGCTTACCAGTGACGTGTACATGGTGCAGCAGTAATCGCTGATGGGCAAGTGTTTATCAAGCCCCGCAGCGCTCGTCGTATATATACCCCTCGAGGCATCACCAATACGACCAAGTTTACGATAGCCACTGTGTTCCTAAGAGGACGCACATGGGACACGGCGACACATCGCCAGACAGAGAGAAATCACGACCGGGAGTGACAAAGATACAGAGATTTAGAGGGAGAGAGACGGGTACAGGTGGTACCTCAAGGGGGGTTACACGGATCCTCGTTTAACTTGCGCCAATGCACGCTGATATGCATGTGTGGGGCACCAACAACACACTGTACATCACCCGGAGAGAGACTACTATCCCGGGGATCAGCATGTCACATTGCGCTAAATGTCATCGGGTCCCCGTTAAAGGATGCTTACTCAATTGTCATAATTTCTTTAACGACGCAAAGTCGCGTACGGGGGGAACCGATGGTGAATCCAGATATCCCAGGAAGTCTCAGAAATAGATCTCGCAACGTTGGATCTAGGAAATCATCTCGAGTTTATTTTCAACGTTCCATTACCAAATAATTCTATCTGGCCAGGTTTTCACCAGTTTTTCATCCTATTAAAAACCTGCCAAGCACGTCGGAAAGTCGACAGGTGTGATTTATGAATTTTTGTGACACGCGGACGTAAAAAGGTGTGGCTCGTGTTTTCGTCCAGTTTCGTATTCATATATTTCGGGTGTTCGTTCGATTTTCGCGGAAAATTTCATTTCTTGAAAGCGCTAAAAGCTTTTGCGCGATGTATATAAGTTGTTTCTTTTCAGTTTGTTATTAACGACCAGTCGACGAGGTAATCCGTCGCGAATTAACGTCTGAATTTTTCTTGTACCCGGATTCGATTACAATGATATCGATAGCATCGATTGATCGTTAAATATCGTGAATAGCAAGCATGACGTGGTTTAAATCATTAACTGGAAGCAACCTTTCATTACCAACAATGCTCTGTCAAAGTTCTAACAGTTCACTTTGTCGCTAATTTTCTTTTCAAACGTTAGAATGATCGTAATGAACGATAATTGCAGTAGAATTCTCTGCGGTACGTAATAGGTTGTATTCTCTAACATTTAAACACGCGATTTTCTTGGATTCTTTAATTATTTGCGTTGAATATTTTTTGTTTCCGTGTCTTTCTAGGCGATACTTTTTATAAATCTTTCTATTCTATTTTAAACGTGCTCGACTCATCGTTATTACCTTGAATAGAGCGTAAACGCGCATCTGTTTAATCGGGAATCAAAGTTGCCCGATCGGAATGTTAATGATTGATTATTGATAGGCATTAACGATCGTGTATTAATTACGATTTAGACTGGGGCTTTTTGTACGGAGAAAAACTTGTTGTAATTTAACCATGCGTGTACGTCGTGTTTTACGTAACATTTGTAAACCGCGGTTAATTGATGAAATGGTGGCTAAACCAAGTGTTAAACACGGTTGTACCTGTCGAATATTCCTGCTCATTTGTTTACCATTAATTTATGATTAATTTTCTAATAAAAATACCTGTTTAGGACTTTGCATCGATCATTCCACTTTAGGAAGACGGTTTTAAACGATACAACTAATAAATTATTAAATCGACGAAGGGACGATTAATTATCCGCTTCTTTTACGGAAAATGCAAGGAACACCTTCTACCGATAATAAATTCTCCGTTTCTCAGGAATGTCCAAGTTCCTTGTTCGAAACAACACTTGCAGCGGTGCGTGATTCACCGGTGGCACGTAATCGATATCTATGAACAATTATCTCCAGGTTACTGTTCGTTCATCGATTTTTTTTAATGGAATTAAACATCCCCCGGAGATTATAAAAATATTATAGAAAACGACGAGTTACGATTGTTCAGCGAATAAAAAATTCCCTAGTGGTATGCAGAAACGAGCAACGAATATTTTAATTCAACGTACGCCTGCACTTCGCTAATTGACACGTTAAAATACAGAACAAATTTCTTCTGCAAATAGTCACCGGGTTCACCAGATGCCGGATTGCGGTATGGCAAATATAGGGGAAAGTCAGCGCGGTATGTTTGTGCTTTTAATTAGCTGGTTTGCGTAATAGTGCATACAAAAGACGTGGAAATAAATATCACTCGTGAAAGTAGCCGAATGGATAACATCTTTTTAGAGTGTCGCGATCTATCGAACATGTTCCATGACGATCGAAGGGTTGAATCTTCGTTGCAACTTGTTATTTTTTTCTCGAAAGTAGATAGGATTTCGGAGGTATGTGTGCTCACCAAAAATGATTGTAGTTGACCCCCGCAACCGAAAATAATTTTTCCACAACGATTTGCAATTTTTTAATTTTCTCGAATAATTTCACACCTTCTCTATTTTTTTTCTCGAAAGCGGGCAGGATTTCGTGGGTACGTCTAATGACAAAAACTGATTGTAATTGACCCCTGCAACCGAAAATAATTTTTTTAAAATGATTCGAAATTTTTTAATTTTTCCAACTATTTCACACATTCTCGAATTTTTTTTTAGAAAATGGGTAGGATTTCAATGGTATGTCTATTGAGCAAAAATGATTGTAACTGACCCCTGCAATCGAAAATAATTTTTTTAGAAAGATTGGAAAAATTTTTTTTTCGCTGAATAATTTAAGCGTTCCCCCTGTCGATTTCTGGAAAGAATTAGTTTTCAATTTTCAATCATTTTGTTTGACGTCGTACAGAAAAGTTTTCTAATACTTTTTTGTAGGTACCCATGAGCTCTACTTCAGAAAAAAGTTTCATTGAAATCTATTCACTATTATAGGAGTTATGGTCATCTGAAAATTAGTCCACTTTTATGGGGGTTTTCTTATTTTGTGAGGTGAAGAACCAACTTTTCGAATATTTTTAGAATTTCTACATATTCTTCACTAAAATACGCGTTGTTTGCCGTGTCAAACATTAAAATCGTCCAATCCGTTCAGAAGTTATGACCTTTTTAAGATTCGCAAGGAAATTCGAGCAGACATTTCCAGCCATAAATTACATTTTCAGTAAGGAATTTTTTTCTCGAAAGTGCGTACGATTTCGGAGGTATGCGTAACGATAAAAAACGATTGTAATTGATCCCCGCAACCGAAAATAATTTTTTTAGAACGATTTGAAAGAATTTTTTTTCGCCGAAAAATTTCACCACCTACTCGATTTTTTTTCTCGAAAGTAGATAGGATTTCGGAGGTATGTGTACTCACCAAAAATGATTGTAGTTGACCCCCGCAAGCGAAAATAATTTTTCCAGAACGATTTGAAATTTTTGAATTTAATTTTTAATAACTTTTTAACGAAGCTTCCATCAACAAATCGGTATTCTTGATTTTTGTCTTATTTTGGCCTCTAGAATCCGCCATTAAAATTTTTACCAGGGGTGGCCGAACACCCTGTATAATATCTAATACTTGCATCTAAAATCGATGCGTCGATATTATCAGATTACACCAAGCGTCGTTAATTGATAAAACGTTTGCATTAAACGATCATAAGTACCCTTTCAAAGGCCTCGATCTGTAATTAACATTTCCTTGTAATCTGCAGTCAACAGAATCTATAAAATTTCCCCCTCGAACGTTCAAAGTTTCGCTAACTCGAAACGCCTCGAATTATTCGATAAAACATACCGTTGCGTCAAGAAATTTCTTAAAGAGATGATCGATGGCAAATATTGTATACACTACGGCTCAAAAGTATTCGATTACTTACTTTTATCGTACTATTTATATCCTGCATTAATTATTATTGTTCCTTGGTAAGTACAGTTATGATTACGACAAGGATAGACTTTTGGAGCAAGAGAACTACCGGTTACTGTAAAAAATTTTGATTTATTCCCAACAGAATCCAGTTAATTTGTGCCAGAGAGATTCATTAATCTGAAGAGCCATGCTCGTGTGATTTCGAAGTTAATCGAAACTTTTTTTCTAACTAAATCACACGAATTCGTGAAACTTTCCAACTAGCTTGCCCCAGTCTGTAACGAGACGATCGACGCAAATAAATCTGAAACCGTTCGAGCTTATTTTCGAAGCAATTCATTCGCGTAATACCGTCCTTTTTATTTGTTCGATTATGTTTATCGAATTGAGTCACCTGAAGAGCGTTCCTTTTTATTTCAGTACATCGTGTCCATGGCTCCCTCAGCGGAATAATGTCTTCGGGGAACAGAATTCACGGGTTTGTAAATTATACCGCGTTGAATGTCAGCCTACGCGAGCATGGATCGCAGGCAGACGCGAAAAATGCATCGACGCGAAGAAATCCACGCGAATTTCGGTCCCCCCTTTAACGAAGCGCTTTTTTTTTTTTTAATTGGTGATTAAACATGATCGACAGTCTCTCGTTATTCCGCTACGGTAAATTTTCCCTTTTTTCCCCCCGGAAATAACAGCAACTCCTAGACACCCGGATACTCTGTTAAACTCGTAACGTTGCTCGAACAATGGAAAAACATTTATAATCTGTTTCTCCGCAGTTTTCATTGACGGAGTACCTTTGATCGTGCGTTAACACCGACTTTCTCTCTATCTCCCTCTCTTCTCACTTTCCCTTGTTTATTCTCCCGTATTCTGATTCATCTTCTTACCTTCTCGCTCGTTATTTTACTCTTTAATCTCTCTTCCATCCACTTGTACTTTAACCTTCTCTTTATTCCCTTACTCCCGCTGTCCCTGTTCCGTTATACCCGATTCTCTCTCACTTCGTCTCTTTCATTCAAGTACGCATTCCGAGGAATGCGCAGCGCTCGTAAGTGCATCCGCGTGTAACCTTTCTGCGAGTATAGAACTTCTATTGCAACAACCGTGCATATAGCGCATATATCGTACTTATAAGGCCGTTGGAAATCCATTACCTTGCCGACTGATATTTCAAATTTACTCCCTACTCTTCCTTTGCAAATTTGTCAAACTTTTCGACCACTTGGTCCTTCGATTTAATCCTCAAAAAAAGAGAAAGTACTCAAAAATCGGTATTTCAAACGCTTGGAAACTTTGATGTTTCTAGCCTCGGCGTCTGATTTATCATCGACTCCTCCACTCTAAAGCTATTAATCAAATCACGAAAAGAAGAACAGAAGAATCTATTCTTCTGTTTAGGAAACTTAGATTCAGCCATCTATGTCACGACTGTGCAGAGATTTCAGAATGTTCTCTATTTGGAGTGTCGACGTAACAGCTTATTGCGCATCCAGCGTCGTTAAACACTCGATTATCGCATGCTTGTCGATCACGATTACCATGATAATAATTTCTGTCGCTTTCCTGTGTCTCACAGAGACTGTGGAGAACAGAAATCGCTTGGATTCCCGACTTTTAAACGAATGGTCCTCGACGCCAGGGTACACTTAGCCGTACCCTGCACCTAAGATGAAAGTAAAATTGAATTTGGCGTGCGTTACGTCTTCTAGCCTCCGGGTAGGCGCTCTCTTAGAATGCTCGAGGTATATACACACTTATATGTCAAGGTCGTCTTCTACCAGCAACTTCTTTACCGGTTTACGATTTATTTGCAATGACTCGGTACCGATCATTACCGTCTTCGACTACCTCGGGGCTCCGGGAGCGCAGAAATACGTTTGAATGCATACACTACCGGTCAAAAGTATCCGATCGCCTGCTATATGCCCAAACGAAAAGAAAAGACAAGGAAATTTTAATTTATTTCTCGAGGATTTATTTCGTTCGCGTGTACAATATGTTCGTTGCTCTTTCAAGAGCGTAACTATGGCCTGAGGCAAGGTTTGCTAGGTCAGCCTTATTGATGAGTACACGGATGAAACGCCAATCATTTTTGTACCAAGCATGGCTCTTCAAGATTAATGAATCTCTCTGGCACAAATTAACTGGATTCTGTTGGGAATAAATCAAAATTTTTTACAGTAACCACAGTAGTTCTCTTGCTCCAAAAGTCTATCCTTCTCGTAATCATAACTGTACTTACCAAGATAAAATAATCAATAATAATTAATGCAGGATATAAATAGTACGATAAAAGTAAGTAATCGAATACTTTTGAGCCGTAGTGTATACAATATTTGCCATCGATCATCTCTTTAAGAAATTTCTTGACGCAACGGTATGTTTTATCGAATAATTCGAGGCGTTTCGAGTTAGCGTAACTTTGAACGTTCGAGGGGGAAATTTTATAGATTCTGTTGACTGCAGATTACAGGGAAATGTTAATTACAGATCGAGGCCTTTGAAAGGGTACTTATGATCGTTTAATGCAAACGTTTTATCAATTAACGACGCTTGGTGTAATCTGATAATATCAATGCATCGATTTTAGATGCAAGTATTAGATATTATACAGGGTGTTCGGCCACCCCTGGTAAAAATTTTAATGGCGGATTCTAGAGGCCAAAATAAGACAAAAATCAAGAATACCGATTTGTTGATGGAAGCTTCGTTAAAAAGTTATTAAAAATTAAATTCAAAAATTTCAAATCGTTCTGGAAAAATTATTTTCGGTTGCGGGGGTCAACTACAATCATTTTTGGTGAGCACACATACCACCGAAATCCTATCTACTTTCGAGAAAAAAAATCGAGTAGGTGGTGAAATTTTTCGGCGAAAAAAAATTCTTTCAAATCGTTCTAAAAAAATTATTTTCTGTTGCGGGGATCAATTACAATCGTTTTTTATCATTACGCATACCTCCGAAATCGTACGCACTTTCGAGAAAAAAATTCCTTACTGAAAATGTAATTTATGGCTGGAAATGTCTGCTCGAATTTCCTTGCGAATCTTAAAAAGGTCATAACTTCTGAACGGAGTGGACGATTTTAATGTTTGACACGGCAAACAACGCGTATTTTAGTGAAGAATATGTAGAGATTCTAAAAATATTCGAAAAGTTGGTTCTTCACCTCACAAAATAAGAAAAACCCCATAAAAGTGGACTAATTTTCAGATGACCATAACTCCTATAATAGTGAATAGATTTCAATGAAACCTTTTTCTGAAGTAGAGCTCATGGGTACCTACAAAAAAGTATTAGAAAACTTTTCTGTAAGACGTCAAACAAAATGATTAAAAATTGAAAACTAATTCTTTCCAGAAATCGACAGGGGGAACGCTTAAATTATTCAGCGAAAAAAAAATTTTTCCAATCTTTCTAAAAAAATTATTTTCGATTGCAGGGGTCAGTTACAATCATTTTTGCTCAATAGACATACCATTGAAATCCTACCCATTTTCTAAAAAAAAATTCGAGAAGATGTGAAATAGTTGGAAAAATTAAAAAATTTCGAATCATTTTAAAAAAATTATTTTCGATTGCGGGGGTCAATTACAATCAGTTTTTGTCATTAGACGTACCCACGAAATCCTGCCCGCTTTCGAGAAAAAAAATAGAGAAGGTGTGAAATTATTCGAGAAAATTAAAAAATTGCAAATCGTTGTGGAAAAATTATTTTCGGTTGTAGGGTTCAATTGCAGTCATTTTTGGTGAATAGACATATCCCCGAAATCTTGCGCATTTTTGAGAAAAAAAATTCAGTAAGGGCGGCACTTTAAACGTTAATAACTTTTTAACGAAGCTTTCATCAACAAATTGGTATTCTTGATTTTTGTCTTATTTTGGCCTCTAGAACACCCTGTATAGTGTAATTTAATACGTTCTTATCCGGGGCGAACATGCACGATCAGCTTAACTTCGTGTTTTGCGTTTAAGCGTATAAATCCCGGAGATCTCTTCAGCACCTGGAATAAAATGATCCCGAAATTTCAGCCGGTCCTTTATCCAACGCGTTATTTGCTTGGCGTTGTTTGCTTTGTTGCATAACATTACAATAATTTTCTACGCACCTCTCGATTACGCAACACGATCGACGGAGCCTCGTGTTGCGACAGGATTCAAAGATGCGCGGCTCCCCGGGTGCAAAAAACCCAGACAGCTTTTTTCTTTCTCTTTATTTTCTCTTCTTTGTCATCGAGGTGCAATCGTTCCGCGAAGAACCTCGTAAACTCCGTCAGCTTTTGCCTTTACGCGCCGCCTGGTGCTCCGTAGACCTTCGAGATTTATAGCTAGACGTTATCGAGGAAATTTCGCCTCCTCGTCAACGGCTGTCTTCGATTAACCGGTGACATTTAAAAATGTCGAACAAGACGCTTTGACGCTGCAAAGGATGTCAGATTGCACTTTTGGCGGTGCTGAAACTGTCGAGGAACACATCAAATGTTATTTTTTAATCGAAAGTCTCATCAAATAGCTAGATGCAAGAATTTATTCCTGGAATCTGGACTTGGATGACCTTTCTCCTTGGTCAAAAGAATACTCTGTATTTTCTATTACACCTTTGCATGGAGATTCTGTTTTGTTCAGAAAGAAGGTATCACTGGATAGATTTTCGATGTAAAACTTGGAAGAAAACACACCTTAAACTCCTTAATACTTAAATATATATTTATTCAGTAATCGTAAACGAGCATTTAGTGATAACGTTACATAATGTCTTACATCCTCATTAGTGCGTACACGCGTGAAACATCACTTTGCAGCCATTGCATCGACTACCGTTCGAAATCGCGAATTACATTACATTTAGAATAATTTATACTAACATACAAGTTCTAATTTGTAAGTCTGTAGAGAGGAATTGCGTGTAATTGGACTTATCGTCGCGTCAACGATCTATCATCGGTCTCTGTTCCTTGATCAGCGAGTTTTGTCTTGCTCAGGATGAGCGGCAATGTATTCGAGGGCCTTGAGAATCCCTTCAGGGATCGGATGGGGTGTCGGGAGGTGTTCGCCCTTGGGCTGGAAGCCATTTTCATCGGCTACGTAGCTCAAAGCCACGGGAGATCCATCTTCGAGCGAGTAGCTGTACGATCCTTGGACAGCGATCACAGAGGTAGTTTCGTTCAACTGCTTCAGTTGGCCGCGTTCCTCAGCTTTGATGCCGTTTCCAGTCTCGTAGCTGAAGACATAAGATCCGTCAGGGTTTGGTCCTTCCGCTGTATACGCCAAAATGGCCACCGGGGTCGTGGGGTCCACCGGAGCAGCAGACATGGTCGCCATCAGGGCAAACAGGATGCAAATCTGAAGAAATTTTTATTTTATTTAGCTCCAACTTGGCTGATTTCAATCCTTGGGATCTAGATGGTCAACACAGTACCTTTCATGAATAGCAATATATGTATATCTCTTAAGTATAGAAAATTGTAATATACAGGGTGTTCGGCCACCCCTGGGAAAAATTTTAATGGCGGATTCTAGAGGCCAAAATAAGACAAAAATCAAGAATATCAATTTGTTGATGGAAGCTTCGTTAAAAAGTTATTAACGTTTAAAGTGCCGCCCTTACTGAATTTTTTTCTCAAAAATGCGCAAGATTTCGAGGGTATGTCTATTCACCAAAAATGACTGCAATTGAACCCTACAACCGAAAATAATTTTTCCACAACGATTTGCAATTTTTTAATTTTCTCCAATAATTTCACACCTTCTCTATTTTTTTTCTCGAAAGCGGGCAGGATTTCGTGGGTACGTCTAATGACAAAAACTGATTGTAATTGACCCCCGCAACCGAAAATAATTTTTTTAAAATGATTCGAAATTTTTTAATTTTTCCAACTATTTCACATCTTCTCGAATTTTTTTTTAGAAAATGGGTAGGATTTCAATGGTATGTCTATTGAGCAAAAATGATTGTAATTGACCCCTGCAATCGAAAATAATTTTTTTAGAAAGATTGGAAAAATTTTTTTTTCGCTGAATAATTTAAGCCGTTCCCCCTGTCGATTTCTGGAAAGAATTAGTTTTCAATTTTTAATCATTTTGTTTGACGTCTTACAGAAAAGTTTTCTAATACTTTTTTGTAGGTACCCATGGGCTCTATTTCAGAAAAAAGTTTCATTGAAATCTATTCACTATTATAGGAGTTATGGTCATCTGAAAATTAGTCCACTTTTATGGGGTTTTTCTTATTTTGTGAGGTGAAGAACCAACTTTTCGAATATTTTTAGAATCTCTACATATTCTTCACTAAAATACGCGTTGTTTGCCGTGTCAAACATTAAAATCGTCCTCTCCGTTCAGAAGTTATGACCTTTTTAAGATTCGCAAGGAAATTCGAGCAGACATTTCCAGCCATAAATTACATTTTCAGTAAGGAATTTTTTTCTCGAAAGTGCGTACGATTTCGGAGGTATGCGTAATGATAAAAAATGATCGTAATTGATCCCCGCAACCGAAAATAATTTTTTTAGAACGATTTGAAAGAATTTTTTTTCGCCGAAAAATTTCACCACCTACTCGATTTTTTTTCTCGAAAGTGGATAGGATTTCGGAGGTATGTGTACTCACCAAAAATGATTGTAGTTGACCCCCGCAACCGAAAATAATTTTTCCAGAACGATTTGAAATTTTTGAATTTAATTGTTAATAACTTTTTTAACGAAGCTTCCATCAACAAATTGGTATTTTTGATTTTTGTCTTATTTTGGCCTCTAGAATCCGCCATTAAAATTTTTACCAGGGGTGGCCGAACACCCTGTATATCTCTTAAATATATAGAAAATTAAAATATAGGTAAATCGAAGATCGAAGTCGAGGTGTTATTTTAATGGTAAATAATTGATTTTTTTGGCCGCTGGATTTTCCTGTGTAACTCACCAAAGTGCTCATGTTGATCAGAGTAGTGTTCTCGTTGTAAAGAACAACTCTAACGGCCGGGTTTATATAGCGGTGCCGAAACCTTGCGAGGTGCGAGGACCTCCCTCTCATTGATAGATTTCTGGCCAAGCCTTAGACACTGGCAAACATTACGAAATTTTCTGGAGGGTCTAATAGAGGGGCACGACGAGCACTGACCACAGTACAGACTCGCGACGTCTCGTCAACGTGTACCAACTCTGTCCCTGTGGACATGCTCATCAAGCTTCTTGGAAACGTATTCAAATTTGCGGTCGAAGACAACCACGTCATGTGAGTAGGATTTAAACGGGTCAATTTCCATTTGGAAAACCATTCTTTTCCGAAAGCGTGATCAGAGATGGACGAGTGCAGGAGAAGAAAAGTGTCTGTAACATTATCTTTGTTATTAATCCAAGACACGAGTGTTTGTTTCAGTTTCTCGAAGATAGTTCCATTTTCTTAGCAAACTAAAATTGAGTTCGATTAATTTAATAGCTTTGCAACGATAGACTGTAGTACTGAGAGAAGAATGGTTGATTTTCTATTCAAAATTCGTCGAGTGTCCCGGTGACTTGGTAATTAATAATTAAATATTTTGGTAAGAAATGTGGGTTTGAAAGGACGACGTATGTCATGCTTAAAAATGCATTTGGCGACACGTATGTACCAGAAAAAAGAAGGTCTGCCAAATATGGAATGCCTTTGCCTCGCTTCCATTGACCCGGTGATCCCTTTGTGGGAATTTTCGTGTTTCGCGTGTGTTATAAATTCAGCCCTGTAACGAATCCCCGGGGCCTTGGGGAAATGCACGCGAACCGAATACATAAGTTAATCTATCTTCTTCATGCGAGAGGCTGCCAAATTTTTTTCCCAGGAACCATGCACCGTTAACTGTCTCTTCAATTTGTCTCCGCTTATTGAAATTCTTTTCGTTATCTACGTGCATGGATTCCATTAAAATAGTCAAATTACAAGAATTCTCGTTAGGAATTTTTGTGTTTATCAGAGTCGAGGATCTCTGGCTCGACCAATTACGTAATAAAATATCTAAGATCGGACGTATCTTTTTTTTGGGGGGGTCTCACACAGGTGAAAGGACTGTTTTATTACTTTTCAAATATATTTTTTAACTGTGTCGCAAGATCGTTTCATAATTGTGCAAAAAACAGGAGAAATTCGAAGGACCTGAGATTCTAAGATCTTTGAAATCTTTTGAGAGCGATAGATCGTCGCCTAGGATCGAGTATTTAAAATTCTATTTGACACTGTGTGATATTTTAATGGATTAACACATTACCGACCGATATTAATCGACTTTTTTACCGACCAACGCTTACCGACCGATAGCGTATAAATCAACTTCTTTACCGACCAACGCTTACGGTCGGTAAAGTGTTAATAAACAAACGTTGCACGAAATTTGCCAACGGAGAGCGTTTCTTTGATCGATACTTGTTGCATTGGCGTGTTGGGAGGTGCAGGTGAATGTTCAGACTCCACTGGGAAGTGTCCTTTTGAGTCATCTACCTGTTTCTGCGTACGATTATTAGCCAGTTCGTTTTACAGTCGGTAATATAGTATTGAAATCTGGTTGCAAATACTACAGGGGCTTCTGAAAAATTTCTATAAAAATAAATATAAAAATATTGATGAAAGAAGAAGGCAAATGTGTTTGAAAACCACGCGAGCCGATTTTCAAGTCCACTCTGTACAAGGAGTAATTAAATGTACCTGCAACAATTGATAACGAATATCGGAAGACACGAATCTTCCTTTTGCGTTCATTAAGCCGCGGATGAAAAGGTTGTCGGTCGAGCCGAAGGCAGAAGTGATAAATTATCATAACCTGTCGTACGTGGTTCCTTAATCGGCGACTACGTAACGTTCCTTTGAGAAACTTTAAGGGAGTCGGCTCATCTCGTGAAAGTAAAAATACTGTACGAATTATGGCCCCGTGTCTTCTTCTCCCTGCTCGTGCTAGCAAACGGGACTTACCACGGGTCCTCCTGGCCCTGAATGAATCGAAGTGCAATCGAGAAGGCCCCGAAAACGTTCTCAGCGTCTCTACGTACATTCTCCGGGGATAATGACTCTCGATATTTATTACGAAGCTGTGTTCCTTTATTAATTCTGTAATTCGGACAACCCGGAGCTATTTATTCCCCTTTCTTATCGTAATTACACGGTTGTTGAATGTCCAATAATTTTAATTCTTTTATTGAATAATTCTAACAGGTAAACAAATTTGAAAAACGTTGTTCCAGACGATCTTGTCGAGTCATTTAACGAAGATCCCATTTAACACGAAAATCCTAAAATTGTCAACGAGACCAAAAGTTTGATTTCAAATTAAATAAATTGAACTCATTAAAATTTACGAAGCCTATTAAAATTTATTTTTTTTAGCATTTTAATTTGAGAATGAATTGTTTTAGTTTCGCTTCAAGTTTGGCGAAAGTTCTGTCACCCACATGTGGGTCACGCGGCAGTCAGAGTGTTTATTTTAATTCTTTTATTGAATAATTCTAACAGGCAAACAACACTTGAGAAACGCTGTTCCAGACGATCTTGTCGAGTCATTTAACGAAGATCCCATTTAACACGAAAATCCTAAAATTGTCAACGAGACCAAAAGTTTGATTTCAAATTAAATAAATTGAACTCATTAAAATTTACGAAGCCTATTAAAATTTATTTTTTTTAGCATTTTAATTTGAGAATTAATTGTTTTAGTTTCGCTTCAAGTTTGGCGAAAGTTCTGTCACCCACATGTGGGTCACGTGGCAGTCGAAGTGTTAATTTCTAATAGCAGAATGGCTTTCATTACGAAATACATAACCAATATGAATATTGTAAATGTTGTATGAAGCTACGGATGCCTTGTGTCCGGTCGTTGGGTGGTTATGCAGATTTCGTCCTTCGTAAACACCGCGTTATTACCTTTCGTTTCGTGGACAACCGATTTTAGAGTCAGTTACGGGATCATAAAATTCTATCGTGACGATCTGCCTTAATGTGGTAATAAATATTCCCGCGAGACGTCGTATTTTGTTTCCCATCGAACGCCATGGCTTTTCGGCTTCTAAATACCCGCAGTAATTGCAACGATAGTGAACTCCGATAACCGTTCTCATGGTAAAGTTACATACGTGATTAGCCTTCAAAGTAGCCTTGGTGTTTATGGTTTCTCGGTTATTTTTTTTTTAAATTTTTCTTTGTTACGTTTGAAATGAAATCGACCTTTCGATTTTTGGAGAAACGCGTGGATTTGTCTAGCATCCGAGCAATTTCGCAAGAAGCTTTTAATTTTTTACGCTCGTTTTCGTAACGATTGAGCATTTATTTTTAGTATTGAACATTATTATACATTTATTCCTCGAGGATTGTACAGACCCATTGCTCAATACCGTTTTCTTTTCTACGTAAAAATATACGACATCGACTATAAATTCGTATTAACCTTTCGCATTAAATCAGCTCTTGAAACGCAAAAAAGGCTTGAATTCTGATTGAAAATTAGAGGTAATCACGCTTATTAATAGCATCCACGCGAAACCGAAACCTTACTAGCCCATTTTTATCAACAACCTCTCCGACCAGTCGAAATTATGCAGGAAATTAGCAAATCTGGAAATGCCAAGCAGTCAAACTTCGAATTGTTGCGTTTCGAAGAGTTTCTTTCCTGTTGGACCATCGAAGAACCGATTTCCCTTTTTTTCGTTTATTACTTTTTCTCTCATTATGCACGTCCAAGGAGGAAGTTATGAAAGGTGTTCGGAGTAACAAGAAATTTATACTTTGCAAGTGTCCACAAGTTTCATATTTTACATGTCAGGGGTAATCAGATAATCGAGTGCCCCGTAAGGCACGAATCGTCCCCCCCTCCGTCTTTAAGTACCGAGACACACAGTGGTTCCTCCTTATATAACGTTACGCAACCGTTAAAACGTATCAATTCCTTTTGCACCTGCAGAAACGATGCACGAGCTGTAAATAAAGCGCACGGCGACGTACTGAGAAATTTACGAACGACGATCTGAACATTTGCGACTCCTTTTGCGAAACTTTTCGAATCTTTCGTTTCGGAAATGTAAATTTCATTCAGGTTACGCGGAGAGACCGGAAGATATCTGTTCTGTATCTTGATTAAGAAAAAGTTGCCAGAATGCACGGGTGATACCTGGATCTAGCCACAACCTTTCCGATCCACGGATCGACTGCTATTTTGTCCGTTCTTGATCCGTGTGTGTGGATCATCCGCAAAATTTGAAGGTGTCCAGGCTTGTCCAGAGTGGGAGGAGAAAGGGCTGGAGGGGGATTAAATAAGGCATCGCCTTGTCCGAAATTCTGCTGATGGATATATAAAGGGACCCTCTGCACGATATTTCGAGTCAGTGCAGTGAGAAGCTCGTGTCGGAAGAACCACGTTTACTTTTTGCTGGAAATCGACAAGTATCAAGGAAACACATCATCATGAACGGATTGGTGAGTTCGAGAACACGGTGTCGTCCTTTATGGGATCTTTGTGGGCAGATTGAAATGGGAATTCGAGGAACTGTGTTACGCCATACAGCGATCAGCCGTCTTAATAACAAAATTTACGTAAATTCTTGCACGATGAGCCCGTAAATATTGTCCATTCTTTCGATATTCGATACGTGACAAATCTTAAGATATGTCACACGTATATGCGTATAGAAAAATTATTTTTTTGTTCATTAATAAACGTCTCGTGACGTTCTTCGAAGTAGAATTATTAGAATAGAAATTCATTCTTAATTTTAAGTCAGAATAAATGTGATTTTTTTACGGAAAAAAAAAATTTTCAAATCGCTTTGGAAAAATTATTTTCAGTTGCGGGGGTCAATTACAAGCATTTTTGGTCATTAGATATACCCCAGAAATCCTGCGCATTTTCGAGAAAAAAATTCGAGAAGGTGTGAAATTTTTCAGCGGAATTAAAAAATTCCAAATCGTTTTGGAAAAATTATCTTTAGTTGCAGAGGTCAATTGCAATCATTTTTGGTCATTAGACATACCCCAGAAATCCTGCGCATTTTCGAGAAAAAAATTCGAGAAGATGTGAAATTTTTCAACAAAATTGAAAAATTCCAAATCGTTTTGGAAAAATTATCTTCAGTTGCAGAGGTCAATTGCAATCATTTTTTATCATTAGACATACGCCAGAAATCCTGCGCATTTTCGAGAAAAAAATTCGAGAAGGTGTGTAATTTTTTGACAAAATTAAAAAATTCCAAATCGTTTTGGAAAAATTATCTTCAGTTGCAGAGGTCAATTGCAATCATTTTTGGTCAATAGACATACCCTCGAAATCCTGCGCATTTTCGAGAAAAAAATTCGAGAAGGTATGAAATTTTTCGACAAAATTAAAAAATTCCAAATCATTTTGGAAAAATTATTGTCAGTTGCAGGGGTCACTTACAACCATTTTTGGTCAATAGACATACCCCCGAAATCCTTTCCAGTTTTGAGAAAAAAATTCGAATAGGTGCCTAAATTCGCCGAAAAAAAAAATTTTCAAATCGTTCTAGAAAAATTATCTTCAGTTGCTGGTACCAATTACAATCATATTTGGTCAAGAGACATACCTAAAAAATCCTATCCAGTTCCGAGAAAAAAATTCTTTACTGAGAACACAATGTGTTATATTTATTTTGAATTTTTCGAATTGTCGCAGAATAATGAAGTTTGCTTAGACATGTTTGATTTGCTTTTGGAGAACCTAGGTTTAGCTTGCCCAAGGCGTCCATTTCCAAATAGTTGGACAGACACTAACCATAATGCAAACATTTCCAGGTAATCGTCCTGTGCGCCGTAGCTGCGGTTGCATCCGCGCTCTCGCCAGTCTCCGTGGAGCCGCCAGTTCCAATTCTGAGACAGGTGGCCGAGGGTCCGAATCCCGACGGAAGCTACAGCTACAATTTCGAAACAGCGAACGGTATCCAGGCCCAGGAAGTCGGCTACCTGAAGGCACCTGGCACCACAGCCGAGGCTCGCGAGGCCCAAGGAGGCTACAGCTACACCGCGCCCAACGGCGAGGTAGTCCAAGTGAACTACGTCGCCAACGAGAACGGATTCCAACCCCAGGGTAGCCACATCCCACCCATTCCTCCCCAGATCCTCAGAGCCCTCGAATTTATCGCCGCGCATCCTGAAGAGAATAACATTGGTGCTCAATGAGATGATCGGGACGCCTGGAATCTCGATACGGGAAGAGGATCAGTCTCCAAGGGCTCCTCGGCGGTGATCTCTCGCTAAATCTCGAGGGCTGAAATCGAGACGATCCACCAAAACTTCTTGACTTTCTACTTTCGCGGTTATGTTTCACATTTATACGGGTACCTCGATGTCCACTTGTTATTTTGTCACTTCCAGAAATTATAAGAGAATGTTGAGGAGGCTTTGTAAATAAAATGTATATTGATAATTCTGCTCTTTCTTCGGTGATCGAAGGGTGTTGCATCGATCAGTTTCAATTATTAGTCAAATGGTGTTTTAGTGTACAGGTGTAAGAGCTGGGGGACATCGCTCAAAGAAAAATCAATTTATGCCAAGTTTCATCCCCCTGTTACAACTTTTAATGTCGAATATGTATGATATAGAAGATAGTGCTTTTGCAATCGCGGAATTACACGGTAAGTATAGAGAGTAATATTTTTGGTACAAAGAGCAACATTACATTTTTACTTTGATAATTACTTAACAAGATTTATCGATAAGTTCGTAATATTGCTCTCTTCGTGCCAGAAATATCATCAGAGACAGAAGTAACGAAGATTTTCTAGAAAAATACAAATTTATTCGTAGTTACATTACAGACTACCAACTGAACTTAGGGACTACTTAATGCTAGAATCGCGTGGTGTTCCGTAGGTTCGGTCTAAGAGATTTGAACTGGTTGTTGCTGGTCGGTACAGAGTTCTGTTGGCTGGGCGAGTCTTTGGCAGCTTCCTCGGGATCGGGGGTGGAGGGTTGTTTCGCGATCCATTCGAGGGCTCTCTGAATGGCAGGTGGAATGGGGGGTGGTGTCGGCACGTGGGTCCCCGCCACTTGAGTACCAAATTCATCTGCGGTCCAGCTGATCGCTATTGGTGTACCATCCGGGGCATTGTACTGCACGGATCCTTGAATCAGTTGCGTCTCCGATGGCGTGCCCGCGTACTTGCGACTTCCTGTCTCTTTCTGGACGATTCCGCCCTCCGTTTCGTAGTTGAACGAATAATGGCCGCGGTTGTCCCCCAAGTCACGGCTTTCCGTCAGGATCTTCTCTGGCTGACGGAAGTATTCTTGACAGCTAACTGAGGCGACCACCGCGAGAAACACCTGAAATTATACAAAATTAATAAACCTTTTATATGTAACATTTTTTTTAAAGAAAATTTGCATAACATGAAAGTGTCTGTTTGAGGCTCGATCGTTGTAATTATCGCTATTTATTGGTATCGGTGATCGATGCAGCTTACTATGTTACGTCACGAGCACTCAAGGAAAGTTGATCCACCGGAAAGATAATCTCTGATGGATATTCTTGTTTCGAAGAAGATTCTTATGGCGTTTTAATCTTTTAACGATAGATATATTCACGCTTCTGTGTCATGTTTATGGCCTTACTAAATCTTACTAATAAAGTTGACATTAAAAATTTCCGGAAATGCCAACTCCTTGAATTTCTCTCCGTTGCATTCTTTCTCTTGGTAATTTTGTTTCAATTTCGTCGAGTGTTACGATTAAAAGATACAACATCGTTCTAGTTGCGTGAAACACCCTGTATAATGATTATAGAACAAGTACCGCACCGAAGGTTACTAGCCTGCTAGCATAAATTACGTGTCTGAAGCAATGAACTGTAGTAGCGATGGGATCGAACGTATCGCGGATATTGTTCAAAAGTTATCATGTTCCTAACAATTGATAAGAGAATTATGTTTCCGTGTGTTCGTGCATCGAAGTGTTTGCAGAGTCGATGGAAATAATTCGGTAAGAAAAAGGACCGACAGGTGTCGATGTACACATGTTTTGAAAGATCCGCTTTCTAATTTGCAAGTCAATGGTTTTAATTTGAAAGTCAATACACATGTAACGTAGTGACTAATATCTAAAGTAGTACAGCGTGTTAGGTGGTAATAGACGTATCAAAGGTGTGCCTCATTAACGAATCTTTCGTAAATTTCCTAATCCTTTGCTCGATGTTTCGAAACGCAGAACCGATCGATCGACGTTCGAATAAAATGAAGTTTTCCGAATGATTAATGCAAAATTTTGAGAAGGTAATCGTGTTCCCGATAGAAATATCGTGTCTCGAGTCTCCGGACGTCTGTCACTCGAATCGTTCCTTCGTAATTAAGCTTCGGTGTTCTTTGTTCGTAGAAACTGGGATTGAGAAAGGTCGAGACCGTCAGAATATCTCTCTATCCTCGATCAAGGCGTAGCTAGAGCGTGTATGCTTTAATCTTCGTCATGTTTGTCCTGTAAATCCGTCGAGATACCTTTCTCCGTGAAAGGTCAGGGCAAGACAGATGTGCTCGCAGGTAGGTCGCAATAATCGTTGCATTCGTAAGCGGTAAAAGGGACGGATACACGATTTCCAACGGCCCGTTACACGTAAATTATCAGAAAACTTGGTTTTCATAGATTAAACCGATCCCACGATTCAATTTTTACCTTCGATGCTCGTTTTAAATGCCAAACGAAGGCCTGGCGAGTGCTCCAGATGTAAAACAAACGAGACACTAAGACAGAATTATAATTACATTAATTGTTTCTATAGAGTCGGTGATAGTTTTGTTTGGTGCTGTTAAAAATACGATATAAACCTATGCTCCTTATAAAAATGAATGCTGCATTATAGGTATTCTAAATTTGTGTATAATCGTCGAGACAATTTGTAATCAAAATTAAAAACTCGATGACACTGACCTGACCCAACAGTGTCGAAAATTAATTACCTAAGAAGGTTTACATATTCACGTATGGACGAGGACAGGGCTGAGCAAGCATGTTAAGAAGCTGGTAGGAAATTGAATCTAACTTGAATTGATCGAATAAAACTGTATTTTACCACCGTGGTCACGAAGAGCTCTGATGTAAGATTAGAATATCGTAAAATGGCAAGTTTGCTATGGAATTATCGATATTTTAGGACATTTGAACGTTGATTCGACATTGTATTTTGGATCGTAAAAATCTGGGTGGCTTTGGTCGAAGAATAGTTGGATAATTTGTACATTTAGAGGCGAAGAGGCGTTAGTAGAGACTTACCAGGGGCCGCATGTTGCCGAAACGATGAGAGGACGCGGATAGAACGTGTGAACGGTGGAGGATGTGTCTGTCGTCAGGTAAAAAGGCAACGTCACATATAGAGCGTCGGTTGTTCTGTCGATGATTGCCGGCGTGAAGTTCGTGAGCAACTCTTGGACTGTTGGGGGCACAGCCGACCTTTATACCGGCGAGACTACATGCCAGCTGCCTTTACATAACCCGAGAAAGTGTATTTCGGCACAGCAGCGTCTCCCTCTGGAGCACAATTCAACCAGAGAACGATTCACACCCCCGTAGGAACGAAAACGGGTAAAACAGAAGAGGAGCAAGGATACGCGATTGTTCGCCCGTGTGTCCCTGCACGGCGTCTTTTTAACGCGATTTCACCAACGCGGATTCTCTCGTCCCGGACGAGCACCTCGTTCCTTTACGTAACAACTCTTGCGTAATTCCCATGTGGGTAGCAGTGGAGGCTCCTTTTTGGCGAGACCTGACAATGCAACAACCGACGACGCGATAATTTCGAGAGATGGAACCATTTTGGGACAAGCATGTTTTCAGCTGGTTTCTTTATGCGATAATGGAACGTTCTTCGTTCTTTTTATCGATACACACGAAGAGTCATTGCCACGATCTACATACTTAGATCGAGAGGTGCATATTTCTATAACAGGTTGCTCTTAAATATTCATGGATCGATGGGCTTTCGATCGTTCTCTGGGTTCCAAAGGTCCTCGGAGAAATTCTCGCGATCCAACAGTTTCTCGATCCCATCGAGTCGGTCGTATAATTTTACATCTCAATAAGCAGGCAAAGAGTGGCCTCTGTAATTGTATAGTTGATCTAGAGTGTTTAATGGGACGTTTGGTTCATAGAAAATGGTAAGGGCATCATCCTCGCGAAGAAGCAACCATAGTTGAGCTATAGACCTTTCACCTTATGGACTTTCAGTGGCCCAAACTGACTGACGAGTTGAGAAAATTCGGAGGTGATTTTCGCGTCTTCTTCTCTCATGGTCAGTCGAGAAACTATTCGCTGAACTGATGTATTGATGGGCAGACAGATGTAGCGTGTGTGAGTTGAAAAAGGCAAGTATTATCAGACGGCAGATGTCCAAAGATGCCCCTCCGCTTGCACACACTGCATTGCCACCTTGTATATGAGTTATGGCGCTTCGTACAGCGTCAGAGATTCGAGAAAGGAGGCGAATGTGAGATGTGAGTCTTCCCCTTCTTGCTCTCAACACAGATGAACGCATCACTGGCATGCGATCTCGAATCTCGACAGGTATTTTTTACTTTCCGACCTAAGTAAGCAAACTACCATAATTTGCAATACGGATAGCGAAGAGAGTCGCGAGGTTTCGTACGAAATAAAAAGACAGGACCGCAACAGCGTATGTGTTTCATTTGTCTCACACATGGTCACCCACCTAAAGCTTGCAATTAAGCAACAGTCTCCCTTTTTACGACTCTGTTCGTACTTGTAGATCATGTCTTAGAGATCTAGCTACCTATGTCTTTATATTAACGAGTGTTTTATACTGTTCTCTCCAATTATTTCGTCCTAGAACTCATCCAGTAGCCTTATACCTACATGATTGAACATTGCGTATGAATGGACAGGTGCATGTTGTGTGTGTGTGTGTGTGTGAATGGGCTTGGGACCGCAGACGCTAGTGACCAGGCGTCTGCGGTTCAGTGTGAATGTTGTGGGAGGTTTGATAAAGGCAACACGTGGCGGGGGGACTTTGTGACGTCTCACAGAGTCCCCCCCTAGACGTGTGACAATGGTCACCGTGGGGTTTTAGCCGGTAGGAGTCCGGCACTACCCGTCGACCCTCCCCCCACCCTTTTGGGACGCCCAAAGGGTGAAGGGAGGGCCGGAGGGTGTCCATGAGGATTTCCCCACGTAAAAGAACAAAAAAAAAAATAGAAATTAAGACTTCAAACCAGGTGACAACCCGATTTCAACGCCACCATCGTTGCAGAAATGTTCTGGACACTTTGGACATCCGGTTTCGACCTTTACCTTGAACTGAAGGCCACTGGAAACTTCAGAAATTTTCGAGCGCTTCGAGAATCCAAATGGCCTTGGCCTTGACCTTGAACTCAAGGCCACTGGAAATTTGAAAAATTCTCGAGCTCTTCGAAAATCCAAATGGCCTTGGCCTTGGACTTGACCTTGAACTCAAGGCCACCTGAAATTTGAAAAATTCTCGAGCTCTTCGAAAATCTGAATGGCCTTGGCCTTGACCTTGACCTTGAACTCAAGGCCACCTGAAATTTGTAAAATTTTCGAGCTCTTCGTGAATCCAAATGGCCTTGGCCTTGACCTTGACCTTGAACTCAAGGCCACCTGAAATTTGAAAAATTCTCGAGCTCTTCGAAAATCTGAATGGCCTTGGCCTTGACCTTGACCTTGAACTCAAGGCCACCTGAAATTTGTAAAATTTTCGAGCTCTTCGTGAATCCAAATGGCCTTGGCCTTGACCTTGACCTTGAATTCAAGGCCACTCGAAATTTGAAAAATTCTCGAGCTCTTCGAAAATTCGAATGGCCTTGGCCTTGACCTTGACCTTGAACTCAAGGCCACCTGAAATTTGTAAAATTTTCGAGCTCTTCGTGAATCCAAATGGCCTTGGCCTTGACCTTGACCTTGAATTCAAGGCCACTCGAAATTTGAAAAATTCTCGAGCTCTTCGAAAATTCGAATGGCCTTGGCCTTGACCTTGACCTTGAACTCAAGGCCACCTGAAATTTGTAAAATTTTCGAGCTCTTCGTGGATCCAAATGGCCTTGGCCTTGACCTTGACCTTGAATTCAAGGCCACTCGAAATTTGAAAAATTCTCGAGCTCTTCGAGAATCCGAATGGCCTTGGCCTTGACCTTGACCTTGAACTCAAGGCCACTTGAAATTTGAAAAATTCTCGAGCCCTTCGAGAATCCGAATGGCCTTGGCCTTGACCTTGACCTTGACCAAGTTTTGAAAGTGGGTCAAGGTCACCAGCACTTCAGAAATCACTCAGGTCACTTTGTGAATTGGATTTAGATCGTTTTAAGCAGTTTATTTATATTTTTTTTTTTGTTTTTTTACGTGGGGAAATCCTCATGGACACCCTCCGGTCCTCCCTTCACCCTGTGGGCGTCCAAAGGGTGGAGGGAGGCTCGGTGGGTAGTGCCGGACTCTTACCGGCTAAAACCCCACGGTGACCATCGTTAAACATCTAGCTGGGGACTCTAATGAGTCCACACAGCTCATTCACACTGAACTACAGACGCCTGGTCACTAGTGTCTGCAATTCTGGGACATGGGACTCTGGTCACGGGGTCATATTAACCATAGGACCAAGTGTCCCATGTCCCAGTCCACATATGCACACGCATTCACACTCAAAACACATTCATACCTGTGAATGGTCCTCAGAAGCTAACATGGAGATGTTAGATACTATCTAACATGTGTGGAAGGTCAAGAAATCTTTTGAAGAAGGCTTTTGTCTTTTACTAACACGAGTCGAACGAGTGACAATGCCTAAATCTACTGTCGAGAGATGTAAGCGACGCCAGCGATGCAAGAGCGAAAAATAAAGCGAGTATTAGCCTGTCCTCTCGACTGTCAAAACCTCTATGAGCTCACGTACAGGGAATTTTGATCATGTTGGGCGAAAATGGAATGTAGAGTTCCTGGAGCCACCGATGTATTATAATTTAAAATAAGAAATAGAAGATTTGCGATGTATGGTATCAATGAGATCCTTAGGTATTTTAATAATCATAATCGATTGATCACTCCAATGAAATGAATCGATCGATGCCCAATAATGGACCGTACGAATTTCATTTCATGAACAAATAATAAAAATTTCTGTGAGTTCAACCTGCTGGTAACGTCGCGAGTGACACGAAAATGGTAAGGGGGTCTCCGAGGCCCCATAAAGACGGGCCGAAAAAATCCATTGGGTGAAAGGTCTGTGGCTCGTCCGTGAAAGCACCGAAGCCTTGCAAAGGAGGCCCACCAGGTCCGGAGTCGTAACGATACGCGTATCAGTAGTGTTCGTTGGGACCGCGAGAAGGCACTGTGGATCTAAAAAGCGATAGGCGTGCGTGTGCGTCACGGCTGGTGACGTGCAATCGGCGTGCACAACGCCGTCGCGACGCGACGTCGACGTATCGCAATCGCGTGCAGCCTACGACTGTTCCCGATTTCCGTGGCGTTCTCTCTAAAAAACCCCGTAAATCGCGACGTGTAGTTACGCGTGAACGCGAGGATTCGTGGGTCCGATCTTGGGGCCGGAATTACCAGCCCACGGTACATCGATGGATCCCGGTGACATCGTTGGAATGCAATCGATCCGGTCGGAGCCCTCTTCGATCTGACAGGTGTGTACTCTGACACGTGATCGTGGCGCGTATCTTCGATTCGTAGAAATTCCAAGATCGTAGAGACATCGCCCACGCGAGAAAGAAAAAGAAAAACGTTCGACGAGGAACCGATGTTTTCGATCAGCTCCGTACCCACGTATCTGAATTTCGTCGAACGATGAGACCATCGGTTTTTATAGGTCACTGGTCAATGCTACCTCAACCGGTATTCCACGTCGGATCGTATACAACGCTCGATATGACTTTATCTCCGCGCGATGTTTTATTACACGTATGTTACAAACGGCTGGCGTTGTCAGATAAGAGTAATTACATTTATACGATAATTGAAGATATTACCGATGACAGAGTGTAGTCGTAAAACGTATCAATTTATTCGATAGAATTTATCGCCCGTGAGGTATTTTTCCAGCGGAGAACGTAGGATAGTGGCCAGAGGCTGCGAATGCTTTCGCGGTTCTTCGCGTCAATGAGAATTACCGGAAGTTCGCGCAAGCATTCTGCGTAAATTCCTATCTCTCTCTCTCTCTTTCACTCCCCCTCTCACGGCGTGGTAACTCCACAGTTGTTCCCGTCTCTCTCTCTGTCGGTAGATCGCTATGCCATGATGAATGCCACGGGCAGCAAGAACGCTGTGAACGGCAACGAGACGATCCCAGGCAAGACGAGCCCGCACGGCAACAGCGTCGCCCGTCTCCAGAGCGTGATCGGCAAGCAGAGCAGCTGCGTGCGCAAGATGAGCACGATGCCGGAGGAGGAGGACGCAGGGGACGACGTGGATCCTGACCCGACCAGATCAGGACACCACCAACATCATCACCACGACACCGACTCGGATTCCCCGTCGGAGGAACGAGGACGCCTGCTCTCCGTGCAAGAGCCATCCCGAAGGATCACCATAGCGCCCTGCAACGGCCTGAAAAAGACCATCCCTCGAACGGACAGCAGCAGCAGCAGCATCCACGAGAAGTCCCATCGATTGCAACAGTTGAAACCGAGGGATCAAGAGCCACGAGGAGTGCTCAGATTCAACAGAGGAATCGACTCGCAGAGCGGACGGTACCGTTGCTCGAGCGTCCGCTCCGTCAGGTCTAATCCGACGATGGACGACCATCAGCATCACCAGTATCATCCTCCAGCGGCCAGCTGGGCCTCCATTGTCTTCGCCGATGGGAACGCGCAACCTCACGTCCGGGCGTTCCCCGATTCCGTCTCTATACGTTCTCTAGCATCGATCGGCATGGGCTCTTCCGACGGCCGGAAGCTCACGATACGTAGAGTTCCCACATCGCCGTCGGAGCTGCTTAACATGGTACATCCGCCGCCGTAAGTGAGCCACATTACCTAACGTTCGCGTTTCGACCAAGGACCAGGCTATCAATCATCTCCCGTGGTTCCTCTGCATGCGGTTTCCGGTTCTCGACCTCACCACGCTGTAACGCTCGAGGAATCCTATCTGACGATCGGAGAATCCCGATAGATAAGATACCCCGTTATCGCGACCGTTAGCTGCTTTTTAATCGAGATGATGGCTAATACGCGAGTTGAGAATGATTGATCGTTGTTTGGACAAACGTCCAGTCTGGGAGACAATCTCTCATGACGTTCGCGACCAAGATGTTACGGTACTTTCCAATTTATCTCGTTCCTCTGTTTGATCAGAGTTAGCTTCCGTTATAGAAGAATATTCCAGACGGTAGAGTTCTCTACAATGCTTGGAATATACTTGGAATATAAGATCGACGTTCAGATTTCACGTTTACATCGCGAATACCGTCTAACGAGCAGCCCAAACAACAGGTTTCGTCATCGTGTTGCATAAAAACTGGGCCTAGAGTCCTTTCCGATCAGAACGTTCGCTAAATGCAACTAGGGACCAGTTCCTACTGACAAAGTGGAATGAAATTTCTCAGCTAGAGTCGTTGAACTGATAGAATCATCTTAAAACGCAGTGGTAGTAGAGATCCGACTGTTATGGCTAGTCCAAGTTAGAATTTCGGTGAGAAGAGATGCTTACGAAGCGTGGTCTCGTCATCCAGGGACTGCAATTCCAGCGTATTGTCCCAGAGACGTAAGTGGATAATAGGTGTACAATGTAAGACCATACTTTTGTTACAAGTAGGTGTTCATGCGGTATATTGTTGTAGCTGCCCTGCTTCTTCCATTGAAATCGTAGCGGGACCGTTTAAAGGACCGTAATCGTTGCTCCACATTCGAAGTTCCTATACGCAGCGTTAATGAATTCTGCGTGGAACGGGTCGTTTAATCACCGACCGTAATCGCCAGCATTTATAAGGCTCCGGCTAGGAATTAGTATTCTATATTTTTACCCCCCCTCTGTGAATAATCCCGAGAAGACAAAGAGGATGATTGCTGTGTTAATTCCTTTCGTCAAATGATGCTTCGATAAAATTTGAAAATTTGATAATGACGTAATAATTTACTATTGTCGCCCCTAGCCGGACCCGCCTGGCTGTCCACCATTGTTTCAGCATTGTGAAATATTTCGGAATTTACACAGGTGCGCCGTGTTTATTATCCGGCTACGTCGATTGCCATAACTCTCGCCGTCATACCGCGACATCGTTTCTGCATCTGCCGTGTCGCGAACCATAAAAATTCTTCTTCGTTCGGTACGCTGCTTATATAATACCGAGTGTCAAGGTCCTACGCTTCGTTTGTACCCCTAGTTTCCCACGGTCGTTAATCATAATATGGGCGACTTACGGGGCCCGATTTTCTCTTCTCCTCGGCGACATTTATCAGCCCCGGGTACTGGACACGGTAAATTTTTCGCGTCCTCCTAACGATTTCAATAAATCACGCAGATAAGCTTCGGGATTCTTGGCCAGCTACGGGTGATTAAAGGTAACCGGTTAGGTTAAAAAAGAAACTCGCAAAAGTGGTGAAAAACTCAACCCTTTTCGGTTCTACGTCAAACCGCGAATGGACAATGGAGAAACGATCTTTCGAGCTTTTGTTCTCCTAGAAACGTCTCGATTGACGTGACAGTTTGATAGAAGGCGTGTCATTGATCAAATCGACAGGCAAAACGTGTGTCACCTGGTCGATAAATATGCAACAACTTGCATAATATTGTTCATCCTATATTGTCCTATGGAAATCGAGCGCTCTTTAAATATCTAATTTATGTGGAGTCTCGATCGTTTTATATTCCACGAAGCGAGTCCAAGTGTTAACGTTACAGGAGAATAAATTATTAAAAAATAACATGATACTCTAGGATTAAGAAGTGCCAGTAAGCAAACGAGAGAAGCTAGAAATTGCCAAACTTTCGAGCGTTTAGCTTCTATGGTAAATCAGTAATTCTTCACTCGCGATTCGACGAACGTTTCAGATCATTCGAGGAGAATAAATTATTAAAAACTAACATGATACTCTAGGATTAAGATTGAGAAACGAGAGAAGCTAGAAATTGCCAAACTTTCGAGCGTTTAGCTTCTATGGTAAATCAGTAATTCTTCACTCGCGATTCGACGAACGTTTCAGATCATTCGAGGACGATCTATCGGTGTGCACGAGCCTGGACGATGCAGATGCAGAAGACCTCGGGGATTACAGGCAACCCAGACGACCACACTGGGCCAACAAAGTCCAATTTGTCCTTGCTTGTATCGGTTACTCCGTGGGCCTGGGCAATGTTTGGAGGTTCCCTTATCTGTGCTACAAAAGTGGCGGTGGTGAGTTTCCGTACAATGTATATTATTTATTAATCAACTCGAATTCAAGGTTTATGCAATCTCGATCAACGAATGAAAACATTTTCAATTGCGTGGGTGTCGCGTTTACGATTTATAATGCGCTTCAGCCGTGGAATACCTTTACGAGAACGCTTCTAACGTGTGTTCGTTGAAAACAAATTTGTACGTGCTAGATTGCTGGCTGTGACATACATGTCACGATTAGTGTGCTTGTGATAAAAGTACATACATACGTGTTTATCCTCTGCGCCGTGACCTGCTAAAGATGAACTAATTTCTAAAAAAATATTACAATTATCCTGCATGGTGTTATTCAGAATTATCAGAAAACGATCGATTTAATTTTCAAATTGGTCTAAAGAACCTCAAATAACACGTGTTTATCCTCTGCACCGTGACCCTGCTAAAGATGAACTAATTTCTAAAAAAATATGACAATTATCCTGCATGGTGTTATTCAGAATTATCAGAAAACGATCGATTTAATTTTCAAATTGGTTCGAAGAACCTCAAATAACACGTGTAAAGGAATGAAATTGCAATAGAATGTTGCAACAAAAGAATGAATATTATAGATTATTCTATAACTACATGCTTTACTCTGATAACAGAACGTGCCAACAGTCACGTGTCAGAATAGTGTAACTTTAGATAATCGTGGTTTCTACAAAAGAGCGTCTCAACACACGAAATGGCAATCATGATGGAAACGTATTGCAAACAACGGGAAACGATGCGTTTAAAATTGACAGAAAGGCACGCGACATCAGCGAATAGCTAAAAACTAGGTGAAGGTGACCAAAGATAGAAAAACATGGCGAATCGAAGCATTAAAGTCGTCTTTAAACATTTACAAATTGTTTTCGAGTTAAAACACTTTTGCTTTTTATCAAAAAGCAGAGTCGATAACCTGAAAAACATAATAAAAGTCTTCGCGATAACTCTCGTTAATTAAAAGAACTTTGCAGGACGATTAACCGACTGGAATTAAATTCTACGTTAATCTTTCGAGTATTGAATGTTTCCATATGAAAGCATTTTGTTACTTTTTTATTCAAGTTTAATTATCCCTTTTTTGAGATTATTATTCCAGAGTACAGAGAGTTTGTGTTATGCATCGCGTGACCATTTTGCTGCAACCACATCCCCTTTACGCGACATTCTATGAAATATATAGTTCGAACAAGGGCAGACGTTCTCTCCAGGCCTGTAACGCAAGTGCGTATCGTGTTGCTGGTAATTTTCAAAGTCTGAAAGCATCTCGACGGAGTCCGGACGTGGCGCAATCCGCTCGCGGAACTTGATACATGACCTTGCCGGATCGTAGCTGCACCAGCAACCATAGTAAATGATTTCAATGACACCGGTGGAAATAATCGACGGAGTATCGTTTCAAACGACCGTACGTTAAATTGTACGACCGGAAAACCTGTACGATCTGATTTCTCACGAACAGATGCACGTTTCTCGTCAATTACACGTCGATATTTTACTATGGAGCGAATCCTAGTCCACTCTGATGAAATAAACTTTGCATAGCGAGTACACAGATTCGTACACTTGATTCCATCGTTGCAAACAGAGACCACGGATGATAACATTAATGGGGAACACTGGGATGCATCGAAATGATCATTTCGGTAATCGTGCATCACGAAGTCAAATCAGAGAATGCTGTCTGATTTGTTCGACCAGCGCGCTGTATGTCATTCGTGGAATTAATTTACATACGCGTGAGGTGCACCGACGCGGCACGAATTATTTCAGTGTCACAACCGGAAACAATAATCGTCGCAGTATCTGGGGAACGTGATCGAATATAGCTTATCGTTAAATATTTATGGATGCAGGATAAACGAAAATCTGATTATTAATATATTCGAACTGCAATAATAACAAAATCATGTTCTTAACAAGTCGCGGGTTGTAGTTCCTGTTTTACCCACGCGAAATGCGTAAATAATAACCAGTTTCCTAAACGATCATGTTGATACAGAAACGAATACGTAACCGTCATGGGAAGGAATGCATACAGGGTGTTCGGCCACCTCTAGCAAAAATTTTAATGAGCGATAGTAGAGGCCAAAATAAGACGAAAATCAAGAATACTAATTTGTTGATGGAAGCTTCGTTAAAAAGTTATTAACAATTAAATTCAAAAATTTCAAATCGTTCTGGAAAAATTATTTTCGGTTGCGGGGGTCAACTACAATCATTTTTTATCATTACACATATCTCCGAAATCGTACGCACTTTCGAGAAAAAAATTCCTTACTGAACATCCAATTACGTGCCTTTCAACGGAGAAAAAAAATTGAAAATCGTTGTGGAAAAAATTATTTCCGGTTGCGGGGGTCTACTACAATCAGTTTTTGTCATTAGACATACCCACGAAATCCTGCCCGCTTTCGAGAAAAAAAATAGAGAATGTGTGAAATTATTCGAGAAAATTAAAAAATTGCAAATCGTTCTAAAAAAATTATTTTCGATTGCGGGGATCAATTACAATCATTTTTGGTCAATACATATACCCACGAAATCCTACGCACTTTCGAGAAAAAAATTCCTAATCGAAAATGTAATTTATGGCCAGAAATGTTGTCCGAAAATTTCATGCGGATCTTTAAAATGTCATAACTTCTGAACGGATTGAAGGATTTTAATTTTCAAAAATGCAAACGACGCGTATTTTAATCAAGAATACGTAGAAATTCCGAAAAAAATTCCTTACCAAAAATCTAATGTGTGATCTTTCTGAATGTTCTTTCAAAATTTCATGTGAATCTTTGAAACATCATAACTTGTGAACGGATTGCACGATTTTAATATTTCAAAATGCAAACAACGCGTATTTTGATGAAGAATATGTGAAAATTCGAAAAATATGCAAAAAGTTGATCCTTGACCCCGCAAAATGAGAAAAACCCCATAAAAATGGTCCAATCTTCAAACAGCCATAATTCCTACAATAGTGAATATATTTCAATGAAACTTTTTTCTGAAGTAGAGCTCATAGGTACCTACAAAAAAGTATTGGCCAACTTTTTTGTAGGGCGTCAAACAAAATTATTAAAAATGAAAAACGAATTTTTAAGAAAAATCGACAAGGCAAGTAGGTGCCTAAATTTTTCAGCGAAAAAAAAAAATTTCAAACCGTTCTAAAAAAATTATTTTCGTTTGCGGGGGTCAATTACAATCAGTTTTTGTCATTAGACGTACCCACGAAATCCTGCCCACTTTCGAGAAAAAAAATAGAGAAGGTGTGAAATTATTCGAGAAAATTAAAAAATTGCAAATCGTTGTGGAAAAATTATTTTCGATTGTAGGGTTCAATTGCAGTCATTTTTGGTGAATAGACATACCCCCGAAATCTTGCGCATTTTCGAGAAAAAAATTCAGTAAGGGCGGCACTTTAAACATTAATAACTTTTTAACGAAGATTCCATCAACAAATTGGTATTCTTGATTTTCGTCTTATTTTGGCCTCTACTGTCGCTCATTAAAATTTTTGCTAGAGGTGGCCGAACACCCTGTATATCGAGTATGAAAAAGAATGAAATCTATGTGCCAAAATAAGAAGAATATATTTACGATATGCGAGTGAAGGGAAATATATTTCTGCAATTTGATCGGACTAAATGCTCCTTCCCAAATTAAGTCGTAGTCCACGGGACGGTGATCATCGTTTATTACGAATAAAGAGTTACATCCAGTGACCTTGTTACTGCCCACAGAATGACGATTAACGTTGAGTACTATTACGTACGAGTCGAGTTTAATGCAACCTTTAATAAATCCATATTACAGGCAGATTTAGTAACGACGTTTTTATTCATCGAACAAGTACACTTATGCGCGAAGAGACTGAAAGGAGATGCTTGCAGAAAGGTTTCACCATTTATCACACATGTAATGTCTTTGTTTCGAATTTTCAGGTGTGTTCTTGATACCTTACTTCTTAATACTTATCGTATGTGGAGTACCGTTGTTGTACATGGAACTTAGTATTGGGCAATTCACTCGACGTGGACCGATCGGTGCACTCGGTCAAATTTGTCCCTTGTTCAAAGGTACATTTCATTTAATAAATCTCAGAAATGTTTGATCAAATGTTAGGGAGAATAAACTAATTCGTAATGAGAATAGAAGTTTGGGCACTTTTAATCTAAAAATACTACAAACGACTTAACCGAAGCCTATCTCCAAGATCTTCTCTAAACAGACTACCTTAGACATTTCGTCTGATGTATTACTTTGATACGGAGGGCCCATTTACGAAACTATGTTTGTACAAGAGTTTCGTTCGACGCTGCAATCGGTAGAACAAACGCCTGGTGTTTGGTCAAGCATTTCAAGAATTTCGTACCTCCGAAGAGGAATGTGATTTAATTTTATTTGTTCGAACAGGAGCCGGCTTGTCATCGGTGGTAATATCGTTTTTGATGTCGACCTACCATAATGTGATAATAGCTTACGCTATATATTATTTCTTTGCCGCGTTCAGAGCAAAGCAACCTTGGTCCGACTGCGACCACTCGTGGAACACGTTAGCCTGCTGGCTACCCACCTACAATTTCATCGACAATCGAACACGTCCAAACGCTTCCAGAACGCCATCGGAAGAATTTTTTGAGTAATCAAAAATAAAAGCATATTTTAATTGCTTCCATTAGTCGTGTCTTATCTAGGCACATTTTAAACCCCGATAAAGTTTTCGTATCTTGATTTATTTACTGTGGGCCTGTGGTGCGAAGCCTCTTGGTAAATGTGACTTCTTGGATAGCAATCTTCTCCTATTATCGTAATAATCTCGCCACACGCGCTGACTCATGTACTTTTGTCTACGGTAGATACGAGGGTCTGCTTTCTCACATTACTAACTTTCCTTTGGGTTGTACGATCTGTATTTTATTAGAAAAAACAATAGTTCGGTATCAAATTCTGGTTAACTGATGTAAATAGAAAATTATACTTTCCAATGTTTTAGAACAGTCTAACAACGCGTACTGAAAATAGTAAAACTTTGGACCTGTGTAGTTCCAGAAGTACTCATGCTTTATCCAAAATTCAACCGTCATTGGAAGGGGTAAACCTTCCTCTTTAAAAATGGTTTATGGTTTTTGACGATCGGACTTCCGGTTTTCGAGATATCGTAATTTATGTAAAGGGGGAATTTTTTAAAGGGCGCTTCCCGTGTTACGACTGACCACCAACGCGTATGAAAAATAGTAAAACTTTAGACGAGTGTACTTCCGAAACTACCCACGCTTTATCCAAAATTCAACCGCCATTAGAAGGGGTAAACCTTCCTCTTTAAAAATGCCTTATGGTTTTTGGCGATCGGACTCACCGTTTTCGAGATATCGTAATTTATGTAAAGGGGGAATTTTTTAAAAGGCGCTTCCCGTGTTACGACTGACCACTGACGCCTATCAAAAATACTAAAACTTTAGACCTCTGTAGTTCCGAAACTAGTAGTGTTTTGTTGAAAATTGAGGAATCGTGAGCGGCGGTGAACCTTCCTCTTTGAAATGGCTTTTGGTTTTCGACGATCGGACTTCCGGTTTCGGAGATATCGTAATTTATGTAAAGGGGTATTTTTCTTAATTCGACTATCGCTGTCTTTGTCTGGCGCGTCGGGCCTCTTTGTCGCACGTGCGTGGTGCTGACCTACTCCAATCTCGTGACTCGCGTGACCTACTTCCGCGTAGTATTTCCAAGAATTTACTACGCATTGTTTACTACTCGGGATCAATGAACTCGCGCGAGCGCACCCTTATATCTCCGAAACTAGCCACCGCGTAGACTCGAAACTAAAATCGCTATATCTCCGGAACTAATCACGCTATCCACACTCACGACCTCTCATTTTAAAGGGCATTTCATCCTCTATCCGATGACCATAATTTCTTTTATAATTTATTCTGTCTTCTATATTTTTTTTAACATTTACTTTGACGCTGCACACCTAAATAAGTTTCTTTAATTCAGAATGAATTTAAATAATTGTTTTCAGTGCACGTAGTAGTAACTTGACACTAGAATACGCTAAAATATAGCTTCCCAGTGCTTTCTAAGCAACTCTAATTTTTACTCTCTACGCTTTGCATGCTCACTGGACTCTTTAACACTCGGTCTCTCTTCTTGCTAAGTCCTGTCTAGACAGACTCAAACAGAACTCTCTCATCGACTCTAACAAACTGCACCCTTTCCGTTCCACACTTGTCATACTTGGGGGGGGCCTTCGCCCTCGCGTACGTACAAACATAAGCGCCCACTCAACCATTCCTTGAACTCTATGTCAGTCACACTTTTCCTCGTAATAAATGCATTTCCACGAGCTTTAAATAATTTTAAATTAAATTCTTTTATATGTAGCATTAATAAAGCGTCGTTTCTGATAATCCAGCAACAAGGTACTCCAGATCAGTAAAGGGATCGAAGAGTCAGGAGCACTAAGATGGGAGCTAGTCGCGTGTTTGATCACCGCCTGGATCCTCGTGTACTTCTCCGTATGGAAGTCCATAAAATCGTCAGCGCAAGTCAGATACATCACCGCAACCCTGCCGTTCCTTTTAATCGTCGTCTTCCTGGCACGATCCCTCACCCTCGAAGGCGCCGACAAGGGCCTACAATTCTTCTTTCATCCCCGCTGGGAGCTCCTCGGCGACGCGAAAGTAACACGTCATTTGTTACGCAAACTTTCAAGGATCGATCGTTATTCTCTCGTTTGATTGTTAGGTATGGATCAACGCGGCGGCCCAAATCTTCAATTCCGTGGGCATAGCGTTCGGCTCGATGATATGTTTCGCGAGTTACAACAAGTTCCACAACACCATCCTCGTGGATAGTGTTGCAGTCTCGCTTATAAACGCATTTAGTAGCCTGCTGGTTGGAATATTCTCGTTCGCGACGATCGGTAACATCGCTGTGGAGCAGAATATGTCCGTCGAGGCTGTTTTGACTGATGGTACGTGAAGCTAATGGCGATTATTTTAATTTCTCGCTGAAGATAACATCGAAGGAAGACGGAAAGTTGCAGTAAGTTAATAATTTCTGTTCAAGGACCTGGTTTGGTGTTCGTCGTCTACCCTCAAGCGCTAGCCAAGATGCCAGCGTCGCAGCTCTGGGCAGTATTATTTTTCTTTATGCTAGTCTGCCTCTCTTTGAACAGTCAGGTACGTGGAAAACTTGTTAATACAAATTAACACCGATTATAATTATTTCAAATGGATTTTAGTTCGCTATAGTGGAGGTGGTTGTGACTTCGATCCAAGATGGCTTCCCTCGATGGGTGAAACGTCATCTCGTGTGCCACGAAATGCTGGTCCTCTTAGTATGCGCCATATCGTTTCTGTTTGGTCTGCCCAACATCACTCAGGTTAACAAACTCTTCATTCTTTCTCTTTTATTCTTATTCGTATTTTTATCGATGATTTTTATTTACAGGGTGGTATTTACTTCTTCCAACTGATAGATCACTACGCAGCCTCGATATCGATCATGTTTCTAGCCTTCTTCGAGGTGATAGCGATATCCTGGTTTTACGGTGTGAGACGGCTGTCGAACAATGTGAAGGAAATGACTGGTCGAGTGCCGTCAGTGTACTTCCGGTTTTGCTGGCTCGTCGCGGCGCCTCTGCTGATTATGGTAAATTTCTAATAATTATAAGGAGCTTTTCTACGTAATGATTTTGATACATTCTGATCGTTTCCAGGCTGTGTGGGTGTTTAGTTTAATCGATTACGAACCACCTACTTATCGAAACGGGGAGTACGAGTACCCATGGTGGGCAGAGGCGATTGGATGGGGAATATCATCTCTCTCCCTCATTTGCATCCCCGCTTTCGCCATCTACGAGTTCGTCAAAGCGAACGGTGACACTTGCTCGGAGGTATTTAGAAAAAATTTTGAAATCCCCATGGAACCAAGAGTTCTGATGCAAAATTTAAATGCAACTGGGTCTTTCAGAAATTTCGAAACGCCATCAAGCCTCATTTCGAAGCGTGCAAGATCTGTGGCCAGGAATACTGCACCGAGCCTATTCACAATTACGAGGATGAGATTGTCAAGGAGCTTCAACACGATACCAACACCCCGATACAACTTAACACCAGTATTCTTTTACCGAAACCTCAGACATGATCCAGAGAAGCAACGAAGATCGAAATCTCGCGTACCATTAAACGTACAGCGTGTTTTTAATAGCAAGTTTAGAGTGAAGTCTGAACGTGTGGCGAACCGTAATCCCACTTGCAAGAGTTTCTTTTCTCGTGTCTTCCTTTTTCCCAATTATACTCTTGCAAGTAGGAATATGACATAAGTGTCTGATCGAGAATTCTGAGACTCCAATTTCGAAATTGAAAGGCCTTGTGACCGGTGCAGTGCATCACTTTTTAAAAAGAACTGTACTCTGTACTGAACCGAATCTCTCTAATGAAAATGAATATTTGTGAGTCAGTGTACAGATCGACATTAATTCTCGTTACGTAATATTAACACATTACCGACCGATAGCCTATTAATCGACTTTTTTACCGACCAACATTTACCGACCGATAAAACAGTTGATTAATATCGGTCGGTAAGCGTTGGCCGGTAAAACAGTCGATTAATAGGCTACCGGTCGGTAAAGTGTTAAAAATAGAACTGTACGACTCGAAATTGATATTATATCATGCTGTAAACCTTACAGGTTGAAGGTAGAAGATAGTTAAACGCACTGCAATTAACAATCGCTGTACCATATAGACGACGATAAGTAGAAACGAGTACAAATGCTAACATTAACACATTATCACAATTTATACAATTTATCAAGTAAGTAGCGACGATGGTAGACGGCCGTAGGGGTAAAAGAACGAATAATTATCGCATAAAATAGCAAAACACCGTACAAAGCCAAATTGTCAGTAATAGAAGCGTGTTAAGCACACTAGCCTGTAATAAATTATTACAATCGTCGTTTGTAAATATATTTTTGTAGTTTTAACAACTGTAAACACGATGTAAATGTACGAATAAAAGGATTTCGACAAAATGATTTGTTTTTTCATAATAAACCTGCAAAGGAAACCTTAATAAACGTATCGAACTTATGTAAGTTGAAGACTGCTTCGAAACGAATCCCCATACGTTAAATTGGATTAGCTTAATTGCGTTATGTGCCTACGGAGCGGAGTTTCACGGCGGGATCTGGTCATTCGAGTCTCATGCAACCCCAAGTTCGCTTCAAGGCAACCTGCAGAAGCTGAGGAGAGAAAAACGAGGGGAAGATGACGAAAAAGTTCGAGTTCAATTGGCTAATAGAGGTGCCGGAGCTGTTGAGAAACGGCTCTGTGTTCGATCGATGGTTCGAGGACAAGGAAACGACGGAATTCGAGCCGAGTTGCATGTTCAAAGTCGACGAATACGGGTTTTTTATCTATTGGAAGAGCGAAGGGAAGGTACCACGAGCTTGAAACCTTGAAATCTAACCATAGATGCTAATAGAACACGTTCACGTAGCTTTTAATAAAGAAATTAAATGTTCGAGTACACGGTAGTTTAGACGAATGATTTATAGCTGGGAAATTTGTTATGTAGGACGGGGACGTGATAGAGTTGGCCCAGGTGAGCGACATTCGTTACGGTGGCACGCCAAAGGTAAATCTGATCGAGAAATTCCGATTAACATTTAGTTTGGGCATCCACGTAACAAGCATTGAATGTTTTAGGACCCTAAATTATGCAACAAAGTAGGGAAACACGGGTCGATGGAGCAGGTGGACGAAAAAAGCTTGACTATATGCTCGGGCATCGATTACACGAATATTCATTATCAACACATAATTTGTGCAGACGCTCAAACAGCCAAGGTAATGATAATGATAATGAGAAGCTTTATCGAGTACTTATGAGCCTTTCAACGATGAATATGATTGTTCAAGGATTGGCAAGCTGGTCTGCGATTAATTACCCATAACACGAAAGCTTCCAACGTTTGTCCCACGATTCAGCTTATGAAACAGTACGTATCATAGTCTTCAACCCTTTTTAAATGACTTTAGGTCGATGAACGTTTTGTAACAGAGATTGTAAGAATTGTGAACGATTCTTACGGTGTACTGATAGGAACTAGAACTCAAAATCGTCTGAAAAGTCGTCTGAGCGAGCCCTGGCTCGTGATGTTTACGTTTCGGGCCAAAATCATCACGAGACTCGTTAAAAGGGTTAATTTTAAATTGTAATCTGTTTGTTTAATTGACCCAGTTGGATGAGGCTGAGTTTCCAAGTGGATCCCAAAGGAAAAGTGCCAGTGAAAGTTATATCTAAGACCTTTGCTTCCGGAAAAACGGAGAAACTTGTGTATCAATGTCTATCGGACTTAGGCTTGCCCAGTGGAAAAGTAAGGAAAAACGTTCGAAAAAAGCTATTTTCAGAATGAATTTTGATGCTTGGTAACTTCGTCGATTTCAGAGCGACAAGATAGAGCCAAAGGACTTCACTTTCGATAAGTTTAAAACTCTGTATTTCAAAATTTGCCCCCGAAACGACATCGAAGAACTATTTCAATCGATGCAAGTATTATTTTAAAGAATTCTATAATATTTTAAGCACTGTCCTGCATTTATTAACGTTAGAGTGATGTGATTTAGAACGAAGGGGAAGTCGGATACGATCAGTTTGGGCCAACTTGTGCAATTCATGAACGAGAAACAGAGAGATCCTAGACTGAACGAAATTTTGTATCCTCTTTACGACGAGAAACGATGCACGGAAATAATTAACGATTACGAGGAAGATGAGAAAGCAAAGGGTGCAAGTAAGTTTATTTTGACTGCTTTTTAATTTCAATTAGAGAATATAATGACACAATTTCTTCGAATTTTTATTAACAGTTTATTAATAACTGTAGTTACCTCCTCCCTCCTTCATTTCCGGTATATACTAAACTTTCAACATAAAAATATTAATTCATCATATAGTGTTCGAGGTAAAACTCCTCGTATTGAAATAATAAATGAAAATAATAAATAAATCAAAATTTAATTGAATATAAATTATATGGAAAAAATATAATGGATAAAATTATTCTTATAAATCTAATTGGTAAATATTCAACTATAAAAATTATTGTAAATTGTCTTCTAAAACATTCAGTCTTAATAATAAATGAAAATAATAAATTAATGAAAGTTTAATTGAATATAAATTATGTCCAAAAAATATAATAGATAAAATTATTCTTATATTAATTAGATTAATTGATGAATATTCAGCTATAAAAATCATTGTAAATTGTCTTCTAAAATATTCGGTATTAAATACTGAAATTAATTCAGGTTCTCCTTCAATTAAATCAAATGGAGTACGATTTAATTCAATTGATATACTTAAAATAAATAAACAATATAAAGGAGATAAAAAGATAAAAAATTCAATATATTTTTGAAATATAATAAAATTATAAATGAATAAGCAATATAAAGGAGATAAAAAAATGTTCAATTAATATACTTAAAATAAATAAACAATAATAAAGAAGATAAAAAGATAAAAAATTCAATATATTTTTGAAATATAATAAAATTATAAAATGAATAAACAATATAAAGGAGATACAAAAATATTCAATTAATATACTTGAAATAAATAAGCAATATAAAGGAGATGAAACAATAATATAAAAAAATATTCAATTAATATAGTTACAATAAATAAACAATATAAAGGAGATACAAAAATATTCAATTAATATACTTAAAATAAATAAACAATAATAAAGAAGATAAAAAGATAAAAAATTCAATATATTTTTGAAACATAATAAAATTATAAAATGAAAATCCTTCCGTTAAAATTATTATAATTAATAACTAATTTCATAAGAAATTGATCGTGCAATTTTTATGTTGTAAGTCTTCCTAGCGTTTAAAACCCTTCTTTCGGGAAAATTATCGTGCAATTTTTTATATTTAACAGAGAATTTAACGAAAGAGGGGTTCATTCGTTATTTGATGTCCGATGAAAATGCTCCAGTGTTTCTGGACAAACTGGAAGAGTGGATGGACATGGACCAACCCCTCGCTCATTACTATATCAATTCTAGCCATAACACCTATCTCAGTGGCAGACAAATAGGTGGCAAAAGTACTGTAGAGATGTATAGACAAGTGTTACTGGCTGGCTGCAGGTATCATTTAATTCTTTATCAAATAAAAACACTTAATTATAGAAAATTACACGATTCATTAGGTGCGTGGAACTCGATTGCTGGGACGGAAAAGGGGAGGACGAGGAGCCAATAATAACTCACGGAAAAGCTATGTGCACCGACATCCTCTTCAAAGACGTCATATACGCTTTAAGAGACACTGCATTCGTGACCTCGGAGTACCCCATAATCCTCAGCTTCGAGAACCACTGTTGCCTCAAACAGCAATACAAATTAGCAAAATACTGCGACGAAATCCTGGGCGATCTGTTGCTGAAGGAACCTCTGAAAGACTACCCGGTACTTTCTCTATATTTAACACGAAAGAGACTTGTTTGTTTTCTAATTGCATGTGAATTGACGCAGCTGGAGCCTGGACATCCTCTTCCACCGCCCAGCGCGCTGAAACGCAAGATACTGATCAAGAACAAGAGACTTAAGCCGGAAGTGGAGAAGGTGGAGCTAGAGCTGTTCCGTTCGGGGCAGTTCGAGGCGAAGGACGAAGTTGTCGAAGACCCTAACGCACCTCCAGCTCCGCCAAAGGTTCTACCACCTTGAAAATTGCTTTTACAGGCTGGGGAAAGTGTTCAAATAATTGGAGAAAATGATTGCAGGAGGAAGTGCCTCCGGAAGCTCCTCCGCCAGCTGAAGGAGCTGCACCTGGCGAACCTGGCGCTGAGGGTGAAGCTCCTCCGATTCAGTACACTGGCAGCACCATGGCTTGCCATCCTTGGCTCTCATCGATGATCAATTATGCTCAGCCTATCAAGTTTCAGAGCTTCGAAACTGCTGAAAGTCTGTAAAATACCTTACTTCCTATTAACCCTTTGCACTCCGAATTATGTTTCAATTTTGTTAGCAGAAGCTCCCCAACGCCTTTAAGTAGTTTTATTTGAAATTTACCTGTTTCAAGTGTACGGAACCTCTTTGGTTTCGACGAAGGAGCTGCTGAGATAAAAATTTACGTCGAATCACACTCGACATAGGATTGCAAAGGGTTAAAAGTTGAATTCCTAGTGAATGATAAAAAAAACTAGATATTACCGTTGTTACAGAGAAGAATATCTACCACAACATGTCCTCGTTCTCGGAGACAGCAGCTCTGAATTATCTAAAGACCCATTCGGTGGAGTTTGTTAATTACAACAAGCGTCAAATGAGTCGAATCTATCCGAAGGGTACAAGAGCTGATTCGTCGAATTACATGCCTCAGGTCACTTAATTACTAATTTAAACACACATGCTGATAGCTTTCACGTTGTTTATGGTGATTCAGGTGTTCTGGAACGCGGGTTGTCAAATGGTGGCGCTGAATTTTCAAACCCCAGACTTGCCTATGCAATTGAATCAAGGAAAGTTTGAGTTTAACGCGACAACAGGGTATTTGTTGAAGCCGGAATTCATGAGGAGGCCCGACAAGGTCTTCGATCCCTTTTCTGAGGACGTGGATGGTGTCATCACGGCTCAATGCTCCGTCCAGGTACGTGAAAGTAACAATAGTGATCGATAGACTGCGGATCTTTATGCAAATTCATATTTTTATTAATAGAATTAATGAAATGGGTGTATTGTAGCCTTAAATATAATAATTCGTATCTTACTTGAAATATTTCTTATATTTTTGCACATTAACACTTTACCGACCGATATTAATCGACTGTTTTACCGACTAACGCTTACCGACTGATAGCCTATTAATCAACTGTTTTACCGGCTAACGCTTACCGACTGATAGCCGATTAATCAACTGTTTTATCGGTCGGTAAAGTGTTAAGTGCATTCTGTAGTTTCTTGAGAATTAAAATTCTCCATAAATGCATAAACATCCGCGGTCTAGTGATCAAGATTGGGTCAATGTTGTTTTGTGGAGGCTCACAGAGGGATGGAGACTTTGATAGGGAGATTAGGACATTGTAACAGTGACAGGGACCTTGACAGAGAGACATTGGCCCTGTAACAGTGATGGAGGCATTGACAGAGACAAAATAGGGGTAGAAACAGAAACAGAAACTCTGACAGAGAGAGAGACAGGACCTATTCTGCCTATTTCTACCACCCTTCCCTTTTCTAGCTTCTACTTTATTCTAAAAATGATTAAAACTACTGACAGAGGGATGGGAGACGTTGATAGGGAGATTCCTGGGGCCTTGTAGCACTTGTGGGAGGCAAAATAGGGGTAGAAACAGAAACAGAAACTCTGACAGAGAGAGAGGAAGGACCTGTTCCACCTATTTCTACCACCCTTCCCTTTTCTAGCTTCTACTTTATTCTAAAAATGATTAAAACTACTGACAGAGGGATGGGAGACTTTGATAGGGAGATTCCTGGGGTCTTGTAGCACTTGTGGAGGCAAAATAGGGGTAGAAACAGAAACAGAAACTCTGACAGAGAGAGAGACAGGACCTATTCTGCCTATTTCTACCACCCTTCCCTTTTCTAGCTTCTACTTTATTCTAAAAATGATTAAAACTACTGACAGAGGGATGGAGACTTTGATAGGGAGATCCTAGGGCCTTGTAGCACTTGTGGGAGGCAAAATAGGGGTAGAAACAGAAACAGAAACTCTGACAGAGAGAGAGGAAGGACCTATTCTGCCTATTTCTACCACCCTTCCCTTTTCTAGCTTCTACTTTATTCTAAAAATGATTAAAACTACTGACAGAGGGATGGGAGACTTTGATAGGGAGATTCCTGGGGTCTTGTAGCACTTGTGGAGGCAAAATAGGGGTAGAAACAGAAACAGAAACTCTGACAGAGAGAGAGGAAGGACCTATTCCACCTATTTCTACTATCCTCTCCTTTTCTAGCTTCTATTTTACTCTAAAAATGATTGAAACTGACAAAATCTGGCTGTTTTCTAGGTGATAGCAGGTCAATTTTTGTCTGACAAGAAGGTGGGCACCTACGTTGAGGTGGACATGTACGGTTTGCCAGCAGACACCATTAAAAAGGAATTCAGGACACGTATGGTCCCTGCAAATGGTTTGAACCCAGTTTACAACGAGGAACCGTTCCTTTTTCGAAAAGTTGTGCTACCTGACTTGGCTGTACTTCGACTAGGTAACTAGACCAAACGATCAAAGACAGAAATGGACCAAAAATTCTGATATCTGTTGATTTTCTCTAATTTTTTGGTTGTTTAGGAGTCTATGAAGAGAGTGGAAAGTTGTTGGGTCAGCGTATCTTGCCTCTGGACGGTCTTCAAGCCGGATACAGGCACATATCGCTGAAGACTGAAGCAAATTTCCCTATGGCGCTGCCCATGCTGTTCTGCAACATCGAGCTGAAGATTTACGTGCCCGATGGATTCGAAGGTGATATCGCGGACGAGTTGGCAGAAATAGAAGTGTAGTTCGATGACTGTGACTCGAGACGGTTTTCACCGCTTCCAGACTTCATGGCTGCTCTGTCGGACCCGGGTGGATTCAGCAAAGGAGCGGAGAAACAGGCGGAGACGATGAAAGGGCTTGGAATCGAGCAAACGGACGCCAAAGCTGAGGCCAAGAAGAAAAAAGAAGAGGAAGCTAAGAAGGGTATTAAGAATTTTAACCATTTGCACTCCGAATTATAGTTGAATTTTGTTACCAGACTATCCAACGCTTTTAAGTGTTTTATTTGAAGCTTACGTTAACCAAAAAATAGGAGAATTTAAACAAATTCTATTAACACTTTACCGACAGATAGCGTACTAATCAACTTCTTTACCGACCAACGCTTACCGACCGATAAAACAGTCGATTAATAGGCTATCAGTCGGTAAGTGTTAGCCGGTAAAACAGTCGATTAATAGGCTATCGGTCGGTAAAGTGTTAAATATCTGTTTCATTTACGCTACTGAAGTATTTTGTAAGTTTCGAGTATCTCTTTGGTTTGAATTTGAAAGAATGTAGAGTCACACTCGACATGGGAGGGCAAAGGGTTAAGTAAATCTCATTTGTGATCGGTCAAAGGAACGAAATGAGTCCTTCGATCGCCTCGATTTGAATTTTGATTAATTTTAATTGGTAAACTTGCATTTTTGCCAGTGTTTACGAATGCTAAGTTCTTGTTGATTTGCAGAGGAGTATAAACCGGAACCAATTACGCTGGACACGCTACGAAAGGAGAAAACGTTCAAGCTGGGGAAAAAACAGCAAAAGGAGCAGGACACGATGAAGAAGAAGCATCTGAAGGAACGACAGACGATGCAGAAGAATCACTGCGCCGCCATTGATAAATTGGTCAAAGGAAAAGAGTACGTAATTGGAAAATGCTGGAAATTGCTATGGCGGCTAATCTTGGGAAATAAATTTCATATTTTCCAGTAAGAACGCGTTGGTGCAGGATGCCAACGTGAAGAAGGTAGTGAGCGAGCAAACCGCCCAATGGTCGTCCATGGTGGAACGACAACGGAAAGAGGAGTGGGAGTTGTTGAAGAATCACACGGATGCTGCTCGAGAGGAATTCAAAAAATTGATCGATGTGGTGCAAGCTGGACAGGTTAAGCAATTGCAGGCGAAACACGACAAGTACGTGCATCAGCATGATTTCGTTCAAATTGAGATTGAAAGATTTTCCTGTCTACTTTTAGAGATATCAAAGAAATGAACGCGAATCAAGTGAAGGTATCTGTGGAGACAGCTAAAGAAGTGATGAACGATAAAGCGTTGAAGACGAAGGGTGACAAGGATCGTCGTATTCGTGAGAAGAAGGAACAGAATACGAAGAAGTTCATGCAGGAGAGGAAGAACGTGCAGATCAAACAGGGTCGCGAGAAGGAGAAGCTGAAAGTTAGCCACGAGAAACAGGTGGCTGGATTGGACGGAGAGATCGACTCGGTAATTTTTGTGGAATTCTCCTTTGAATTGAAGTTTTCTTATTTTTAACACATTACCGACCGATAGCCTATTAATCGACTGTTTTACCGGCCAACGCTTACCGACCGATAACCTATTAATCGACTGTTTTATCGGTCGGTAAGCGTTGGTCGGTAAAGAAGTTGATTAATAGGCTACCGGTCGGTAAAGTGTTAAACACAGGACGATACTTAAAGATTTCTCTGTTCCAGACTATCGAAATGTACAAGAACGAAGCGATTCAATACGACTTGTCCTCCAAGACAGAATTTTTCGTATGAATGTTGGGACCTGTGGACATTATACATATTTCTACCTTTCATTTGATACTTTTCTTTATACGATACTTAATACATGTGTAGCATTTTTTAACAGTGAATCTACGCGTAAGGGTTCTTCTTTCGAATTGTTACGATAAAAAATTCTGTAGAAACTTGTAATTACTTTATTATCCCTTTGTACAGTTATAATGCATTCTATGTACAACACCCGTTAATTGTTAAGTATTACACGCTAATTTGAACTGAAAATCTTGTATTATCATTACCCAATAAATAGGCCCTAAATAGTAATGATTTTGGGGGCTAAAAACCCTAACTCGTTTGTGCGTAAACGCTTCTTTTTAACAATCTGAAAGGTTCGATCGTGTCGTTACACGGAAATAGAACACTGATTAACAGAAAAATTGAACGAAAAGAAACCATGAAGACTTGAACTACTCTGGAACTTAATGAATCTTCTCCTTGTACTGTTCCATGTACCGTTGAATGAACGGCGATCTATAGACTCGTAAAGAGGCGATAGAACCGGCGCATGCGCCTACCCAATACACTATTACATGATCCATAAAAGATGTGCCCAAACATCCATACTTCAATGAGGTTGCCAGCGCGGGATTGAAGTAGCCGCCGGAATAATCGAAAGCTGAAAATAGAGTGATCGTTGAGCACTCGTTGCTAAATATAAATCAAGGAGCGCTGCTGGGGTCCACGGATAATTACAATTAATATTAAGGCTCTAAAACAGTAAATAACAATATTAATATAATAAATCGATCGAACCTGCGATGACCAGGCTTGTCCCAATGAAGGAATCGATGATAATGTTGAACTTTGAGTTTATTTCGTTCAAACCGTGCGACACCACCCTGTATACGCACGTCGCCACGCATTCGACGAACGCCCCGAATATTACGGGCACCTGAAAAATAAAAAAAACGATGTCAGTACATGATCTGATGCTCTAATGCACCTTTCAGCGAGTTAAAGCCGAAAATCCTTATTTATTTAATAAATAACTCGGTAAAGGGAGTCGGATTGATTTGGCCATAAGTCAAAGTTTGCCGCGAAATAGTTCGGTATTTCAACGCTAGATGGCGCTCATTTTCGACCTCGAGCCCCCTGGTGCTAAAACGCCCAAGTTTGTCGTCGAATAGTTCGGTATTTCAACGCTAGATGGCGCTGATTTACCGACCTCGAGCCCCCTGGTGCTAAAACGTCCAAGTTTGCCGAGAAAGCCATCTATTGTTGAAAGAACGAACTATTCGACGACAAACTTGAGCGTTTCGCCGTAGATGGCAGCACAAATCATGTACCACCGATGGGTCACACGTTCTTTAATTTATACGCAGGAAGCATCACGGGATAACTAAGCGGATATTTTAGTGGGAAAGAATGCAGTCTCTTATTTGGACACTACTGTGGTTAGTAGAATAATAATAAACTTTGTTAGCGGGGCAGGGGAAGGGCCAATGTCTCACGAAGCTTGTTATTCGAAAAGGAATAGAGAAACCTTTCACGACCTACAGAAAAGTTGTCTAATACTTTTTTGTAGGTTCCCATGAGCTCTAATTCAGAAAAGTTTCATAAATCCTAATTCAATGAGTTTCTCAACTGACCGCCATTTTTAGATCGGTATGTCAGTCAGATTTGCCCGCGAAAGTCCACAAGTTGAAAGATCTATTCGTATATCTCGTCTGTTGCTCGACTATGACCGATCAAGCGACCAACGATCGATAAAGGGTTAATGAAGGGTTAATTCCCGCTTGGAGACATTTAGGTAACTTTTAAAATAAAGAATTATATGTGCGCCCCCAGGCGGACAACCCCCTTAACGAAAATATATGAGACCGTAGTTTGTTACCTGTAAATCTGTGGTGCAATCTTCAAACGCTTTGTTCTTGTGTGTCGAGACGATCTCGAGCGCCCAAAGTAATTGTATGTATCTAAAAACAGCAAGACCGCCGACAAGCTCAGCCCATATTAAAAGGAAAGCGTCGCGCACCGACTTCTTCCCCTCGATGAAGTCCTCGATGTGCGTATAAGGACATGCAGTTGCATCGCCCCAGTTCATAGACCACCAAATCGTCAGTACGAATAAGTATAACCCATACATGGAGACGCCCCAATTTTCGGCGACTAAGATTCAACATCAAGGTAAAAATCAAGCTGTTTTTATTCTAAACTACGATCCACTTAAAAGCTACCTTTTACTAAAAAGTGTTTTGGCCCGAAAATTGAATTGGGGGGCACGCAATCTGGTGTAATTTTTCTCTAATCGGACGCGTAGAGGATATGCACTGCCAAAATCATAGATTCAGTTTCATTTCTGCGTTTCCCTTTTTACGAATAAACAAACTTACTTATTATAAGTTCGAAACATGCACCGCAAAGTTCGCCGGTAGCAATGCCTTCTAAAAATAGTGACCGTAGGAACGGGTCCCGTATATAATATGTCACGTATCTTCTCATCCAATACGCAATGAGACTCGTGAGCAGAATGTACAGCGTGGAGACCGCTAATGCGATCATTGTTGCGCTCATGGTGCTTATTTAATATGCACGAACTGGATGGCAATACTATAAAAATACAAATGCAGACTTGTGAGAAATTCTCAGGTAATTTCTCTAAATAGAAAAAGGAAAATAATAAACAAAATTGATCCAAACTTAAAGAATCTATCAGAAAGTTACTGGCGTCATAAAAAATACAATTAACTTGAGTTAATGCAATTGTATGTTAATTTATTCCGAATAGGTGTATAAACTACATATTAAAACCAGGTTATTATGCAACAAGCATAGAATCCGTACGATAAACTATGGTTTCAGTTACGTACATGTGTACATACCTGTCTATCACCGAACCTCAGTCGTTCTTTTCATATCTCGAGTTTCGTACGTTGACACGACACTAAAACTATTTCTCTATCCTTTCTCTTTTCCTACGCGCGGCGCTAGATTTTCCTCAACCAGTTATTTAAAACTGGCGAGTGTGTGTAATTGAATATATCCGTCCGGATATGTCGCCGCGGCTTTAAATAGCTCTCCCAAATTACCTGGTTGGGCACTGTTAAATATCGACTTGGGGACGTGCACGTACAATTTAAAATAAAATTGATACTTATATATGATTCGTAAACATATGCAATACTTTACACCCATCACATTATAATACCATTTACAAGGTATTACACGGTAACACAGATTTATTTAGTTTCCCCGTGAGAATGATCTAAAAAGTAGAAATTTTAAAATGAATTTAATCTTGATCCAACTTTAACCAATCGCAGGCTCGCTTCAGCCAGCAGCGTTTAGGAATACTTCTAAACAACAGACAACGTTAATTAAAAGACAAGTATACATAGTTATGATTGGATGTTTTTATTCATTTTATGAAGTAATCATATTTATGAACTACATTTATTACATAGGTAAATGATTCCATGTTATTTATGAATGTGGGCTAACTTCAATTATATCATTATAAAAAAGAAAGTAAAATTTATTTACAAGAATCAAAAGACTCTCCTTTGTGCTTTTTGGCCACTTGGGAATCATCTTGACTCTCTGTTCTTAACATTAACCTGGGAATTCGTTTCGATTTCAAATAGGACATCGTTTCGCTTGATGATCTAAAAGAAAAATTAAATTACATAAATCACTAGTTTCTTACTAGATCTTTCCCACTAGTTTCTTACTAGAATAAAGATTTTCGAATTAGAAGATGTAACACATACCTCGGATGAGAAGTTTTAGGGTCAGTCAACATTTCCGTTGGATTGCTTTCAGTCGAATTGGAACTTGTACATTGAGAATAAGGAATGGTCGGGGTTAGGTATGTTTTATTAACTATCTCATTAGTTGGTTCGGTATTCTCCGTTTGATTTGGCATATTGTTACTAATACGATTCTCTCCGTCTGCTGTAGACTTCTTCTTATCTTCTATGTCCGTCTTCACCGATTTCAGGTCGACGTGATTCTCGGCCTTCAGTTTCAATTTACCATCTTGTGTAGGAAAGTTCACGGCAGGTATAGTAATGTTCTTGTCTCCTTTGGTTGAATTCACTAACTTAATTAATAGCTTCGACAGTTCTTCCCTTTTTCTCGTCACGGTTATCTCCTCGAACCAGTTCTTCAATGTTTTTATCGGCAATGTATAATTTTTTATAGGATTCTGAAAGAAAATTGTTAAAAATAAAATTATTTATTACACTATATACAGGGTGTCCTCGCTAAAGTGTGACAGTCGCGATACTTCAAAAACTATTGATGATACGAAAAAATTGTTTATATGAACTTGCCACTCAAGCCGAGACGTCTCCACCAAAACTCAGTAAATTTCCAAGTGTTATATCTTGAAAACTAATAAAAATCGGGTGAATAAATTGCAGGTTAATGAATTTGTCTTGAAAAACACTATCGCATGATCCAAAAAAAAATATATAGTTCCATTTAAAAAACGAAACTTCACCATCGTATCTTTGAAATTAATAACATAAATAAAATTTTCATTTACGCCATAATAAAGATCCTATTTTATCCTGCATTTGTCATATAAACAATTTTTTTGTATCATCAATAGTTATTTAAGTATCGCGACTGTCACACTTTAGCGGGGACACCCTGTATATAAAAGTAAAACATGAACATACTTTAAAGAAGCTCTCCACGTATTGTAATACATATAATCCGCAATCAGTAAAATTCGATTGCTGAGGAACTTTCAACGATGCGCCTTTAATGGTGTCTTTCGAAAATACTTTTTCACTTCCAATTTTTGCAACATATTCGCAACTCAAGTAATCCCTTAATGTTGCTACCACTCGTGCTCTGCTTGCCCCAGCAAGAGAATCGAATATCAATATGCACGGCCTACGGAAAATTAAAACAGAAATATTAAATAAACAGCAATAATTCCACATATGTACATGGTACTTACACTTTCACGATAGAATTTTCCTGTGACAGATTTGGTTCTATTTTCGGCAGGCGACTTTTATCTTCCGCCATTTCCGTTTCATCCTAAATTAAAAATTAACCAAAGTCAGTCCAATAAATGATTTATTTATTTACGATAAGCTTACATCATCTTCGCTATCCATTTCCATTTCTTCGTCATCGCCTTCGGCTTCGTCTCTTTCCGAACCGTCGTCAGGTTGATCTATAGTTATGGTTGTTGTCACTGGCGCGAGCGTTGTGCTTCCGATTGTAACAGCTTGGAGTTTAATCTCCTTCAATCGTTTGCTTCTTTGTACAGTTTTGCGAACATCGTTTTCTTCGGAACGTGCTTGATTCGTAGAAACTTCGCCCACTAATCCAGGAAAACAAATAATAGCCAAAAACCAATGAGCACTGAAACAAATTTTACATATAATAGAGACCTCAACGAAAGGAAGTAACGCATTGTTTCGATATGAAAACTTACTGTTCGTTAATAGGAATTATAATAAAGTCCTTCTCAAATATATTGACATTTTTCGTCCACTTTTGCACTCTTGCGTGTCTTTTTGCAGCAGGCGAAAGAGGCACGTTACTTTCGACTGATTGAGTATGCGGACTCGTTAATCGTTTATAAAAATAAGAACTAAACACGTGAGTTCTATGTTGATCAGATTCCGATAAAACTTCTAATGTTAGATACTTTAAATAGAAGTCAATGATTACATCGTTCAAAAATTGATCCTCTCCAAGACACAAATAATCTTCAGTGTTAATGGCTATACCACCCTTTGCAGGCGGTGGAGGATATACAGTTATTCTGTAAATAATTTTAATTCATTAATATAATAATCTGATATCAATATCTACCTTGTAAATGCGAATAAATTTATTTCTTACGTCTGTATTCCACCATTGACATTCGAATTATTTAACGATGACGATTGACTGTCTTTCTTTGACATAGTTTGAACTTGCGAACTCTGTGAAAATTAAAAATTATTACCAAAAGGTTTTTCAAACGGTAATAAATACAATCGATATAATTTGTTGCTTACATCTTTCGGTGATGCCCGTACCAGAATATCGTTTGCTTCCTTCGAACTTAATTCCTCTAACAAACGCCTTCGTGAGAATAAATTTTTTAGCACTACTTTTGATTCTTCACTTAATTTCTCTGGCAGTAACGTTATCCGTTTATGCGTGTGATCTACGCGTGAAAATAAAAGAAATTTTATTTCATTTATAATCATTAATTATTTGAAAGACAGTACCTTTTCCAGCGGGGTCGTAATACGGCCCTTTTGGATCTTGCATTCCTAATAATTCACGAATCATAGCTCCAGTACTAGTACAAGTATAAAAGAAAAGCACTGGCATCGACTTCCCAAAATGAATTAGTACTTTTACAAGATCTTGAAACTTAACGTCTAATGTTACGAAGCTTTTCTCTATAAAATACGTAAATATTTGTATAATTTAAACTTAATTTAATAATTATCGATATTGGTAGAACAAAATTACCATCTTCCAACAAAGGTACACCAAATCGTACTCCATTTTGGGAGATTACTACTCTTTCCCGAGGAATATATTTATAAGATCCTATCCTTACTGTCCGACACAACAGAGAAGTATGGGGGCACTGAACAGAATTATCTAAAAAAGAAAAATAGTTGTTTTTACTCTCTGTGTCTTTATATTTATGTAATAAATGCGAGTTATTAAATAATACCTTTAAGAATATCTTCGCTATCCATACTATAGTCAGAACTTATACTAGAAATAGAATTGTTCGTAATTACTGGTTCCTTTTCAAGTATGGTCTCAGTTTCTTCTGTAAAACTATTACTTGTAATATGTGAAAATGAACTGTTATTAGAGCCCTCCGATTTTTTACTTTTTCCTTCTTCCTCTTCATCCGACGATATTGTCAAACACTCTGCGGAAGTATCATAGCCAATCATCAATTTTCATTAATATTAAATCGTGAATTAGCTTCCTACCTGGCTCCTTATGAATAGGCCTTGGTTTCACAGCGCCCCTTCCTCTTCCTCTTCCACGTTTATAAACGGACCCATCTCGTTCCAATTTCTCTAGTTTCGCTGATGAGTTTCGCTCGTTATTTTTCTTATAAAAGGTCTGAAAAAAATATGATATATTTACATGACAAATAAAAAAAATTCGAATATAAAATACAGTTGCAATATTAATATCACGTCACAATCCTTACATCAACGGATAACATGGTATCCTTTTTCTCTTGCATGCCCATTGACATAGGTATGGATTTCACATCCTTCGGTAGTTTTCTTCTACATCTTGAACACCGGTTGAAGTCGATTGAACTGATGCCACAGTGAGAACAGACGGCAAGCATTCCCTCAATGTATATAGGCTCCTAGTTTTATACAAAATAGTTCTTTCAGTATTTTCAGTTCTGCATATATCTAATTTATTAGCTTACCTCAATTTGTTGGACAGGGTTGCTGTTCTCATCTGGTGAACTGAAACATTAAACAATGCGCCTTAATATTTTTAAATGTAAATTTTATACGTAATCTTCAGTCGTCAAATATTTAATAAGAAACTTACCTATGCGAATTATCTAAATTAGTATTTACGTTGTCGTGAGAATTATCACTTTCAGTCGTATCATGTGATGCCATCGCTGAACCAGATCTAGCATCCACGATATAGTTTATACCCAATGTAGGATCAGAAACTAAAGAAACACTCGTTGACCCACAAAATACAATGTTTGCCTGAAAGTGGAAATATTTATAAAACCAACAGTTCCCAAAAGAATTCTTCTAATGGCAATGAATCAGATAACAATTCAAGTACCTGCTCTAATAAATCTTGAACCGTACAATCCTCGTTTGGTATGTCAAATGTAATTAATCTTTGTTCACCGTTAGTGAACGTAACTAACATTTTTGCAGTATTTCCTTGAATTTGATGCTGAACTATAGTATTTGATGGATTATCGATAACTTGTTGAAGATAGGCAATACTTTCAGACGAATTGTTTTCTGACTCAATTTGCGATGACAAATTATGTTGATTTGTCAGTGTGTGGTCTGTAAGTGATGTTAATTCTGAGGGTTCTGGAGATTCAATGTCCATACTATTCATATTTTTAGATGAAGATGAGAGCGAAGGTTGTTGTTCATATTGAGACTTTTGTGTTAATGTGGATTGTTTTTGAAATTGTGATTGTGATGTAGATGATATATGTTGTCTTTGTTGCGCTACATTTGTCTGTTGTCGTTGTCCAGGACAATTTAATGAACCCTGTACTGCTTGTGGCATAGCATTTGATAATCGCTGTACATTACTTCCTTGCCGTCTTTGATCTTTTTGCATTTGTTTTAATTTCGTTTGTTCCATTTTAGACTGTTGAGGTATTAATGAGTTTTTTGGTATTAAATTGGAAGCCTGAGGTCTAGTAAGAATTGTACTCAAAGAACTATGTGTTTGTGTAGAAATTGGGGTCACATTTTGTCCGATAGGACTAACTGATTTATTACACAATGAAGGTGTAGATGCTCTGACATTAGACGCATTAGCAGTTTGTATTTGTATTTCAGAGTTACTTGTTACATTCACCCTATCAAGAGCACACAAAGATCCAGTCTGTACACTGTTTATCGGATGTCGATTTCTATTTTGATACAACCTAGGTGGTTTTCTTTTTATAAGTCCAGCACTCAATGATGATGCACTCTGTTTTGAAACTGCATTTTCACTAATACTATTTTTCTGCATTTTTATCCATTGTATTTGTTGTCCTTCATTATTACAACCTATCAATGCCTTAGAACCTAAATAAGATAGTATGTTCCTTTACAGTTTATCTTCTAATACATGATTAGTGATTTTCTTAATTCAACGTATTAAAGTAAAGCTCCGTTTCAATTTCAATAGAATTACCTTTATTATCAACTATGTTTCCACCAAGAGTATTAGTATTAACTGCTGTAGTCTTTAATACGCCTTGAGGTGAAGTTAACTCATTTGTATTTGTTTTAATTATAAAAACATTTTGTCTGGAAGCAAAATGTATCATATTAAATGTGTCAATTAATATTCTGGAAAATAATACAAAGAAAATAATTAAGAATCAACTTTTGACCAGAAAAGTATAGTGTATATTTTGCATTTCACATTATTGATAATTCAATCATACATACTGTTATTTTTCAAACACATACCAATATAGAGAAGAAACTGTATAACTCGATCTTATTAATTATTTACTGAGTTAGTACAAGCTTTAAAACAGCCTGTATGTTGATTATGATTGGTTTTGTCAATCATATACAATAGTAAAATGAAGTTAAAATACAATAATTGTGTATTATTTTTACAAATGAAGATAACGAGGAAGAAAGGGTGCATTGGTACATTTCTAATTTAATTCAAAGAAACAAAAATATTATCATTGTAAACTCAACATGATCTGCATACTTTAAACTTTATTTATTCAGATATTATGAGTAAATTATATAAATAATTAAACATATTTGCATAAGCACAATTTTAATATTTTTAACATTCTTGTCTAGAATCTTTTAAGGGTATGTGTATAAGGGCATATACAAGTAATTAAAATAAATTTAATATCTCCTAACTAATATTCAAGCATGTTATTATTATTTGAATAAACAATAATATTGTATAAAAAAAAAATTTAGACAAAAGTTTTACATATATTATGGCTTGTTCCTAATTTTGTAATATGTATAAAAAAGGTAATAGTTTCATAGTGTATATTATACTTTGTGCTTATATATACTTCATATCTTTCAATAGAGTAAATTAATATTAGTATTAATACATATTATATGATCTTAATAAGTGATTGATAAACTTCTTGCCAATGAAAATATGATTACACTTACGTTTGTCTGTATTCATTATGTGAATACTTAGAAAATATGCTCACATTTCACATTCATAGAGCTTGCTGCAATTTTTTAAATTGTCAAAATACAATATTTGATTATTAAATCAGTAAATCAGAGTAGTAATAAAAAGTTTCTTTGAGGCACACGTGTACAATACTATGATAATCTATTCTAAATATGTTTGGTAGCATAAAAAATAAATAATGTGTGCATTTTCCTTGATAATTTCATTAACAGAAATGTGTTTTGTAGAAATATAAAGTTCAAAGTAATTAAAGGATCCCTTACTGAAATAAGATAATATTTTCCAAGTTATTCATTCAAATAAAATAAACATTCGATAAAAATCAGTTGTAAATATACAGTAATTATTTGATTTCATTCTAAACGATTGGATATCTCCCTAATCTTCAGATCCTGTAATTGATTTGACCACTTTCTTTGTCATATTGTTATTATGTTATATTTTCATGTGTGATTAGAAGACTACTTTAAGAAGTGTTCTATAACAAAGTGTTATAATGTATGAAAATCAATAATAATTTGAATTGCTTATTCTGATCATTAAATAAATGATATAATTAGAAAATTACTTAAAACAAATTGTTATATACATGAAATTTTATATACCTGTTTACAAAATTCTAAATTCAATTAAATATTTAATGTTTACAGTGTCATGTAATTGCGATTATATTAAACATTAAAATATATAATTTCACAATGTAGAAAATAAACATAAAATATGCCTTTTACAACCTATAACATGCTTCACAATTGATATTTAATTTTCATAACCAGTGCCACGTACCAATACCCCCTTCTTTTTTCCTCAAATATTCAATATCTTTCTGTCCCTAAATGTATATCAATATATGAATGTACAAAATTGAAAGCAAAAAGATATCACACTGCTACTTGAATATTTGAAAAGTTTAAATGCATGCGCACAAATTACCCTTGTTCCAATTGCGTTGTAGAGATTTGATTTCCTAAATTAACTTGCTGTGAAAATATCGATTGCCCACTGTTTTGCGGCGCAGTGGTATAAGTTAAAAATTGCTGAGAACCATTGTCACCATTATTTACATCTTCAAAAACTAACTGAACACTTTGTCCTTCTGCAGAGCAAATTTTCTGTAAATCTTCAAGTGATAACGTACCACTGGCATTGGTCACAAAATTATAATATTGTGCCATATTATTCAAGACTCGACTGCTTGCAAATATGATCTTTTGTCAATCAATGTAGACCAATAGCAAACTGATCAATATCACTACTATACAGGACTACACCAGTCCATCAATATCATATCTGTAGAACGACGAATTAGTATCTGCACAATAAAACCTATTAAAAATAATTTAAAGTTACTCGTGATTCTTAGTAGTTCATGTTACAAATCTGATAGTATAATTCAATAGAAAAAAGAAAATAGAAACATAGAAGCAAATCTTAAAAACTAAAAAGAATTGAGCTAATGAAAAATATATAATTACTGTTACTTAATATTTCACTATTTGTTTTATGTTTATCGCATATATTTTTTAATTTAAATTGTTATACGAATACTTTGAATAATAGTATCTCGATAACAACAAAACCTTAATAAAACAGTCAGAAATGACATAAAATCAAGACCAATTCATCATACAGATGTATTACAGAACTATATTAATTATTACATTCACATATTTGCAAAAAGTAATTTATTTCTAGATACATTTACATTGAATTTAAATCACTTATGCCTTATATTTATGGCATAAAATTTTTATATATTTCATGTATATTATCACAAGTGTTTGAAAGAAATACATCTTAGAAATTAAAACAAAATTGTCTTAAGCTACTAAATATAGTTTTAATAAACATACAAAGCATACTAAAAAACGTTTAGTTTTCTTTTATCGATAAATAAACATAAGTTGTAAAATATAACTTCTTAAGTAGTCTCCTACAGAGAATTTCTTTCAAATTACATAATAAAGTCCTAAATTGTTCAAAGTCCTAGAGTCCTACATTGTTTCTCAATTATTCGTTATACTATGGTACAAGGCAATTTTATGCACAATCGGAATGTTTGAAAATATTTGTACAGCATGTGCTTCAAAGTTTTGAAACATTGACAAAAAATTTGTAATAAAAAATTGCAGTATGATGTGTATTGTGGAATAACACCATTACAACCTGATTAGTCTTATAAACAAAAATTGTGCTTCTAAATTATAAAATGCAAATTTTTAAAGCAAAATAAACTTATAAAATTATTACCATTTAGCAAAATTTTAAATACGAGTGGAACTATATAAATTAAAAATGCAATAATTATTACTTTTAGATAATAAGTCAGAACTGTAATTGCATATTATTTTCTACGCTAAGTTTCACTAAAAATAGGTTACAGAATTATCTCCTATAATTTATAATGATACAAATTGTAAGTTTCATATAATATTTGAATTACTTAAAATAGTTATGTAGCAAGACAAATTTGCTTTTCAATGTTATAATTGTTTTCAGTGCTTTTTAAATTAATCATGTTTTTCTTTTACATGAAAGTACATATTTCTTTCTTGTATTTTTTACTGACATCGACATGTAATTGACCACTATAATAATATGACTTATAGATTCAAAATTAAACATTCAAGGTAAACAATATTTCAGAATAAAAGTTCTAAATGATATCCCCTGGCAATTATACATTGTCTAAAAGAACCAGTGACAAATTATGATTTTCTTTCAATAACTTTTAGGGTAATAGCAGTATTTAGTATCAATTCAGACAATGCATTGCCAATATACAGGACATCATTTCCAACAATTATTGTCAAACATTAATGATTTATGTTTTTATATTTTTGAGCTCCAACTCTTAAAGGAAATAACCAAGTAGCCTGTCTCAAGTGCAATAACTTGCACATAAGTTTTAGATTTAGTTATACCATGAGATACATGCCATTATTGAATATATAATATGTATTCTCACATAAATAATATATTATTTTCTATAAAAGAAAAAAACAGAATTCGTACAAAAGTATTATGCTTTTCAAAAAATGAGAAATATAAAAAGTATATATATTTATGAAACTTATGAAAGTTTTGTTTTATTTCTATAATATTGTTTGCAATTTTAAATATTTGCTGCTTTCATATAAAATCTTTATGTATTAAATGTTTCTGGTATATTCTGTATCTAATGATATTTACTAATTGTATCATCATTAAAAATAAAAATTCAAAGTATCATAAGCACGAAATTTAAATGCAGATTCGATAAATTCAAGCAGCTAAGATTCATTAATTAGCAGATAATGTGAATATTAAACGACATAAAAAAGTAAAAGTAAAAAATAAAATAATTTTTTGCAAAAAATGTTGAAGTATTATAATCAATACCTATCTTTAACAATGTGTTTTCTAATGACTTATTTATAAACAATTGAAAAAATTAATAATGTTATTCATCGTTACTTTACATAATATAAATGCATATTTTACAGCTACTGCAAACGATAGTGTTAAAAATAAAGGATGTACTGCCATTACAGCTGATGTGAAATGAGAAAAAACTTGGAAAGATTTGTTAGCATTTTCATCATGGCATGTGATACAAATTTAGTTAAAAAATAATTCATAAAGAAACTGAATATATAAAAATAATTGCGATTATTATTTCTAACATTACTGTTGCTGTTACCTTTAACAATGCAAACTAAAATTTCAAATGGCATTGAAAGGACAAAAAGTATTTAAATTTTACGGAATCATAACCTAAAAGTCGGAGAATGAAAATTATCTTCCGTTTCTCATATCTACTGTACAATAACACTATATAATTTTCACAGAAATGCATGCATCGAAAATAAAATAACTACCATGGATTATTGAACATATTTATGATTAAATGTTGAAACGTGCAAGATAAATGGTAGTAAGATCGTTGAAGAGTTTTATCATAACCTTGTTTTAGAGTCGTAACAATATCGAATAAAAGTTCCAATGAAATATTATTAAAGAAATTTGCATTTTATTGGACTGCAAAGCGGCTTTATTATTAATTCCGTACGAAAAACATGCGGAATTACTAACTTGGATACGAACCGACGTCTAGTGCACACATTACAAATTTTTTATTAAACTGACAACCATGATACTTACAGTCGTTTGTACAAGATGAAGTAAATATACAATTCCGATTTCAGCAATAACAAATACGTCTTTGATTGTACTAAAATTATTTCGTTATAGTTCGCGTAAGTAAATAACAACTCCAATTCGCCATTTTACGTTACCGTTTACGTGAAAGAATCGCAAAGCAACCGATAGACCGCAAAAGATTACGCCACTGCGTCACTGAAGTAGAGTTTCCGGCTCCGGTTTTCTAAGGCTCTAATGGCGCCAAATTCGGTACGTCGTGCTAGTAATATATTAAATAACATTAATATAGTTACATAGACGTTTAATTTATACTTGTAGAAGAGTTGAAAATTAATAGAGCATTTTTAAAATGTTTTTTTATAAACAGAAATAATTAGAATCTTAACAATAAAATAACTTCTAACATTAAAATGTATTTACTATATTTATAAATTGAAATACTAATATAATTAATTTGAAATAGGGAAATTTTATATAGTAATGCAACAGATGAAACAATATGCTGTAACAATTATTTAAAACAATTATAACAGTAATATTTAAAATCATATATCCTTTGAATTTCATGCGAATTGCAAGATTTTCAAATTTTTGAAGATTTCACAGGTTCATAAAATATCATTGTTACGAATAATTGATTTATTTGAAAAGGTGGTTACAAATAAATTCAAAGTACATTAACTTCGAAAAAAATGTTCTATTCAGTCATATATTCTATGTCTTCTTTATGTTTAATATTTGATTTATGGTCATTACTACTAGTAACATTATCGCGAAATAAAGAAATTAATTGCTGTCCACTTCGATGCAATGTATAAGAACTAAATGGGAAAAAATTCTCAGCTGTAATTGTTGCTGTCTTTTCACTACCGAATATAGGAAGCTGACTCCGCGTATTATTTTCGATTATAGTATAACAATATGCCAATTGATACATTCGTGTTATTTCCGCAAAATTATGAACAATTTCAGGGTGGCAGACTTTTAATGGATTTAACCTACAAGTTATAATTTTTGCTAAATCCATTTCTTGTAGATACAACATATCTGAAAATATATAAAAAAAAATTATTCCGATGCACTTTAATTAAAATGAAATGTACTTACATTTTTTTGAATTAGGAAAGTCATTATGCCTTTTAGTAATTATAAGAAATAGTGCTTGGCAGACAGAATAAAATACACTATGTTCTTTATTTTCGTCACGAATATATCTTAAGTGATCTTCCATATTAATATAATCGTGTATCCATCTGCACAATTTAAACTGTACCGTTTTCACTAATCTATTAAAAATACATACATAATAAATACACATATATGCACTAATTAAAAAATAGTATACAAGAATAACTAATTACCCGGCTGTGATAAAATTTGCTGTAACTAATAAACTAGCAATGTATGCCACAGATGATTGGCGTATAATAGGAGGTATATTAGGATTTGATACTTTATTCCATAACCAATCTACAAATGCCTCCACAACAGCTGTTTTAAAACTACAAATATAGAATATAATATACTGAACAAATTGACTTGCATGAGTAGGTAATATTACTGTTTCAAATATTTGTAATATATCGAAATAAAGACTTTTTAAAGATTCTATTTGCAAGACTCCTTCAAGAAAACAGGAGTTATGCATGTATTTCAGAATCAGCGTCATACACACATCCAATTTATGAGCTATTGGATGTATTTTATCTGTTTCTGTTATATCATTGTCTTCGACAATATTATTCTCATTACCAAATGTGCTGTCGCATTCACTACTATCATCTATCAAGTCTTCATCCTTATTATCTGTCTCTAAACGTGGTATGTTTACATCCAATACCATTAACCTACAACAGAAGATGTTTAATTTCTATCTCGATCATAAAATACCACATTAAATATTACCTGTTAATAATTAGAGACAGAATATCCGATCGTAATTGTGGCGCGTATTCGAATATTTGAATCAATGCATAAACATAAACTTCATGAATATGAGTCCCGTGAACAATATATGGAAATCTTCCTCTAAGCGATTGCAATAGTAGCTTACTTGACCTAAAAAAAATCATTTATTCATAAATTATATACAGTGTCTGAACAAAATTTATTAGTAATTTCTTACATTGGCACAATTTTCAAAATTTTGCAAAGTACATCATGTATGTGACTTAATCTCTGAACATCTTCTTCCCTACACTGTCCAGCTTCCCATTCCACATCATTTTCATCTAAACAAAATAGAAATGTTAGTCGAAGACAGATGTTTCACAAAACATTTAAATATTACTGTAAAACATACCTGGTTTGAATTGTTCAACTAAATTATCTATAACATATTTAGCGTAATATATTTGCATACAAATTAAATCTTCCAGAAATGCTTTATACGCGGATGTTACTTCTAGCGAACGATTTGTCCATTTTAATTGCAAAAGTGTTTCTATAAATATTTTATGAGTGGGACCAAGCAATGATATACATTGTCTTACATTTGCCAAAAATTCTTTCAAGTCTGTATCCTACAATTGAATACAGTGGAAGGTAATTTGTTAATATTCGTAATTAGATAAAAATAATAAAAATTATGTTTCTACACACAGGTACCTTCATATTTGAGTCACGTAGAATATGTATTAAATCTTCGTAATCTTTAGTTCCATTGCCAGTTTCAAAATTATATATAATACTTTTCAGATTCTTTGGAAGCTTGAAATATACTCTATTTGACTGTCTAATTAACTGTGACCTAACTCCGGGAGCTTTTAAGATCGATGACACACTGCTAACTCTTGAAGAAATAACTGACATCTGTTTGAAAAAACATATAATATTAAATGAAAGAATTTGTAATGTAAGTATCATACAATACTATTCTAATAAAGTATTTACGAAATTTGTTGTACCGGTATTAAAATTAATTAATATGATCGAGTGACACTTGCCTTATTTCTTGAAACTGTTACGCGTGCAAGTAACAAAATGAGGTTATGATAGAAAATAACAAAAAGCTTAGGTATTATTAACTTTCGGTTATATTTACAACTTTTTAATGTGTTAATATTATGCAATAACTTTGGATTATACGTCTGTTTACATTGTGAAATCGTATTATTGCACGGATATTACATTAACGAAAAATATTACAACATGCGTTCACTAACTCCATGTGGTCAAAGCGGAGCCGAATAGCCGATCTCGACCAATGCCGACTGCCGACAATCTAGATTATCGATTCGTTCTTTCGATATATATTTTTGATAACTCGAATCGTCGATATTTATTCAAACATTCGATTATTGTATTTGTTACGAAAGTTGTTTGTTGGTTGTAAATTTTAAAGACGTTGTGTATAAGTTTACAAACTTTGAATTAATAATTTTGTGCATACATCTCGTGTTTCTTAAAATACCGTAAGTTTTTTTTAACACTAGATTGCCCGAGGAAGTCATTTCGACTGCTTTTTAATTTCAATTAGAAAAACAATTATGCATATAATGACACAATTTCTTAGAATTTTGTGACTTTTTGCAGTACATATAAATGAGTTTATTAATAATTGTAGTTACCTCCCCCCTCCTTCATTTCCGGTATATGTGTTATACCTATATTGGTCAAAAGCAGTCATTTTGACTGCTTGGGAAATTTTAAATAATCAAATGACCCTTATTATTGAATTGAGTACATTTCTTATATGACCAGTTCGACTCTGTATTGAAATAACAGTTTTCATTTTTTTTCGATTACCAACACATGATAACATACAAGTACATGATAAATTGTCGATTTGGGCGTACCTAACCCAGACCTAACCCAGACCTAACCTAGACATAACCCAGACCTAACCCAGACCTAACTCAGACCTAACCCAGACCCTAGATCTGGGTTAGGTCTGGATTAGATCTGAGTTAGATCTGAGTTAGGTCTGGGTTAGGTCTGGATTAGATCTGAGTTAGCTCTGGGTTAGGTCTGGATTAGATCTGAATTAGATCTGGGTTAGGTCTGGTTTAGGTCTGGGTTAGGTCTGGGTTAGGTCTGGATTAGATCTGAATTAGATCTGGGTTAGGTCTGGTTTAGGTCTGGGTTAGCTCTGGGTTAGGTCTGGATTAGATCTGAATTAGATCTGGGTTAGGTCTGGTTTAGGTCTGGGTTAGGTCTGGGTTAGGTCTGAATTAGTTAATAATCCAAATTATCTTAACCCTTTGCACTCCTATGTCGAGTGTGATTCGACATCAATTTTGATCTCAGGAGCACCTTCGTCAAGTCTCACTCGACATTCTTTCAAGTCCAAACCAAACAGATATCATACACTTGGAAATTACAAAATACAACAACAGTGTAAATGAGACCTAACCCAGACCTAACCCAGACCTAACCCAGATCTAATCCAGACCTAACCCAGATCTAATCTAGATCTAATCCAGACCTAACCCAGATCTAATCCAGATCTAATCCAGACCTAACCCAGACCTAACTCAGATCTAATCCAGACCTAACCCAGATCTTATCCAGATCTAATCCAGACCTAACCCAGATCTAATCCAGATCTAATCCAGACCTAACCCAGATCTAATCCAGATCTAATCCAGACCTAACCCAGACCTAACTCAGATCTAATCCAGACCTAACCCAGACCTAACCCAGACCTAACCCAGACCTAACCCAGACCTATTGATAAATTGCAGTTTCTCAATAAGCTAAAGTAGTACTTGTTATTCGAATCTTTATGCAGTTATACTTGTTCTAACAAGTTGTTTATTTTATTTCTGCGCCCTAAATTCATAATATTAAAAATTAATTTTAAACAAATTTCTTTACACATTAGTTAATCTTTCACAATGCAGTCAGTTTGACTGCTTTTGGGCAATATAGGTATATGTATACTAAGTTTCAGTCTTTCTAGTGTTAATAATATTCAATACAAACAGCTCCTTTATCGTTCGAAGACTGATATTATTCGTTCTAATTAGATAATATTAAGAGAATAACACAAATAATACTGAAGTATAATTTTTATTTCGTTCTTTTCCGAGAATTGATATAAATAACCATAGTATCGTTTTCGAAAATAAAATTTATAACTCCGACGCCATGATGGAATAAAAATATTTTCATTCTTTCGTACGAAGGCACGCAGATCAATTGTAACAAGTTTGTAAACAGTCTTGTCGCTTCTGACAACTTGATTTACAACGAAAATGAGTTTTCTACTCAATTTGAAAGTTTTCTGTATCTAGTTTTTATCATTTCTTCGTTATCACAATTGGAAAATCGTATCTTTGGATTATGTCAGGGATTTAAATAGTGTGGTACGTTATTTTGTTCCGCGAGTATATTCGTTAGTACTCGATCCAAACGATCCGGCAAATGATCCAGCAGCATTCGCGGCTTAACAGTCAATTCCCTAAATTCTTCCGCCTGTGCCCATCGCATCTCGTATTTTTTGTCCTTCGCTCGTTGTTTCTTGCTAAAAAAGAAATAAGCAACACGTATAATTACGAAACTACGCTGATACTAATAAAATAACAAACCTATTTCCTTCTGACTGTTTTCTCTCAGGCTTGCGTCTCACTATGTGAAGTATTTTGCCTGCTGTATACAATTGCACATTCGTGATCCTTCTTTTCGCAAAGTCTCTCTCATATATATTATTTTCCTACAATGCACGGAAAATGTTAGTCCCTTCACTTTCACGCGTAAAAATGATAAAAAAAAAAAGATTAATTATTCACTTCTATCCTCGACTCGTTTCGTTCATTGAGCAAAGGCGATCTTCCCACCGATGTGGTGATCACGTTGCAGTTGGACCAGGTCTTGTTTAGATCATTTTCAGGAATGCCAAATAACATATAGCCCAATCCATTTAAGACCACTCTATACTGAAAAGATAACGTTTATCATGTTACGTAATTATAAACATTCGTACAGATTTTTGTTTATCGACACTATGATTCATATTTTCGCTGTAGGTGCGTATCTTATCCACTTTCTCCATTAGAACGGTATACGAGCCTCAGTTTTAAATCAAACTCGCTATCTACTTCACTTTCTAGTAAACTGGGAGTCTTGATTTTACTTTCCCGGCGGTTATCGAACATTCCACGTAACAGAGTTGGAAGCACAGCAATTGTCCATCCTCTCCAACGCGTCGAGAAATTTGAAAGACTATACCTTGGGCAGCCGGCAGGCACGGAGTCTCATGAGCATAGATGTTCTCAAATTTTCTATAGAGTGAACGCTTAGCCTCATTACTAAGTCATTTCCAAGTCCTATCGTTACCACAAATTCTTCCGTTATTTTAGCAACTTCTCGGGAGACGAGGCCCGCTGATCAGAAAGGTTTTTTTCTAATTAAAAAATCCTTCTTAAGAGTAAGAATTTGTAACAGTAATTTCACCAACAATTATTAGTATTTTCTAGAGTATGTACCTGGCGTGGAGAATGCATAGACCTTTAGATTAGGGTACCGAGGTCGCAGCAAAAATCCCAAGAGAATGGCTAATCCGGCACCTAGGCTATGGCCTGAAAATAGAACAATGTTAGAATCGAGTTATCGTCGCATCATTTCTGAATTTACCTGTAAGTATTAAATTATAACGAGGATTCATAGTGAACGCGTGCTCTAAAATTTTGTTATCGTCCAACTCTTTTAGAATTATCTTTGCACCGATTAGCATTGCTCTGTGCGCCTGTAAAAGAGGAAAAATTACATGGAATATCTGATGATACTAAAAATAACGTAACGCATAATGGTTATACGACTGTAATTTACCTGTATTACAAATGCTTACCATTGATCCTGGTGGAAGACCTTCGCATTCAAAAATGACGGAATCCGCTGTAAAATCTGTGATCAGATCACGTAACGATAGCGAACCTCGTATAGTAATGACGATACTGTTAGTCTTATGATCGTCTATTACAAAGAATGGTACCTGGTAACATTTTACAAAGATAAGCGTCATCTTCGTAACACAGAAAGAAACAAAAAATAATCACGAACCTCGCACAAACGATTTTTGAACGATGCGTATATGATATCGTCCGTGGACAAGTCCGATAAAACTTTCACGCCTGCTAAATAGCAATAGCAACAATTGTCGCCGGTAATTGCGGTACGTTTTCTTCTATAATTAAATTGCATTGATTAAAATATTCTATTTCCTGGTAAATATAAAATTTATTCTCTCACAGTTACCGAAAGCAAGTGCAGTAGGTCAGATTGTGTATAAGGCGGAAATATCCGGTACACGTGTACGTGTAAATGGCGATTAACCATCCGTAAGAAGCTATTGAAAGTTTTACGTAATGAAGCGCGTCCTCTAAAGACATCCAACTAGGCGCGTCTGACATAATGGCAGATAAATCTATAACAAAAATTATGCTGTAATAATTAACGCCGTGCATACATTAGACCAAAAAGAATGATAATTAGGGTGGTAGTTTCCTCCGTTTATGATGTTTGAAAGTTTGTTTTATAAGGTCTTAATTAGGGTTGAGAAACTCTATGACATAATGTCTGCAGGTGGCCATTTCGAGGCACTTCCTGTGAGAGTGAGCAATTGCATATTACTGGAGTATGTAGTTATACGAATGGCTATGTTCGAGAACAAGGTCAAATATGTGAACTATATGAACGTTTCTATGTCTCTAAAGTCTATGGTTTATGTTTATTATTAGTAAAATAATTCAGTTGAGGATTAAGGAAGGCAATATACATATGTATACCGTTAGTGTATCGTGGACGAACGAGGAGATTCAAACGTCGCAATTCGTGAGTTTCACGCTTCTGTTGAATTCTTAATAGAATGCAGCCCGCCATTACATCCGAGGGCACCAAGTCCGTTCCGCGGAATAGAGCGCCTATTATATCTAAAAAAAAATATTTTCATTATTATAGTGTAGGCTGTGACTAGACTGGATGGTGATCAGAACAATTGATAATCCAGAGGGATAACTTTCCAATCCAGTGGAGGATAATGGTGGTCGCCGGAAGGTCTGTTCTGACTACTGGTCTAGAAGAATCTTTATAGTACCACTATGAAAAGGACTTGTTAATTATCCATGATCCAATTTCAGTGTGGCAGGAGGACTCTTTCCAGGCCAGCCGTACCTATGTCTCACCAGCGCAATGTTGAAGAGTTTCGTCAGCTTTCTCGTCTTTGCGCAGCCACCAGAGGAACTTCATTCTGCGTAGCCACATGCCCGAAACTTTCGTATGCTCGGCTAACGTGTCCAGATCTTTGTCGGCCAAGGAGCCCAGAGGGTCGAAGATCAACGCTAGACCGAAGATAGTGAGACCTATGAGGATCCAGTCGAAAAGCACCAGAGCTTGGACGACGGTGGTCGTGTAGTGATCGTAACCGCACTCGACCCTATCCCCGAACATCCATAAGCTCCCTAAAACGTTCCAGAATATCTCGGGTAGAAGCAGTAATATCCTGTGGAATTGCGAAAATATCTCACTCTTGATGGAAATATTTCAAACGAATTTTAAGAATATACTTCGACTATACGACTGTTTCCAGAGACAATATTTGAGCATTTTTACTCTGACAGATATTTCGTATTTTTTTTTATTACCGAATAGAACAAAGTCCAACACCCGAGCCAACCAGCTCGACTAGTTAAAGACATTGCATTTCGTGTCTTCTGAAAAACTTGATGCATATGTAGATTTGAACGTATACTTCTGACAGTCTCTTTTGCTTGTTCCTACATTACATATGTACATACGTGTCGTTTGAGATGAAATCTGAATTTTTTAAAATCAATGACGAAAGAGAGACTTTTCCTATTTTGTAGGAGACTTTGTATTATTCGAGATGGGTGGGACGTTTTTGTTGGACGTTGAAAACAAATTACATCACTAAATCTCATAAAAAGTTAATTCTCTGCTCTGAAACGCATTTTTAAAAGAGTTAATAACGCGAACGGCTCGTCGAAAACACGAACCGGTTCACAAAAGACATCGTGCGATACGTCGGGATGAAAATCGATCTTTAAAATGTAAATTGCTGTTAATTTAAAACGCGTACTCACTTGACTGTCAGGAGTGGTTCGACGAATTTACGAGCGCGCGTTTCCATGATAGATCCTTTCGCGCTGTGCCTAACAATGATCAGCATAAAAAGTATTGTTACAGCGAGGAACGCAACTTGTCCCAAAAGGTACACGCGAACCAATTCGCCGCCTAATCGACAACTCCATGTGTACTGGTAATATCTACCGCAAGCACTTCCAATAAGAATTAACCTGTTAACAGATCAATTTACACCTAACATACAACCACGTTTTTTGTTAAATAACATTATAATAACAGTGTCTCTAAAATATGAAAGACCCGATGACGAGATTCAATTATACAGGGAATTCATCGAGTAAAGAAAAACAAACCTGTACTCCGAAATGCTAATTCGAAAATATTGACCGAGGTATTTAACTAGCACCTTATAAATTTATATTTAAGTATGATAATATAAAATAAATACCGTCGATATATTGTACGTATGTAAAATATATTCATGGCAATAGCGTGCATAAATTAACACGCGATGGAATTCGAGCTACGAGTTACCGAAGTATTTATTCTCGCAGGTACCAAAAATTTTATTTTTGTACTTACCACACGGTTCGAATGAAAATTTCAAACAGACCCGGATACACTAGATCATCGGTCGCAGCCAGCCATTTTCTTCCAAAAAGTTTTATCGCAGGCATTTCTCTGTAAAGCGCACGGATGAGTAAAATTCGCTTGAAACGCGGAAGCAATCGAGCTACAAATGTACAACGAATCTCAGCTCTGCTTAATGGCCGTGTGATTGTGTATCGCGAAGTGGCTCGAAGAATTTCTTTAAATCTACGTTCTCAACGTTTTGTGATAACGCAGAATCTTGAACGGAATTCATCATTATCTTCGTATTGCTGTGTGTACGGATGAATGTAGAATTTTGTGAGATTTGGTGAACCCGAGTATGTATCAACTGCAACTGTATTTCTGTGATCGTGAACCACGGATCAGAGAAAGCGCTGAGAGAAAGTCTTTGTCTATCCTACATCTGAGATTATTGACATAACGTTCCCGTCGTAGCTGGACGCGCGAGGTTATCGGTCGTTGAAAGATCTTTTTAATTTTTATTCAGTTTTATTTTTGAAAATAATTTTTAACTCCGCGCGTTCACCAGCGACTCTTGTTCATGGAACTGCCGATGAATAATTCAGTAATTACGCAGTAAACATCATTAGCCGCTCTTGGACATGTTCTTTATTCGCTCTTACATTATGACTAGATTATTCGTCTGTAATGATCAGCGAACGCGACGCTGTTGCATATTTAATCGCTTTTTCTCGCGAAACCTTCGATCGCGTGTCATACAAGGATAGTTATCGATCGTTTCACAATAGCATTTTGACATACTTCCCTATGGGGTTTATTATTATTTAAACTAAGGTTGTAGACCTTCTTGAAACGAAAAAGATTACAGGAGAGTTCGAATCGTGTCATAATCGTTCGATGCAATAATTTCACGGCAATTTAACAATGTTATAGTGGAAACGACGTATACGCGAATAATGATGCGTTTGCGTTTATAAATGCATACTCGAGGTAATTCGTATCTACCTAGAATCTTATATCTTAGTTGAATTGTTTTTTCTACATTATTTGAATTAATTTCAATTGTATTTTCCAGGCACCTTACCAGAGACACGTTTTGGGACGCTCGAAGAACTCAATATCCCAGTTTTCACGATCACTTTGGTACCCCGGATCGCCACAGTGGGAAATAGTTACGAGATTCTATTCTAAACGGGGAAGAAGGATTGTCTGGCGTGCACCGCGACTCATAATCGCGTTCGAACGCGATCGATGCTCGATTGCCGCGATCCCACCGATCGACGGAGACTGTGTCAGCACCGAAAACCGCTGAGGCAAGCACGAGGAAGAATGCGAACGAGCGCTCGCCGTGCCCCCCACGGTGGAACCACCGGTGGACAGAAAGAACCGGGGCGGTGTGCAAATTAGATAAAAAACTGCACTCGGATCGGCGAACTGTCCACACAATGCGCACGGAAACCCGTTCACCTTGTTTCGTAGCACCCTACGCTGAATCTCGCGAGAGCTGGTTGGCGGGGACTGTCCAGCCGCGGCCAGAACTTTCCCTTCGTTCCTCTCGATAACACGTTCCTCCGCTTACGAAAAAACCAATGACTCCTCGCGGGGATAAAAACCGATGGTAGGGAGCAGCTGGGCACGCAGGTGCCCCTGTATCCCACGATTGCAGCAACCTCCCAGTCTCTACTTTACACGAAAATTATGAAACGAGATTGCCTCCCGATTATTACGTTACCTTGTTGATGCTGAGTTCGCCGAAAATTACTTTCCATCGATTACCATGATCTCGCGGAGGTTGCTGTCAACAGGAGGATCGAAGGATCTATCCTCCTTTAACAATACAACCTATTAAACTGATGGTATAAAAGAAATCAGGGATCCTTTGAATAAACATGATTAAACTAAATAGAAATAACGTCGATTGCTGTCGTTACGGGACACCGTCGACTTCTACTTTGTTTTCTGCATGTACATATGTAGTTTCGCTGTATATCTATTTGATTATATACGTCAATCTATTTCATAAAGTTAACCTAAAGCTTATTTTTGTAATTAAACAGGAATCTACTACTGTATCTAAGACTGCGCTGCCATCTACGGTAGAACGTCCAAGCTCGTCGAGAAATCGTTCTGGTCGTTGTCGCTAGAGGGCGACGCTGGCGAATTCTATGGCGTTCAAACATTCGTTGTTTTCATCGTAATCGAATCCAAGACGAAATCCTTCCAATATCCTTCCACACCGCAGACGAGATATTTAACAGGTATTTATCCACATCTCCTGCAACTATAAATAATACAGATAAAAGAATGGTCTGTTTAAAAGAAAAAACAAATGGTATCTCGGGGTGTATTTTGAAATAACGAGAGCAGCACGATTCAACGAACAATATCTCCAATATTGTTCGCAAGATACTCGTGGCTCTCTACCTATAGTACAGAAAAAACGTTTAACATTAAAAGTTGATAAATGTTTCGCACATTCTCCTAGTCTTTTTCCCATCATTCATTCGTTGATTCGATTAATTTGCTTTCTGGGCATATTGGATGGCCCCCATAAAGCGCTACAAGCTATTTTCTTAAGAAAATTCTCTTTCCGTATTTTACAGCACATCGAGACATTTTCTCTAATACATGGTGTACAGATGCCTGACAAAGTTATGCATAATATAACGCCTATTCGAAACACTTCATATTTTGCACGACAGAAGAAATACGATTAAAAAATAAATTCGTAGCAGCAGGGATCAAAGCGAATCAAAAGCAATATGTTTCAGGATAGAAATCACTTTATTAAATATTATAAACAAATAAATAAATTTTTCTATCAATTTGGAATGGAAAACACGCAATCGAGTCCGCTTTACTTCGTAAAACCAAGAAAAACGATACTTCTATTTCACGGCAATAAATTTCGTATCTTCGCAAAAGAATTTTTCCTAAAAAATATTAGCTAGTTCGATCAATTTTTATTAGATGGTCTTCGAATGGATAATTAAAAATAGCCCGAATAAGGTTATGTTTAGATTCGTTTTAATCGGGAAAACCACGCTAATTTATGGATAATGCACTCGCAAATATAGAATGAGGAATAGAACATATTTATCTTTATTAATGTGCATCATATTTTTTTCGACCGTACGAGCCGAGGAAAAATCATTTTCTATAATTCGGGGGGACTGCTTGTATTTTCTGTTCGTTGCAAAATACGAAAGTGTTGTATGTGTGTTTAAAACAACTATCCTGGAATGCAATAATTGTATAGCATTCCCGTTCGAGAGAATAAAGGCTCCCTGGTTATCTGGGATGGTTGGCAGTGGTAACATACATATGTATATTTTACATCAAAGGTTTTCGTCAAACATTAAAATATGGAAAAAACAATTTCATAACCGATTCCAATAGTTTCTGAGCAAAATAGCTTGACATACTTCGTGCAACGCTTCGACTATGTATGCCAACGTACACACACACGCGCACATATATTCATACATATTCGATATGTGTGCCAATACAAATACATTATACATAAAATAATAAACTTTTACGCTAATCATACGATTTACTTCTTTCGTTTTCATTTATACACATATACATGTTTATATATACCTCTACATACATATATGCATACGCATAGACGCACATATGACGTATTATAATAATACACTATGTCGCATATAAAAAACAATTACTTATAGTAGAATACAAGATTGTTTCATACATATACATATACATACACAAATGTATATACGTATGTAAATGCATATGTATTACGTACGTATATATATATATATATATATTTATTTATTTACTTTTTTTTTTATTACTTATTAATTTGTTCGTTTTAATTAATTGAGTGTCAATTTCCGTCGTCGTTAGTTAGTATTAGAATTGTTATTACTATTATTAATCGCGCCTTAGTTCGTTATTTCGTTTCATTTTTAAATATTATTTAATCGTTCCCTCGTTCCGTCATTAAATTTTTCCCCGCACAAAACATTTTTACAACTATCGATCATCTCGATCGGATTAAGAATGACTAAGAATTCGTAATAGAAGAGTATCGATTATCGAAAATCAAAACTAAATTTTAATTTTATCAAAACCTCGTTCATATTTAAATTATTTATACAGCTAACTGTTCGAATAAGAAAAACTCTTTAAATTCAGAAACTTAATCGTATCTTTTAAAAGTACGGTGAAATAATTTGTCGTTAATTAACTAAAAGTTTATCGAGAAAACGCAAAGTGGTTTAGAAAATATAATAACGAAACTTAACAGTGAAACGAAAAGATAGAAATACAAAACGCCACTTCTTTTACAACGTTCTCTTTAATTATACAACTTTTATTAATTTTATCATATAACTGTCATAATTTTCGATTTTTTTTTTACAATAATTTAGGATTATGTTATCGTTAACGCATGACCTCTTTAACCGAATAGAATTAACCGAAAAACAGTTAATAATCAATCGACGGCATTTATAACAATTAGTAAACAAGGATGCCAAAAGTGCAACAATAAAAAAAATGGTATAAATTTAATACAATTTAAGAAAAAAGTAATACAAAAAAAAAAGAGAATTACGATTAAAATTTATTGCTTCATCGTTACTGTGATGCTGTTATCGATTATGCGATCGACGTTAAGACTGAAATTTAATAACGTTAACACGAAACAATCTTTATCTTTCATTCTACCTTAATTACAATAATGACAAATAATCGAAGAATATTTCTTTTATATTTATAGTTTCGTTTATGAACTAACAATTGATACAAAAATCGACTCGTTGCCGACACGATTAGAAAGGCTACCCAGAATACCCCGACAGGGATTAATAACCGTAATAATTATCGACAAGACTTTTCTCGTTAATTTCATTCCACTCTCTTCTTCTTTTTTCATTTTTCTTTCTATTTTTTTTCTAAATAAAAATTACCCCCAATGACAACAATAACGAATGTCGGAGACATTAAAAATTTATCTTAAAAATAAAACGCAAATAAAATCAAATTACAATCATGACTGGCATTAAACGGGGACGTAAAAAATAAACTTAAAAGTTTTACATTAGATTCAAGAGGAAAGATTCGAAAGTTTAAAAATATACTCGAAACGTTTCATTTTTAAATTTAACCAAGCGACAAAGTTACGAGACCGTGTTTTTCGAACTGGCTGTCAAGATTTATCGAAATGTATTTAACTTAGTAGGTAGACTGTTTGCTATACTTTTTCTATCTTTTTCCTATCATGTTAAAAAGAATGGAGAAATGAAAAAGGACCTTCGACTTTGAACGACAGCTATTTCTGTACAAAATATTATCTCATAGAAAGTCGTTATCAAATGTTAGCGATATTATTATAGATTGTAATTCCAGAAATATCTTTTTTTTAAAATACAGTAGAGTTGCGTTCTATCGTCTCCTGGTCAAGTTTTCCTTCGCAACGCATTTCCATATATTTTATTACACTATACGGCAGAGATTCTTCGTGTTCACACTTCAAGTCCTCATATGTATAGCCATTTCCGAGAATTTTCCTCTCCTACAGGCCCGTTCTGCGGCGATATAACGCGACTCCACTGTACTTCGAACAGACAAAAACTTGACAACCACAAAACACAGTGAATTTCGACGAGAAACTGAAAATAAAATTATAATAATATTTTTCTCTACTCTCTTTAGCGTGTCGATAAATTATATAACAGAAAAGTAATTACAGAGCCGAGAAATAAATAGCAAAGATGCCCTTACTTTTTTCCACCAAGTCCCGTGATTATCCCCCTTAACGAAAGGACCCGTTACATATAAATAAAACTAAAATTTCATTAGAATGGCAATTATTAAGGAAGCGTTTGAGTGAAGTCTGTTCAACGAATTACGAAAGGATATAAAAAATGAAATTTAAAAAAAAACAAAAATATGAATTAAACAGCATCGCGAGGAGACGATCGATTGTTCCAATTGTTCGAAGGGTGGAGATAAAACGACTCTGATGTTTAAGGGTGGGTAACAGAGGACGAATGGGTATTTTGAACGATTACGGTTAGATAAAACAAGTTAAAAACCTACCTGAAATATTCATCGGTCCGTTCAAAACATATTTCAAACAGGGCGAAATATAAAAGCACGTTTTTTTACAATAATAATGGTACATCACGATAGCTGATAATGGGAACGAGGGAACTGCAGGGCTTAAAAAAAAAAAAAAAAAGAGAAAACGATCGACTCGATTGGCAGGTGTTAAAATCATAAGTCCTCGAGTTTATTTGCATCTTCCTGGTCTTCCATCACCATCGTTCTTCAACCTTGTTTTCCATCTCTTTCTCTTCGACTACGTTCCCGTTTTTCATCTTCGAAATTAATTCGTTTCGAGTTTTTAGTACTTTTAACGTTACAATTTCTCGCCTCGTGGTTCTGCATCTTAATCTTTAATCTTTCTCCTCTGCTCCTCGGCGTTCGTCATCGATTTTGATCTTAATCTCAAACTTTCAATTATATCCTTACGTTTTCTTGCTTATCGTTACTCGTGATCCATAGTTACGCTCTATGATCCTCTGGTCGTCTTTATTGGAAACTCTGTTGTTCAAAGTTCAACAGTGTCGTGCAGCGACCGTTCAGCATCATCATTATCCTCGTTCTCGTTCCCGTTGCCATAATATCGTGTACTTTTTGGTGGGTTTCGCGCGCATGTACGTGTATCATTCGTTCGTGTTAGGTGTGTGTATGTGTCCTGAGTGTGTGAGCGTGTGTTTGTGAGAGAGATCGAGACAGAGAGCCAACTGCCGGTAAAGCGGACTCTAGCTGAAGAGGCACGCAATGTCGCGATGTTGTTGCTGCAAAAGTATTCTCTGCTCCACGTTCCGTCTCCACATCCTGAAACAAACAATGTCGAGACAATCAGAATCTGTTCTCAGTTACTCCATTACCCATTACCAATCTCGTTCGTTGCGTTCACGACTCGTATGATCCTTGAGACTCTACTGTATATCGCTTTCACAAGGAAACATAGATCTCTAACAAATTTAAAAGTCATGGCTCAAACTTCATGACTTAGATTGTGATTAGATTGCAAACTTATAATTTGAAACAACATTCCAAAGAACCAAGCAAGCAAAGATTTGATTAAAACGTATAAAGAAAAAGATACAGGAATTAAATTAGAAATTCCGAAGTACATCGAGGACAAGACGAACAAATACGCAAATAAATCTTAAAAACAGATTCTAGATGAAAGACAGATGAGTAAACAAAAATTAAAATGCTTTATTATTATTTTTTTTCCTTACAAGAATGAATATACTTTATTATTGGCAATGAACAAAATTAATAAATGTATTTACTTAAATATGCATGATACCTTCTTATCACAAAATATAGCTTAGTTTAAAAATTTCGACGCTTCTTGTAACAATCCTTCTTATTGGCTTAACAACGATCGCATACGTGTTCACTTTACTTTGACGGCCCCGCATTTGATTATTTCACTCGACGGTCATAGAAGGACGTATCGACTATCCCCCAGCTTCTTGTAATCGTACGCGTTAAGAGAGTTACTAACCACACTCGAGCCGGCGGAAGAAGCAGACGTGGCAGCAGGGGTAGGCACCGTCAATATTGGATGATATTGTCTACAACAGCGAAACCGCATGCCCCAAGACCAGCACGAGACATCAGCCGCACCAGTTCCCTCGCGTGTGACGCAGCAACTTCCAATGGCGGTCGTCGTGGCAAGTTACTCGACTCTGGAACCACGTTAAGATCCAGTTATTACGTGCACCACTAAATCTAAAACTACATCCTGGTCCACAGACCACCAAACAGATTTTAACAGTCATTACAAAGAGTTGTCTAGATCAAGCAACGCATCTTTCAATAGATAGGTACCTAATTTATGTATCTCTCACCAAGTATAGCAGAATTTAGTCTCGCGCAAACGGTTTCTCTCTGTTGAGGGTCGAGCTGCCATCCGACCGGTGAATTCCACGGATTTGCATAAGCGAGAAGACTGAACGCATCCTGAAGCATCTTTTTGTTACTTTCATTCTTCCCGTGTTGCTGTCGCAGATGTATGGACTGAGAGTAAAGCTGCCTGCCGAATTCTAACATTTTCTCGATCGCTTGTTTATCCCCGCCACAAAGCTGCTTCTTGTTAGCTTTGTTCGATGTGTTTTCTGGATTGCAACTGCCGTTCTGTTGTTGCTGAATTTGATTGGTATTATCGATCTCTGAGAACAAGTCGAGTTTTCAATTTAGGATGTTGTAAGGAAAATGCGTAAAAATATTTTAATTGATAACTTACCCATATCGACGTCCTCCCCGTTCCGACATTTGTATCCGTTGGTATTTAAATCGCCATTCTGATAGCCGTTGTTGTTTCTAACGCCGTTCACGATATTCTCGTCCATGTCTACGTCGTCTTCGATCTGTCCATTCACGAATTGTTGCTCGGTGGAACCGTTGATCGTGTTGCTAATGTTCATCTCCTCGACGTTACCATTCGCTGAAGACTTGGTGTAAGCTTTCGTGGACTGTATAACACTGGTTTGATTAACATTCGAATTCTGACAAACCTCAGAATCGCTACCATTCACCATTTCAACAAATTGTCGACATTTCAAGGCGAAAAGAAGATTCGGATCCCGCTCGAGGAGTCCCGGATACAGTCGACTGGTTAATTCTATGGCCTCGCCCATTCTACCTGCTAGTACCAACTTCAGAATTCCTGAAACAAACATCACAAACAATACACTTTCCTTTACAACTGTATTTTTATCAGCATACACCAGCCAAGAACTCCGATTGGGTGGGTATCATCTAATTATTTAAAACAGTGTATTAAGAACAGGCTAACCCACTTACCTATCCATTAGATACACTGTTTACCTATTTAAATAGAAATGCATTCCATTTTGCAGAGTTAGTACATTATAAACAAAAGTATTGAAAACTAGGTTCGAGGAAGACTTACTTTGTCTATTTTTTATGGAGTTAAAATCTTCCTCGAATACCTGACCGGTACTGTTGGCAAATGCCTCTGCAGTAGCACAATAACCATGATGGACCAAGTATGTTGAAACCATTCTGCGAAACAAAGAGTTTTCCATTGTTTGAACGAAATCGATTTGGCGGTAATGTTTAAAAAAGAAAATTAAACTTACTTATGAAGAACCGCTTGCCACTGACCCTGGCCATGATCTGGTGTCGGGTAGTTTATGATTTGCATTCTTGTTCTAACACGGAGCTCGTTGAGCATATCGTCGATATCAAAGACAAAAGGTTCCTGACCGAAATTTGCATCCACCACTTCTCCAGGTGTTTGGAGACCAACGGTTGGATACAAATTTGGCTGCAAAAAAAAAGAAGAAAAGTTATTTTCTATATCTAGAAACTTTGTAAGGGAATTGAGATCCTCTTACGTACCGGAAGATCGGTAAAGGCGATACCAAGATTATGTCCGTTCTTTGTGTAAAAAGCATTGTTGTCAACGAGATTTACACCACAACCTATTACATCCCCCGTAGTAAATGTTGGCCCGTAAGGTTGTCCTGTTCCGGAGGAACAAAAGCTGTGCCCATCGTCGCCATGATATCCATACGAAAGCTTATCCCAACCAGGCAACCTATTTACATTGACTCCGTGACCGGACAGGCCGATTCCCATGTACCCGTCTCTGCCTTTACTGACTATTTTCACTTCAAAGTAATAGAGACCGCAAGCAGCTGGTATAGAGTGAGTTGTACGCACGCTTGCTGCATCCTTGTGAGTTTTTCCATACCCTGAAACATGCACATTACTTTTCAAATCAATATTCAAGTCAACGAAGATAATAACTTAACGATAATCACTTTATAAAAAGATTAAAACACAAACATCGGTTTAATCTATGTAATGTTTCAATACATACTTTTCTATACTAAAAAGATCACAAATTGAAGGTTGTCTGTGTATTTAAAATCAATTAAATTTGTTTGGATCAGCTGTATAATTACAATCATTATATTTAATTATATATAAAGCAATAATTAATGTGTCATAGTCGTTGCTGGTAAGTACAACTCATTACAATTTAAAGTTGTATCAATTAAACAAATAGAGATGTAATGAATCGAATTAAAGGGTCATTAGGTGTGATTAGGTGCGAGCAAGATTCCAGACAAATAGAAATTATTGGTAGTTTTGCAATACCAAGAATTCCAAGGTCATTTCGGTATTCGTTTTATAATTTTTAGAGACGCGGATAAATATTCTTAGAAATGTATGTCTCGCTAGAATGTATTAGGAAAATATAATGGTACATTATAGTGTATTTAATTGCAATTAAACGTATATGAAAAAAATCATGTTCGTTAAATTTCAATCTCTTGTGAACATATTTGTAGTGATCTATGTATTCTCTAAAAAGTACTCATTCTATATATTAAACATAAATAAACAGTTGAATAACAATTGAGTAATCAAGAAGGATTTGTGATAAATAATTAACAAATCACCAGCAGGATAAATTTACATATTTCATTACATATTTCTTTTCTATCAAAGCTTTCTAAAAACAATCAAGTTCAAACATAAGTTGTGCTATTTGATAAAAAAAGTGTACAACTTATTTCAATTCTATAATAAATATAAAACGCTTGTATTATTCGATAGGATAAATTATTAATTAATAATGCACACGACTGAAACTATTCCATGAAGTTTATTTATCGAAGAATGAAATTTCTGTAACAGTGTACAAAGAAATATCAACGACTTGTGCTTTATCTAATCGTAATATTTTGTAATCACTTTGCTAGAGAGCTAAAAATAATAATAATTAAAATGTTCATTTTGTTGGAATCAAAATAGTGACTATTATAGAGGCGATTCATTTTACAATAACCAAAAATATTAAGTTCTTTACGTAACAAACAAGTTACATTTGTTAAAAAAAAAATTATTCTTAACTATATTCGATGCTATCAATATTGTGTACTATCAGATATGAAAGAGAAAATTTTTAATATTTAAATAAGATGAATTTTGGAAATAAGCAAGCAGTAAAAGAAATATGTAATGTAAATATAGTTTGGTATAAATATGCACACTTGGAAATTAGTCGACATCGAAGAATAGGATGTAGAAGGAAAGGAGTAAGAGCGACAGAGAGAGAAAAGTAACTGTTCAACATCGCAGCTGTCATTGTCATTGGGCCTTCCCCTACGCAGATTCATTTTTTTTTTCTTTCCACGAATTTCATAAAAAATCGTTCCAAGCACAACACGTACTCCAGAGGAATTTCGAGCAGCGAGAAATATTTACGAAAAATCTTTGAACAAAATTCGAAATAGAAGGAACCGAGAGAAAGTCGAACGGAGACTACGACCGATCAGCTGATTCCTTTGTTTAGGTCGCTGACACACGCGAAACGGAGGCCCTGCCATTTTCAATCGATATTACAACTCCGTCAACGATTCGTCCGTATCGAGCAACAATCGAATCCTATTGGCCAGGATCGTTCCTCGATCCTTCGAATACAACAACTCGGAAAATTCTACACGACAATTTTCTAGGATGGAATGAAATTTCTGGCGAAGATCGGGGGAGCGATCCAAACGTACCTTTGTAATGAACACGAAGATTGTTTTGCGAGAGGCCGATGTAATTGTACTTGTCCTTGGGACTCCAGGACCTTGGCAGCGGTGTTTCCTCTTCGTTGACCATCGGATAGAGCAGCTTGAGGGGATCGACGGGCTGAGTTTGCCCGGAATTCATCTGAGAAGCCTCCATAACACTCCGTTCCTCGCTGGTGGCGGCCATCTTTCTCCTGAGCAGCCCCACTACTTTCGCCCGTGGACTGTGCTTGACTGACTGCGCAACGATCCTGCGCAACTCAGCATTACCTCTTGGTTTTATGAAATATATAATACATAGATAATATACTTGGTAATAATTCTAATGTTAATCTCTATACTGCCCCCTATCGTTCGATATAGCAATAATTAAATAATTAACGTACCTATAAAATCATAGTTCATGGCATTTAAATGACAACGAAATTCAACTTTGGCTGACTTGGTAAACAAACCATTAAAGAAAATTCTCCTTTAATTATCCTTTAAAATTCATTACGAAAACATTACCACGTTCCATGCTCTAATTAATTAGTTATTAGCGATAGATCCCTTAGAAGTCGCGTTAAATAGTTCGAAAAGGTATGCAGGCTTCCAGGTATTGATTAATAACTATTTAATAACGCATGCTATGGCTATGAAAAGTATCCTTGAATGTTGCCAAAGGTCCATACTACATTCTTCAATTCTAAAAGTTTGTAAATGAATCCCAGGAAAAGAGTAATTAATGAATTATCGAGCAGTAGTTCATTAAAGGCTGCGATTTAGAGGGTTCCTATTGTGGCGCCATCTAGTCGCGGAACGCTGAAACTTGTCGAGCAATAGTTGCTGTTTTCGCCACTAGATGGCACCCAAACTACTGCACTCCGGATACCTCCACCCACATTCTGTGATCCTGGGACGATTTTTTGAGTTCGAAATCCTGATATTAGATGGCGATACCGTAGTTTGTCACTTTTTCGCGCGATGTTAGAACGACAAACTCAAATGTTCTACGCTAGATGGCGCCACAATAAACACCCTCCGCCATTGCAATAAACCACGACTTCTAACGAACTACGACTCGATAATTTATTAATTACTCTTTTCCTGGGATTCATTCATGAACTTTTAGGGTTTGATAACATAGCTGAGAGTCTTGACAACATTCAAGGATACTTTTTACAGCCATAGCTTGCGTTATTAAATAGTTATTAATTAATACCCGGAAGTCGACACACCTTTTCGAACTATTTTACGCGACTTCTAAGGGATCAATCGCTAATAACTAATTAATTAGAGCAACGAGCATAGTAAAACTGGTCTCGAAATGTTGCTAGGGATGTCTACTAGGTTCCCTGATAGCCAAAATATGCGTGTCATTGTTGAAAAATTGATAATTAATCGATTGAAGCAGACAGTGACACCAGCCGTGAATGTCCCGACTTCCGATATTTGTTAATAACTATTTAATAACGCACGACATGGCTATAAAAAGTATCCTTGAATGTTCCCAAGAGTCTATACTACATTCTTCAATTCTAAAAGTTCATATTTTATTCCTCAAAAGAGAGTTATTAATAAATAATCGAGGGTACTGCGTATTAGGGGTAGGAGGAGTGGGGGTAGCTGTACTCCGGATACCTCCACCAACATTCTGTGATCCTGGGACGATTTTTTGACTTCGAAACACTGATATCAGATGGCGATACCGTAGTTTGTCACTTTTTGGCGCAATTCTCAGCGCAATTTTAAAATATGAATCGCTTCCAGTAATCGTTTATAACTAATTAATCACATTAAATAGCGCATAGAAAAATGGTCGAAGAACTGAAATATTTGGAGTAGTTTCAAGGTATTATAAAATTAAGGAATCAATGGGAATGAGGATGTAAATAAAATGGACGGAAAGTATGGACTATGACTTTATAATATAAATATAGGAAATTTTACACGTTTCTAACTCTAATTGCCTATTGCTCAATTTTGCCAAAGTCTTAATACTTTGTCTTTTCCGCCGGATGCGACGCGCAACCCGTCCAAAGACCAGTCAACGGCGTAAACCTCATCCGCATGACCAGGCAATTCCCTAAGGAGCTTCTTTGTTTTCATACTCCACACTAAAACAACAATAATGAAATAAACATTGCTGAAAACTGATCTGATCGACAACGAATTCGTTGATAAAGTTTACTAGCCTTTTAAAGTAGAATCTGCGCTGCCACTAACGAGCAAACGAGAGTCTGGACTCCATGCAAGAGAGTACACAGCTTGTACATGACCTCTCAACGAAGCTATATATTTTCCTGTATTAGATTCCCACAATTTAATGGACTTGTCAAACGAGGCTGACGCGATTATGCGACCATCCGGTGAGAATTTCACATCATTGATCAGCTGTTGGTGGCCAGTCATTCTTGCTGAAATATTAATTAAAATCAACAAGATTAACTTTGCTATTTTACGATGATTAATACGTTTTTGCTGTAACAAACAATACCAATGGATTTTTGTCCCTTTTCTGGTTTCCAAAGGAATAACGTAAAGTCATCGGAACCGGAAACAAGTATTTCCTCGCCAAAAGACTCGTACTGCGTCTTCGCACGTTCTAACGAATTTTCAGTTTTGTCTTCGTTCTTTCCAAAACGAAATTGGCCGGATTTAAGTACATAGTCTACGTTCAATGCTAATGTATTCACCCAGTGCGCATGTCCCTCTAAAGTCCTACACAAGATTCCCTGAATGTATCAATTTTAATTAGAGATTTAATAGAATAAAATTATAGTTTACAATTTGTTTGCAAAGCTTTACATCGTCTGCTCTCCACACTTTGACTGTCCTATCCTGGGACGCGGAATAAATGAGACCACTTCCTCCCCATCTAACACACGTCACGCTTCTCGTATGACCTGAGAGAACGCGTACAGTTTGTCCAAGCTTCGTGTCCCATATCCTCAAGTCGCAATCTTTGGAAGCGCTAACTAAGTATCGACATTCTGGATTTTTATGATACGGTTCCCAGCACAAAGACGTCACCCACATGCTGTGCCCCGACATAGCTCTATCTGAAAATAAATTATTGTTTCACCGTAATCCGAGTACCAAGGAACCATATTGCTACCTTATTTCCAGTCATAAAATTATCAAGGAATAATCTTCACCTATTTGTTTGCCAGTGTCTTTATTCCACAACAGAATCACCCCATTTTTACATGCAGACGCAAGCTTACTTCCGCAAGGAGACCACGATATGCACAAAACCCAATGTTTATGACCTTCGCATGTAAAATATGGAGTTTGCGTATAGATGTCCCAAAATCTAACTGTAGTATCTCCGGAACCACTAGCTAAACATGTTCCATCCGGTGAAAATGCAACCGATATCACAGCTTCCTTATGACCTGTATATAACAAGATTGTTTATGTGTAAATTTCAGGATAAATAAGTCATTCCAAACGTACCTTCCAAAGATCCGGTGCAACGAGTAACTGCTCTAACTTTAAAAACTGCTTGCGGTTGATATATAATTTCAATTACATTCTCCTCTGTGCAAAAACTCTGCGAAATGACTTCTTCCAAAGTGTCCGTAACCTCAATATCATTCACATAAAATGCAAACGATATCGGTTCTTCGTATTGCAAGAGCGCATTGCAAATTGCTTGTAACTTGTCGACGGTAATATTTGTGGGTAAATCCAGCAAACCACCCGGTAGCACTTCACCGGTGTCGGATTTAAAACGAGACAGAACTCGTTTAGTTTCCATCGTTTCCATAATGAAATCGCTGGTTTCTTCGAGCTTGCCTCTATTTATGGTTACAATTCCCGTCATTGGATATTTCTTGGCTACAGTGAGCGTAAAAAGTATTCGTACGCTAGTCAATTTGAACAAAAACTTTGCGGAACTTTGTTTATTACAAAAGTATGTTAACAAAAACATGCATACATATTGTTAGAAATCTCTGGAACAAATGTCATTAACAACAAATTATTTATTTATATTTATTATGAAAATATTAACAAATTTCCAGAAATTTACCTAAAGTCTTTGATTCGTAACATTCCACATAGAACGATTACAAGTACGAATACTTTTTACACTCACTGTAAATCTAACTAAAAATTCTAGCGTATAATTCTGTTATTATTAATTTATACATACTCTCAACGTATTGTTTACAATATATTCAAAGCTTCATCGTGGGGACAGATCAACCCGCGTGGCGTGATCGCCGTAAACTGATGTAAAGTCGCAAACTTACAGGTTACAACTGCGATTATAAGATTACAGGTTAAATTACAGACACAAAGTAAATTACAAAGTCTATATGTTATTATATCTTACTTACATTAACGATTATCGTTTAACACTTTCTATAAAATGTGTTCAATTCCCTGACTTCATCTATGCATTTCTATGTTGGCAACATTGCCACTTTATACATGTGTACAAATCATGACATAAACATGTATAAATTCTTATTCTTCGAAGTAACAAATTGTGTATGATGATGTTATTTATTATAAATTTCTTTTCCTTCCACAACTATAATAAAATATAACTAATAACAAATAAAGACGTGACGATAATATTTTATGATAATTTCAGTTGCTTGCAATCTGAGCTTTGAATCGTTTAACATTATTTGTGGTATATAATTCTCTAAAAATATTTAACATGACTGCTACACCAGGATTTGATGAAGGATGGAGATTTAATAAAATCCTTGGTACAGGAGGATTTGGTGTTGTTGAACTATGGAACCACAGAAGCGATGCTAAGCTTGGTACGTTCATAATTTTATAATCTAACATTAAAGAAATCTAAAATCTCCATAAAATATTTTATTTATTGCAGCGATCAAAAAGTGTAAATGGAGTATTACACAGTTGACGGAAACACAACGAAAGAGATGGATAAAGGAAGTTCAGATAATGAAATGTTTGGAACATAAGAATATCGTAAAAGCGTTAGAATTACCATTTAAATACCCGGATGAAACTATAGAATTGCCGATATTGTGCATGGAATATTGTAGAAGAGGTAATCTTAGAAAGGTATGTTTTAAAATTTATTACTCTTTCTACCTAATGAAATAAAATAATATTTATTTATATTGGCAATGTTTTATTAAATTAAAGGTTTTGAATATAAGAGAAAATTGCTGTGGCGTTACTGAAAAAGAAGCGATTAACGTAATGAAGGATATCTCTTCGGCCGTAGAATATTTACATTCTAAAAGTATTACACACCGTGACTTAAAACCTGAAAATATAGTTTTGCAAGAAGAACATGATAACGTAAGTAATTTCCATGGTTTTAATGCCAAACTATCGAGGCTAGGATTTACACGGAAACTTTCTTTTAGATTACGTACAAGTTAATAGATCTTGGATATGCGAAAGAGCTCGGCGAAGCTAGTATATCTGCATCCATAGTAGGCACATTAAATTACGTAGCTCCGGAATTACTTTGGAAGCAGAAATATAGTTGTTCTGTGGATTATTGGAGTTTGGGTATTCTATTTTATGAACTTGTTACCGGTACAAGACCATTTTTACCAAAGGTGCAGCATACTATGACATGGTATAATATACAATTACGATAAGATACAAAAGATCAATGTATAACAAAGCATTTAACATTAATTAATTTTTTATAGGATGCAGCATATTAAAAATAAAGGATACAACGACATTTGTGTTTTTGAATCGGAAGGGAAGATAATATTCCACGAAAATATTCCTGGTCCTACGAATCTATCAAGGTAACAGCTATTGAATTTATTTTAACTCTTCGAGTGCTGTGAAAATATACATCTGCTCGGCAAAAGCTGGTATAATTGTGTACGAATGTATCTATCTGCTTAGAGTACAATGACACTCTTTATCAATGTGTTCTAATTTGTAAATTAGATACACACATGCTCTGTCCGCACTCTAAGGGTTAATAAAGTAAAACATAATAAAGAAGACGGAGTAATTTATATAATTTTACTGGGTTTGCGTCAGATGTCTGAGAAAAAGACTGGTAGAATGGTTTAGAGTGGCGTTACAGTGGGATCCAAAGAAAAGGGGAAGGAAATGCAATGAGAACGGTGAAATGGAACTAGTGGTATTCAAATTGCTTAACTCCATTTTATCTGTACAGGTAATGGTTAAATATATTAACCCTTTGCACTCTGAGATTGCTTAAAATTAAATGGTACGATCATATGTTTTACTTTTATAGATAATAAAAGTATTTTCTCCGTCGAGATATGAAATTAATGAATACGAAATAGATAGTAATACCAGTGTCATAGATATACAGTCTATGATTGAGAAAGATACTGAGATACCAATAAATGAACAAATTTTAACAGATTACTTCGGTAAATGTCTTATTGCGGGCGAAATATCACTCTTATCACAAATTCAGGTACAACGTAACACTGAAAATGTTTGTACATTAATTACAATTTTACTTCATTTTATTTAAATAGTAGAATTAATTAAATATCTCTCATTTATTTAAGTTAGTTATTTTACTTCAGGATCCAGTTCTATTTGTTTTCAAAACTGAAAATACCTTCATGGAGAATACACCCGCATTGGATATTCCTAAATCGGTTCTAAAAATGATAGAATTGTCTAAAAGTCAATTAGATTTTGATGTATTAGAAGATTATTATCGCGCGGCAATATTTTTGATTACACAAGAAAGATATCTGTTCCAGCTATATATTTTTGCTTTGACTATAAAAATGTAAGTTGAGTTTATATTTTCTGGTTAACGAAGCGTTAATGTCCTCAAAATGATAAATGTACATGTTTTGTAAAATTTTAGAGATTTGATAATTGTAAGATTTAATACATTCAACGAAAACGTAACGAATGCATTAACAAGTATAAATGATCTTTCGAGCGAATCACTTCTAATTCAGCAAAAATGGGAAAATGAATTCTCAAATACAGAGAAGATGGAAGCTTTGAAAATTAAGTTTGAAAAAGTTACTAAACTTGCCAAAGCTGCTGATCAGATAAAATTAAAATTCGACTCATTGATGCAAGAATGTAACGAATTGAAAAATAAAGCTGAGATGGTTGATTGTTCCGATATATCGCTATTGTAAGTAAATATTATTTTATGCAATTTTAAATATCGCGTAATGAAAATTGATTAATACTTTAATGCTCTGCAGGCGCTATAAAGCGGTAAAAATCTTTGAACTACATAAAAATGAGAATTCTCATAAAGGTGTAAAACCAACAGAAATGGTAAAATTGATTTTTGAATTTTTCAAAGTTCGACAAGTACAATTTGATAACGAAAATATTTCCGAAATTATGAAGTACGTATATGTATGAATTTACTTATACTTTACATTTAATTGTAATTAATTTACATTGTATTAAGATAATTACATTTTTTTAGGCACATAGCAAAATTAGAAATTGAACTCTTAACGTTGGAAAGAATTTTCGATTCGGTTATAGCTATGCTGACGGTATATCGCGAGGACCTTCAAAATATAACACAATGTACTTTCAATCGTACACCTCGCATTTCTAACAACGAACTACCTCTGAACACATCTGTTGTCACGCGTAATGAAATTGCAACCAATTCAAGAAATAATGATACGAAAATGTCGAATGAATTTACTGGTAATCAGTCTTCAAATACGTCCATTAAGCGCAGTGAAATTATAGACGAAGACAGTAATTTGATATATGATAATATAGTGTTACGTTACACGTAAGTTTAATTAAAATTTTTATTGTACATAAAAGTATTTTAGATAATATAGTAAAGCTGTTTTTTTCTCTTTATTTTATCAGATTAGATAACTTGTTGATAGAAATGCAAAAGAAATACATGGAAATGGTTACTCTGGAGCCGTAATAATATCGCTGGTGAATGTATGTATGCACTGTGATACATTCCGTTTTTAAATTATTGCTCTTTTATTTGCTACACAAATTCTGTTACTCGTTACTTCGAAATGTTTAATTTAATATACTTACAAAAGAATGTTAATATTTCTCTGAAAGCTTCACACTTGAAATTCTTATTTATTATTATTTTTAGTATATTTACTCGATTTTAATGCTCTTGGAATATAATGCCGCACACCCCACTTGATGTTAGCATGTTTATCTGTTTTTAAAAATGTATAAGTGGGTCCATTTGTCATAGTTTTTTCTTTTATTTTCCTCCGAATGTCACTAGATGTTGTTAAGGAATCTAGAAAACATTATATATTAATATGAGACATCGCAAATATTGTTTGAGCACTTGTTATTTGTTTTCATATACAGGTGATTGATGGGACTAGTCTCCTGACCGATCATAGACTTAATCCGATTGCATGTATAAGTGTTTTGTTATTAAAAAAAAGAATTAATATATACGTATGTCTAGAATATTATTTTTCTCAAAATAATCTGTAATCTTTGTTGTATCTTCGATTTAATTTTGTTCATTGATGCAACGTCGTATCAAATAATCTATCAATTGAGCTTACCTCCTTTAGAAATAGCATTAAATACAATATATAAGCACAAATATATGAAAATATGTTTGTTCAGTATCTGTAACAAAAATTAATCAGTGATATATAATTATATATATTTATAAGTGTGCGTATATGCTATTATGTTTATTTTTACTTAAAGTATACCTACTAAATAAATGTTTGATATTTTAAGATTCATTGTGCTTGTAACAGAAGTAAGGCAATGACTGTATCATAGTAGAATATCATCAGTAGCTTGTATTCCTTATATTTAACAAAAAATTTCATGGTTGAATAAACATGTGACACGAACGTTTTTACTGCACTTTCACTCGTACAAGAAGTAATAGTTCGGTTTTCAATTATTGTTTAATACCTTGATAAATTTTAAATATTTAAAGTGTTTATTGTATCGGTCAAAATACAATAGCTTTTATATTTTGATACATTTTATTAAAAAAATTGTATACACATCCTAAACTGAGGATTAAACAACAATGTTAAAATAAATATTATAATTTTTATTTACTATTACTTTCTCTTCGTTGAGAAATCTTACACACCGTACTATTTTGCTAGATTGTCCACATACATCAACGATTATGCAATTCCACGTATAAAAGTTCATTGTACATTAACTTGATAAGTAAAAAAAGAGGAAAAACGCGAATTCTTTTGAGTATCTGTTTGTCCAATTCATTGAGAGGAATAGATATTACTCATTTTCACTGATATCTTCGTCGGTTGTGAACTCGGAATGTTCATCAGCTGCATCAACATCTTCTGCAGTTTCTTCGTCTGAAATATCCCATTGTGGATGTTCTGTGGGCATTTCTGGTGCTTCTTTTACATCCAACTGCAGAGAAATATTGTTATAATAATAATAATCGAATTTGATTTTAACGTGTTTGCATACCTTAATATTTTGAGCTTGATCAAAGCCGAGATAAGAATCACTACGTAAACATACAGTAAATGTATAAACACCAGGCCATCGTGGTGCTGTAAATCTTAACTGAACTTCTTCAAAGTGTGCTAATGATGTAACATAATTAGGTGGTGTCAGTAAAGTCTGACTTTTACGATCGCAGATGTAAACCCACCAATACTCTTGTTTAACATCTGGAAAGAGTGGACAATGCACTTCGTGTGATAAATTACTTCTTCCCTCTAAAACTTTTTCTCTTTTAGAAATTTTTTGTTGAAATCTATATTATAAAAATATCAATAGGTTATTGGAATTAATTTTATCGGTAATAATAATTTGTTATAAATAAATGTTTTACCTTTCCCATTCGGTATCATCGTCGTCGACGGCCACATCCTTTTTATCATGACTGTCTTCATCGTCGCTTCTGTCGCTATCAACATCGCTGTCACTAACATCCGACAACTTATCTTTGGAAGACTCTTTTTCTATTTTATCTTCTTTCTTCCTTGAATTAGGAGTATTTGTTTGTTGAGCATTGCTATTGCCAGACTGTGATTGCGTCTGTGCATTTTTAACAGATGTAGATTTCTTACTAGTGCCTTTCTTGTGAGATTTCTTTTGACCTTTCTTTTGTCTAAGCCATGCAGGCTTCTTTACAGACTGATTTTGTTCTTCTGATACTTCGTCGGTAGGTTCGGCGGTGGCTTTACTATCCTCGATCATTACTTGTTCCTTGACAGTATCGTCGCCGAATAAATGTTTCATGTCTTTGCGTGTTAATGACACTGTTACAGTTACAACAGCACCAGCAGTATAAACCGTTGGATTTTCGTCACCAATTACTGAAATTACACAATTCATGGATATGTTTACCATAGGAAATTTGTTACACATTAATATCAGAATTTATTTTATAACAAACATTAAACATCTTGTACCTTCGGATCGTACTTTGAATTCTATGTATGGCATACTTCCAAGAACTTTCATAACATCTTCATAGTGGCTATCTGATAAATTTCTAAGAATCAGTCTTCGTTCTTCTCCTTTCAATTGTGCGAATTGTTGAAGACTTTTGATTTGATGCTAATAAAAATATGTGTTATGTAACGAAGTATAACATAGATCTTTCATATACAAAATAACAATTACCTTTTTTGCTAAGAAACATTTTAAATTATCTTCACTTATATGTGGTAATTGTAACAGAGGATTTTTAAATTCCCAAAAACCTTGTACTATCATTGGACACAATTTCATACAATTTTCTAATGTTTTTATACTTGGTAAACGTGGAACTAAAAAAAAAAAAATATATTTAAATCTATGTTTCTAGTAATACCTTGAATATGAAAACATGTTATACAAATACAGGAAGCATGTACCTCTTTTAGCATAAGCTAACAAAATTACTCGATTTAGAGAAGTTAGCATTCCTTGAATTAAATATGGACATTTTTTTACTATGTACTGCCTATCTTTGTCCAATGTTTCTGGATTTAATGGTATACGAAATAAATGTGCATGAAGCAAAGCTCTAGCTTTAATGGAATATGAATTACATAGCGGATCTTCTTGATTTTTTGCTCCCAGTTGAGGTAACTGCTTACTGAGCTGAAAATAATAACACATAAAATGTCCTATAACTCGTACTAGTCCACGGAAATGAATACAACATTATATATCAACTCTTACCGAATGAATTTCGTCCCTGTCCGTATGCCTTTCAACTATTTCTGCATTTTGTTTTTTATAAAATTCGAAAGAAGCAGCTAGAATCATGATTACTCTTTTTAGTGACACCGAAGGTGTCTTGAAAAAGAAGAAATAATACATTTCAGAAGTCGCCAACAGTACCTAAGAGTAAATAATAAAATAATATAAGCAGTTTCTCGATAACGTTCACTTATATTATTCAAAATTAGTTATGTATTTACTTGGTCACCAGTGTAACGAATACTCTTATACCACCACATTCCAACAACAGTTGGTAAAGCAAACATAAACACCAATGAATATAATCCCAAAACCCATACAGAATTTTCTTTTTCAACGATCCAGGATGGTAAAGCTATACCAAAACTCATTGCACCTGGACCGTCTGGATTTCCGTACTTCTCCCAATTTTTGCGTGCTTCATCGTCCGTTAATGCTTGATAAGCTATTAATACGGAGGAGAATATTATTACCTTTTAATAGCAACTAAGATATTAATATCTACAGTTGATATTATTTATATAATGGCATTATTACTAATGAAAGATATATACTTAAATTGTTATACAACTAACTGCCAGTATGTAAGCGCATATCTGTTAGTGATTGATGTATTCTACGTTATTCTATCTTAATTCTAACCTTTGGTTAGTTTCATAAATGCTTTTTCATTTCCAGTTTCTTTATCTGGATGGAGAATCAAAGAAAGTTTACGATAAGCTTTTTTAATGTCGCTCTGCGATGAACCCTATAAATAATTACAATATTATAAATATATGCCCCGATATAATCGAATATCTTTTCATGTACATCCATCGCACTTACAGGAGAAACTCCAAGTATTTCAAACGGATCAAAATTGGCCATTTCATAGTCAAATTGTGATACTTTATATGCCAGAAACAGAAGTATTACCCATCCAAGGATAATAAGGAATTTTCTATAAATGATACAGTAATATCAGAAAAACTGCTAATATTTATACATAAAAGTATTTATGTATAAAATGTAACTTACGTAAATAATGCTTTGGTTTCTTTCCACGGTTCATTGAGTTGCAGGATAATCTTTTTCTTTTTACATCCATCGCATTGGCACTCTTTTGCCTCTTGATCAGGATCTAATATATAAATAATGTCAAACATCCTCTTTGTGTAATAATAACGGATCGAAATATAAAATTAATCAAATAAGAATTATTACTATTATCTTCTTCTAAAATTCACACACATCATGTACAAAAATTGTTACAGTTTATAACAAATAATAATAATGTTATAAGCTTAATTATATAATATTTGATGTCGCCTGCTAAAAAATATTGCTAATAGGTATAACATAGAAACAAAACGAAATTGTTTGTAAAATACATATTGCTGCCACATATGCCTTAATTAAATATTCCATAAAAATATATAAATGAAGATCAAATAACAAATTAGTACGCCGACGAACGTTGAATATTTCGATATTATTTTATTTGGATACAAGTATTGAAAATACAGCCTCTTTATTTATTAGTAAATTACTAACGGGATATTCACAATTAAGTGGTGATTAGTCTTCCGTCACAACATTATGGAGTAGGTTGTATATCGATAGAAGGAAGCGTAAAACACGGTAAAACTTATTAAATTAACGAGAAATATGAATGATTATGAAACGTTATTGTAATGTCACATAATTTATACATTAAACCGAACAGAATAATAGAAATCTAACCTTGCTTCGGACAACGTGGCCAAAGATAATACGTCCCAGGTATCAAGAGAAGCGCCAGAAACGACAGTAAAAAGTAGAAAAATGTCCCGCCGCTTTCGTCATATTGAAATTTTTGCCCGCTCATAGCTCATTAAGTAATAATATTTAAGTATATCGTTTAAGTACATTCATTACTAAACACCACTTTGAATTCACGGTACCATCCGATATATAGTACAGTTACAGAGTTGTCGCGTTCAAGACTGCCAACTCAGCATCGAACGCTAACAGTTCAGGTCTGATGTGCAATTGGCGTTGCTGGTAACGTTCGTGTCCACGTAACGAGAAAAAAGGAAGCACTTTAAGAATTGCAATAATTACGTCCGTTGACAAATGATATGACGTACGCATCGTGCAGCCACAGGCTACTTTCCTACATCTATGCGAAGCTATGATACGCCATAGCATGATAATACAACCGTTTGTCCCGTAATTCTTCCTTTGCGCTCTGACCGGCAGCAACGTCACTAACGCCAACGTCACGCCAATGTCTATTGTAAACAAATCTTGAATCGATGGCTAAAATCGATAGAGATATCGATATTGAAAATATAAATGCCACAAAGAAAGTGTAACTGTTTTTGATTACCAATACGTTTAAGAATGAGCGTTCATTCGAGATCGATAGTAAACAAAAACAATTGTACTATTATTACAGGAATATGTTATACACAAATGCTTAATAAAATAAGATATACCCCGAATTGTTCATACGCGCTACGAAAATGAAAAGTCACTACGTGAAAATTAAAATATTAAAAGAAACAGTATTTAATGCCTAATGTTATATATTACGCGTTTCATCTTTTCTAGCATTTCATTTCAGGATGATTATGATTCATGCTGAACGCGTTTGCATCTGATACAGAATATTCTTTTCCACTGTCGATCGAGCTAATTTATCATTAATCGGTATGACTAAGAATTAGTATTATAAGTAATTACGAAATGAGCCCATATATACGGTTTGTTCCATGAATTGAAGAAATAATTATGTGATGAATGAGTTCAGATGTGCTCATGACATTCTGATCGATGATTTTGTCTGGATTGATTTATTTACAAATACTGCCAATCTATGGTTTTTCTTAATTGTAATACGATACTGATTACACGCATACATTATGTATACTAAACGCACTAAAACATTGTGATATCTATCCTTGATAATCCACGAATGAAATTTCTAAGGTGAGTAAATAATGTTTAGTGGTTAGGTTGAATATATATTTTAAAATGTAAATGATTCAAAGAATTGTTTTTTTTGTTATTGTTATTGCAGCTAATATTTTAAATAAATCACTTATTATTTTGCTATTTTTGCCATCATTAAAAAATGTTATCGTACCGATGGTACACACTTTCAATTTTTTTTAATTTACATACCATAAATTTTATATCTAATCTAATTATAATGCAAATATTAAGTACAATTTTAACATTCAATTATACAGAATTTGTACAACTTTGTAATTAGCATAAAAAATGCCTATAAAAAACATAGCTGATTGGACGCAAAGCGACGTGACAAAGTGGCTCGGCGAAACCGGGCATGAAAAATTCATTGATTTGTTTCTCGAACATGAAATTGATGGAAAGGTACTGCTGACTCTAAAGGAGGACGATTTAAAATCGAAAGGCATGAATATAAAGAAAATTGGAGATATAAAAAGATTATATATTAGTATAAAACAGATACAAAGAGACAACATGGCAGTATTATTTGAGTTGGGATACGTTGACTTATTTCCAACATCAAACTTTTATAATCACCATAAACAGGAAGTAAATAGAAACAGATAAATGAAACTAGTTACGTATCTGTAATTGAATATAAATATTTTATATATTTTTTACAGATACCTAGTAGTACTTTAAACAATGAAGGTTCTATGGAACACGAATTTTATTCAGCTTCTATATCGGAAGACGATCACGCGTCGCATTTACCACCTGAAATTTGGAAAGCTTTTATTAGTTTGGCGTATTTGTTTATCGTTACGTGGATTACTGCCTTTGTGATGGTCATTGTTCACGATCGAGTGCCTGACATGAAAAAATATCCTCCATTACCCGACATATTTTTAGATAACGTGCCACATATTCCCTGGGCATTCGATATGTGCGAAGTCACGGGAACCATACTTTTTGCGATATGGCTTATTGTACTGATTTTTCATAAATACAGGTAAAGTATATCGCAATATTTCTTTAAATTTTTAATGAACGAAATTAAGGTAAGTATATCGATGCGCTAAATTAAAATGTGTTTAGCAAGTTTGTGTACTTTGTAGATTTATCTTATTACGAAGATTTTTTGCTTTATCTGGTACAGTCTTCCTACTAAGGTGCGTTACGATGCTTATTACTTCCTTATCAGTACCAGGCGCACATTTGCAATGCCAACCGCGAACGGTTCCCGAAGATTGGACAAGGTAAAAATAGTGTGTTATTGATTGAAACAATTATTAAGAAAAATCTATACATTATTCTTCTTATTTAGTAGTTCCGCATACGTCGAGCTGTACAATAAAATTGCTATGGCTTATGTTATATGGCGTGGTGCTGGTATGTCTATTCAAGGAGTTAGAACCTGTGGCGATTACATGTTCAGTGGCCATACTGTTGCACTCACTATGTTAAATTTTTTCATTACAGAATGTAAGTATCATTGTATTTTTTTACTTTTAGGAAAGTAGAAATAGTACTTGATAAATTTCTTATTTCCAGATACTCCAACACCATTGTACTTTTTACATACTTTTACTTGGATGCTCAATATGTTTGGTATATTTTTTATCTTAGCAGCACACGAGCATTATTCCATCGACGTTTTTGTAGCCTTTTATATAACTTCCCGATTATTTCTATATTATCATACATTAGCGAATAATCAAGCATTGATGCAGCGTGACTCGAACAGAACCAGAATTTGGTTTCCATTATTTAGTTTCTTTGAATCTTCCGTAGACGGGATTGTTCCAAACGAGTATGAATCACCGTCATTGATCATTTACAATCTAGTGTGTACAGGGAAAGATATTTGGGATTTGGTTCGATCTTCGATTTGCTTGAAAAAATCGTGGCGTAATGTACGCAGTAGTGTTAAAAATAATACAAAGAAAGAACATTAACCAATTTATCGATTGTATCGGTTTATATTTATTTGAAAATAGAATTTGAAATATTAACTTTATTTGATAATTCTCTTTACACGTGAAATAAAAAGAAAGAAAGTGAAAATAAATTAACTGTAAGTATTTATTTTTCTAAGTTACATAAATAGTTATTAAAATTACCTGGCTGTTACTAAAATAAATTTATATGGTTCGTCTAGATTTTTCTACTGCTTACCGTACGGTCATTCGTAATATAACAGTTAAATCGAACTATATTGTGGCCTTCCAAAGTAAGTTCTAGCTGATAAAGTGTTATGTTTCTCTGGTCCTTAATTAATATAGTTTGTCGTAATTTTAATTTCGTATTTTTATCATTTCATTTTGTTTGAAATTCTTTCCATTCGAATAGGCATAATGTTACATAAAATTCGCATTAAGACATTGAAAAACTTAAATTTTGTAAAGAACAAAGATTTAACGTGAAATAAGTGTGATAATTTTATCAAGGTGATAGCCATGTTTGTATCTGCCACAATGTTATAGTATTATACTTCTGTTGGTTAAATGGGTACAAGTTTAGAGATACATTTCAAGTGTTGCGCTTATTAAAGTTATATGTTGACGAACGTTATAACGTTAGATTTTCTAGATGAACTTTGAAAATAATGTAAATGATGATTTGATGAAAATATCAATACACCATCTTATTTTATAACTTTTGATATCGGGTCTTGATGGAAACAGATGAATGGAATAGTTGCGATGTTGTGTAAAAATATAAATAGCTTTTCCACCTTTAATTCGTATACATATTTTTTACTGAAATGAAGATACGAGCTAAAGGATTTCATTCTTGGATCTAGCAACCAATCTAGCAAATTATTCAGGTCTGATCCTTGTCGTTCGTCTCTATGTGCTAAAAAGATTCTGAGTGAAGTAGTAAGGTGTAACTATACACGGACAAAAAAAAATCTAGTGATTACATAACGGCCATGATCAGACTAATCATTGAATACTTGTAAACAAATAGAGTGTATGTACACGTGAATGCGTATGTATGGATATGTTGTATGTTGCATATATGTATATGCAATTCATGTACATTTTTCATACAACTTAAACAAGAATAGAAGATTAACATTTAACTTTGTATGAGAATTACTAATCAATAAGAGGCTACTTCTGAGATAATTCATTATATTTATATTTGTTACAAATAGATTTCTGGTTAGAGTTTATTATTATTTTAACTGGAGGCTCGTAAATATTATATTATTAAAAACTAATTAATAGGGGGATAGTAATAAAATGAAGGAACTAATTTGTCATTCTATGTATCGATCCAATGACATTCTATACCAGATGAATAAGATTGCTCTTCGATATTTTCTTACTTTAAATATTTTTCATATTTCTTTATAAATAGGCGCACAATTCGATAGATTTAAAACGTTATTACGTAATTTATTACGCATGTTTACTAGATAACAATTTTGTAAATAGAACGTCTGTATTATCATTAGAATTAGTGTAAAAAGGTGCTGAGTTGGGACAAATAATTTCTATCATATACGGGGTGTTCAGCCACCCTTGGGAGAAATTTTAATGGGGTGTTTTAAAGACCAAAATAAGATGAAAATCCACAAATTGGTATTCTTGATTTTCGTCTTACTTTGGCCACCAGAATCCCCCATTAAAATTTTTCCCAGGTGTGGCCGGACACCCTGTATATTCTTTTAAGGATGTCTAATGTCAACATGACCGATATTGTCTATTGTAATATGCACAAGTCTCGATTTCAACCGATAAACATTTTCTGGATACGAAGTACACTAATGGACAATAAATTGTTTGTAATAATTGCTGCGATAAATCTGCGCTTCTTTCAAAAATAGTACCGTCTACGCAAAGTGTACCGTATCTAAAATTAAACCGCCGGTTCCGTAGACTGTTTGTGATTTCAGAGATGTAATGTCGGTACTAGCAGCCCGTTGGCTAGTACTACGTTATTATTTTACTTGCCGATACTTTGTTCGATTCGGAAATGGAATGTTAATAAAATAATTTTACGCAACGTGTGGCTTCGTATTATCGTTTTTTGAATCTAATTCTTAAAATAGAAGGTAGATTTGTCGGGAGAATATGTCATCGGAAACCGAAGCTGCCTGCCCGATTTGTGGGGCACACTCGAATGCAATGCTCAAGTGCAGCGGCTGTAAACAGCAAGTTTATTGCGGCAAAGATCATCAACGACAAGACTGGCCACGACACAAGTCAGTTTGCAAAGCATGGGAGGTTCACGAAAGTCCCGAACTCGGACGATATTTATTAGCATCGAGGGACTTGAACCCTGGCGATTCGATCATTTCGGAATCGCCTTTGGTCTGGGGCCCGGCTTTGCACACGGATCAAAGAGTTTGCATCGGTTGTGGGAAACAATGCACGTCCATCGACACGAGGTGCACGACATGCCTTTGGCCGGCGTGCCAAATGAACTGTCCCGGTCTTATCGATAAGAATAGACACGGTTTGGAATGTTTATTTCTCGTGAAAGCTAGAATTGTACCCAGGTTTGTAAAATGTTTGATTATTCGTTACTGCGGTATTACCTGCCTTGTATTCTGTAAAGTAAACCAGATAACATCGCATATCTCCCCATAAGGGATTAAGAACGCTTGTAGCTTAATAGCCACGTTTGTTTACGTTGCCATTTTTCCGTAGGTGTGACGTTCTCCTAGTGATACGCATGCTAACACTATGGCGGAAAAAATCCAAATCGTGGACGTCTTTGGAACAATTTCTGAGCCACGAAGAGTCTCGCGGACCTGGCACAACCGCGTACGAAGAGACTCAGAATGTGACACAACACATTGAGCGCCTTCTATCGAACATCGAAGGCGGTAAGGAAATCGTAAGCAAAATTTGCGGTTTGATAGACGTTAATGCGTTGGAAACTGTGCCACCCGAAGGCTCGGTGGCGATTTATAAAACAGCGTGTCTTTTGGAGCATTCTTGCTTAGCCAACACAAAGCACAGCTTTGCAATCGACGATAAGGGGGCGCCACGTATCACGGTGAAGGCACTATGCTTTATAAAGAAGTAAGTTAGTTGGATATGCAATGAAATATATAATTATTTTTCACTCACTGATCGGTTGATTTCAGAGGAGACCACTTGAGTACTATGTACACGCATGCTCTGTGGGCAACAATGGCCAGAAGAGCTCATCTCAGGGAGACAAAATACTTCTCTTGCCACTGCAAACGTTGTGCAGATCCAACAGAGTTAGGCACACACCTTGGTACTTTGATATGTCCTCATGACAATGGTTACATTCTGCCCAAGGATCCATTGGACTTTGAGTCAGACTGGAAGTGTGATTCGTGTCCAGGAACACTTACAGCCTCAGAAGTGATGCAGTTCACTGGGAAACTGGAGGAGGATGTTGATGAAGCTATGGCTGAAGCAAGAAAAGATAAACTGATTGACCTTCTGTCCCGGTAATAATGATTTCTTTCTCCCTTACATGGGAAACACTTAATCTTCTATTCTGTTTCTAATAATTATTTATTTGATATTACAGACTTACTGCACTGTTGCACCCAAGCCATCAGCAATGCATCACTGTCAGTCACTCGTTGATTCAACTGTTATCTGAAAATAATCCAAAGAAACCTGAATTGTGTAAACGTATTATAGGGATTACCAAAGTATTGGACCCGTACGGTGCAAGATTGTCATTGTATACAGCTGTTGCGTTGCGGGAATTATCTACATGTCCGGGCGAAGACGAAAAAAGTCTTTTGTCAAAAGCAATTTCGTTGCTGCAATTCGAACCACCGAATTCGCCAGGTAAAAAATTTAAAGAATTACTAGAGGACGAATTATAACATCTCAATAAGTTTAATATCCACTGCTGGCAATAAAATTTGTATTGAAAGTTTCTATATTTTATAGAATGTATTATATTACATTTGCTAAAGGTATTTATGCTTAAAAAATCATTCTCAGTTTACGGCTTTATATTATACAGATATATAACATAACATAGGATTAAAATGATAAATTTCCCGCATAATTGAACAAATGAATTCCGATTATTTGTAACTATACAGTACATATAGCCGTGACTATTAGCACCGTGATGCATAGTTTAATTCGTTGTCCATTCTTGTATGTCACATTTTACACGTAACAGTATGCTATTAAAATTATGGTGTATTTACAGTATGATTGTATAATTAATACCTACACGTCTGTTTTTTTTTATTTTAATAAAAAAAGAAAGTTGACTGTTTTTTAAAGACAGATATCGGTATCGATGTTTTTTTTTTACAATCTTAAACTAGAGGAGAAATGCAAATTCCAGGTAAATCTTACCGAATCACGATGCTTGTAAATCTAGACTAGATTTAGCTTTGAAACGGAATAGCTGATTCTCATATCAAGAAGGTACTCTTTTATAACAAAGAAGATAATGAAAATCAATTATATTAGACACTATTTTATCGAATTACTCTTTAAATAAAATATTTATAGAACAAATGAGCTTTTATCGACAGAGGATTATGAGCGAGGAGTCTAAAAAAAATTTATACCGATCGACTCGAGTTATTTTAATAAAATTTTGCTAATCTCTGACTAAAATAGCGAGATTGTTTACATGATAGTTACCGAACTATCACTGTACCTCAATTACCTGTACACGAGGATCCAGTACAAATAATAAATGCTATGAAGTAAAACAAGAAACAAATCTAAAAACAAAACTAAGAGCCCAAGGTGTTCGAATAATGTTCGTTCTTAAGGATTATCATTGGTTGTTCTTATTCTGCTTTTTAAAATTAAGATAGACAGGAACGTCGAGTGCGTACACCTAACAACGGATAGGACAACGATTGGCCATTCACTTGCGCCGTGATTTGCAAGACGTAAGCCTTTCCTGGCTGCAACCGCTTTAGGGTAAATGGTAACGCTCGATCGTTCGCCGGACTCTGTTTTTCTTCGCAGACTTCGAAGGTATATTCCGAACGCCGTCGACGATGAAGCTTGCATTGGTCCGGGATTGTTGTTATGCTGGCAAACGACGAGGTGCTCCTCAACTCTTGCACTAAAATACAATACTTGGCTGCACCCGCTGACTCTACTCCTATCGTCACCTCGTGGCAAGTCCTTAACGATCTGTACTCACGTGGTGTACTTCTGGATGGAATCTAAACAAAATATCTTTGTTTGTCTATCTACTAAACAGAACTGTGATAATTAAGGGAACGTAGCTCTGTCTTCCTTGTTAATATCTAAACTCAACAGATTATTTGCAGTATTTTATTAGAAATGACGTTTACTGATTACGTGGTGTACTTCTGGATGGAATCTAAACAAAACATCTTTGTTTCTCTATCTACTAAACAGAACTGTGATAATTAAGGGAACGTAGTCTGCTTCCTTGTTAATATCTAAACTCAACAGATTATTTGCAGTATTTTATTAGAAACGACGTTTACTGATTACGTGGTGTACTTCTGGATGGTATCTAAACAAAATATCTTTGTTTCTCTATCTACTAAACAGAACTGTGATAATTAAGGGAACGTAGTCTGCTTCCTTGTTAATATCTAAACTCAACAGATTATTTGCAGTATTTTATTAGAAACGACGTTTACTGATTAATTGTGGATTAATTATATTGTTGATAGAGGACTAGTGCTTTTGCAGTGTTGTAAGTGTTTATACGCATCCCATGTGATCGAGAAATATCTAATTTGTATAAACGCACCTGTGGAAATATTGTGGACGACTCTTGAGTAGCTAATACCTTTATAGCAAATACTTGTGTCAACTCCTGCGGTGTGGCGGATATCCGTAACGTGTACGCCCTTCCTGAAGTTAAAGGTGGCACCCTTAATGATGCATATCCTACTACTTCCTTTTCCTATAAACGTAGATTATTTATAATATCGATACCAATAGTAAATATTGTTCATTTCACATGAAACCGTACCTAATAAAGAAACACGATATCTTTTCAACTGACAAGTATAACTATTTAGAACTGTATAATGTACATGCGAAGAAACATTATTTTAGGTGGACGATTAATGTGGAATTGAACTATAATTACTATCAAAATGATCTCTGTTTACTCTGGTCAGACTCTTGTGTTGACTGAACTCTTATAAACATGAATCATTGGTTATAGAAATGAGTATATGATTACTTAAGTGCACATGTACTATATGTTGTATATATATATATATTGTACTATATGTTGTATATATATATATTGTACTGTATGTTTCATTACCCGTGAAATTCCTGGGCCACTTAATTTCGCTTTGACGATGCCACCACCGCAGGGAAGAATATGGAAGGTGCTGGAAATGTTCTCCGGAGGACGGTACCGGAAGTTAACGAACCCATCGGTTTTACGCAAATTGGCCGTGGCATAACGACCAGTGCGTAGCATCAATTCCGGCGTTTTTCGGAATCTTATCGTATCGGCGGCCACTCGATTCGAGACATTGTTTCGTGTATTCACCTAATACAGAGCAAAGACAATACTACAGCTATGCATTTTACAGGGGCACGGGTTCCCAACCTCTGGTTTTTCCCCCTTGTAAACAGAATTTGGCATTATTGGTGGAATATCAACGGACACAAAAGTTGGGAATCCCTGTATTACGTTATTAACACTTTACCGGCCGGTAGCGGTTGATTAATCGGCTATCGGTCGGTAAACGCCGACCGATAAAACAGTTGATTAATAGGCTATCAGTCGGTAAGCGTTAGCCGGTAAAACAGTCGATTAATATCGGTCGGTAAAGTGTTAATGAACATTTGGAAGAATCGGTATCGCAAACGATGTGTTTTCCTTGCGACGGAACAATTGCAAATTGCAGTTTTACAATGACTTCGGAATAAAAGTGTTACAAGCGATATTACAAGTATTACAAAATGACGCTGCGCAGTAATCGAAACATTATAGTGGCAGTAAATTTGTTAATCGAGAGAGTGTTTCCCAAGTCCCGATTACTAACCACGTATAACGTGAAATTGTACGTAGTATCGTACTTCATCCTGTGGAGTGTCAATTTCGTTTGTCGAACGCAATGGAGTCCTTCCGGAATGCCGCGGTGTTGTTGCTCCTTGGACGACGAGCTTCTCTTCATGGGGTGCGTGTGAACACGCAGAACATTCTGCGCTGCGCAAAGCGTCAGGGGGTGGGGCTGGGACCCCGACGTGACAGCCAAACAGTAGCGGGATAGGTGGGGGTCCACGTTGCTGTAAACATAAATGCATCCACCTCGAATTCCCAGCGTCTATCAAGAGCTAATTCCAATCCATCGAGACTGATTTTAATCGGTAAATTCTCCTCAATAATAATTTATCGATAGAACATGTCGATTCCTTTTCTTTATCAAACTTCATTTCTTCTTTAAGCGATAAAATTACATGGGTACCTTTGGGGGGAATACACAGTCGAGTTTGCACGCACTCCTACCGCCCCTGTTGTGAAAATAAACATTATTAATAATGATTAGGATGTGTAATTAGTTGTTAGAAATAGGGACCCCTCTTTGGAGGAGGGTTAAAGAGTTTTGACTTACTAGAAACGATTTGGCAATTTTTAACGACCTCCACAACGCTGTTCAACCGCCCGCAAGTGGGTGGTGGGTGGACTTGCTGGTAAAAACCACCCACCACCCACTTATTCGATTCTGTACAACACACACAGATTCACTGAACATTCACTCGGATTCATTAGAGATCTACTAGGCACTCAACACTATCCAGCATCAGTATACATACAGTATACATACAGTATTTAGTGTGTCTCGCATACAAATGATACAAATGTAAAAAAAAGAATTGAAACTGAAGCTTACACATGTTTTAACACTTTACCGACCGATAGCCTATTAATCGACTGTTTTACCGGCCAACGCTTACCGACCGATAGCGTATTAATCAACTTCTTTACCGACCGATAAAACAGTTGATTAATAGGCTATCAGTCGGTAAGCGTTGGCCGGTAAAACAGTCGATTAGTAGGCTATCGGTCGGTAAAGTGTTAAATGCTTAGAATATTTACATATTTACAGTTGCACAGCTTAAAAATAGGTGTTCAAATGGGCAAGTAAATTGATAAATAGGAAAAATGGCATCTTTTAAAAACTCTTCTTAACGCTAAACTTCTGAACGCTAAAAGAGAAAAGTTTAGTTATTCAACGACAAGATAAAATCGACAATCACGTTCCATCGATAAAGTATTAATAAATTGACCAGGTTTAAGTTTCTATTAAACGATATGAACGGTACCTTTTGTCCCAGGATATTGTAAGTCGACGCTTACTTCTTCTCTGTTGGAACTTCAACGGACGGTGGCGATTTTTCTTGTCGTTCGCGTACCACTTCGACACGTGATCCAAGTCGTTGGAGGTCGCGTACAAGAGCACAGTGCTCGGTGTCGGTTTTTGATAATCGTCATCAGGCGGGTCCACGGATTTAATTTCGAACCAATAAAGGCCAGCGCGGGTCTTTGGTATCGTGAAATTTTGATCCTCCGCGCCTCTGTACGTGAAAAGGGGGGAGCCTGGCTTCAGAGTCTTCACCGGCCATCGTGTTTGCGCTGTTGTATCGATCATAACACTCATTCGAAAGATCATCTTAACATAATTTCATCGATATTTTAATCTGATTTCAAACGTTAGAACTTTCACTCACATGCACACATACAACAAAATATAAAGAGGACGAATTATACGATAGAAACCTAATTTTTAAATTCGCGAAACTCGAGGCAGAAATCTTTAGAGGTTTAAAAATACTCGAAACTTTTAAAACTGTAAATTAAGCGATATAAATATGAATTTTTAAAATGTTACGTTTGTTTTGAATAATTTCTGTGCACTTAGAGGTTTAGAAGTTTCTAAGTTTCGAGTATCCCTAATAAAAATCAATCGAAAATGTGGAATTACACGAAGCTCGCAGAATACTGTAAAAATGGAACTGAATTAATCATTTTTATTTTTACTGTTGTTTCTAAACACTTACGGTGGTATAACGTGTGTTTAAATTGCTCTCAATCTTAGAATTGCTCTCAATCGCACGCGTTTCATTTCTCGAAAACGAAGGCTCGTATAAAAAAATTTTTTTGTACATTTTCGATTTATTTTTGTACAAGGAATCGCCTATGTCCGGTTGCACCAACTGTCTTCACCCATCCTGTATAAAATAATTGAATTAAGAACGATTTTTTTATGAAATTTTATTTAATTGAAATTTTAATGTACAGGGTGCTCGACCCTGGAAAAAATTTTAATGGGAGATTCTAGAGGCCAAAATAAGGCGAAAATCAAGAATATTAATTTGTTAATTGAGGCTTCGTTAAAAAGTTATTAAAAAATTAAATTGAAAAATTTCAAATCCTTCACGGAAAAAATTATTTTCGGTTGCGGGGGCCAATTACAATCGTTTTTGGTGATTACATATACCCCCGAAATCCTACGCAGTTTTGAGAAAAAAATTCGAGTAAGTGAAATTTTTTGACAAAATTAAAAAATTTCAAACCGATTTAAAAAAATTATTTTCGGTTGTGGAGGTCTATTTTAACCATTTTTGGTGATTACGTATGCCCCCGAAATCCTAACCACTTTCGAGAAAAAAATTTCTTACCGAAAATCTAATGTGACGTCAGAAATGTTTGCCCGAATTTTCATGCGAATCTTAAAAATGTCATAACTTTTGAACGGATTGAAGGATTTTAATTTTCAAAAATGCAAACGACGCGTATTTTAATCAAGAATATGTAGAAATTCTAAAAATATTCGAAAAGTTGATCCTTCACCCGGCAAAATGAGAAAAACCCCATAAAAGTGGTCCAATTTTCAAACAGCCATAATTTCTACAATAGTGAATATATTTCAATGAAACTTTTTTCTGAAGTAGAGCTCATGGGTACCTACAAAAAAGTATTAAACAAAATTTCCGTAGCGCGTCAAACAAATTTATTAAAAATGAAAAATGAATTCTTAAGTAAAATGACAGGGGTAGGTGCATCATTTTTCCGGCGAAAAAAAATTCTTTCAAATCGATTTGAAAAAATTATTTTTAGTTGCAGGGATTAATTGCAATAATTTTTGGTGAATAGACATACCCCCGAAATTCTACCCAGTTTCGAGAAAAAAATTCGAGAATGTGTGAAATTTTCGACAAAATTAAAAAATTTCCAATCGTTCTAAAAAAATTATTTTTAGTTACAGGGGTCGATTACAAGTATTTTTAGTGAATAGACATACCCTTGAAATCCTACTCATTTTCGAGAAAAAAATTCGAGAAGGTGTGAAATTTTCGACAAAATTAAAAAATTTCAAATCGTTCTAAAAAAATTATTTTCGATTGCAGGGGTCAATTACAATCATTTTTGGTGAATACACATACCCTCGAAATCCTGCGCATTTTCGAGAAAAAAATTCGAGAAACTTCTGAAATTTTTAGACGAAATTAAAAAATTTCAAATCATTCTAAAAAAATTATTTTCAGTTGCGGGGGTCAATTATAATCATTTTTGGTGAATACACATACCCCCGAATTCCTACGTATTTTCGAGAAAAAAATTCTTTACCAAAAATATACTATTTTTTTAATAACTTTTTAACCAAGCCTCAATCAACAAATTGATATTCTTGATTTTCGTCTTATTTTGGCCTCTAGAATCTCCCATTAAAATTTTTCCCAGGATTCTCGCGTTTCTATTCAGTAATTATAACTTTAATTCACTTCTCGATGTCCTTTAGTAAACAAACGGGAATATCTTTGTTCATAAATAACTCAAATTAATTGCCAATTGATATATCGAAGGACGTGCACGTACTTTGTACTTTTACATGCAGAGTAACGAGGAGAACCGTTTAATATGAACAAGAGAGAGAAGAAGAGAGACAATAGCATTAACAAAAGATCAAACATATACAATGTTAGATTTCGTTAAATAATTGCACCCAAATTTTTAATTTTTCAGACTCCCTTTCCCCATCGAGACGTGGAAAATTATTTACAATAGAAAAAACCAAAAAATATGGAAGAACAACTTGGTGCAAGAAGCATGGAAATGAATACAAAGTGATTGTTGACTCTACGATATACAAAATTTAGAAATTAGAAATTAAAACACTATTCGTAGTAAGAAAATTGTCAATGGTCCACTAAGGAAAATAGTATGGATGGATTCAACTTTGATATGTATGTGACATCCAGTAGCGAACGTGTTAAGATATTATATTAGTATGATATTTTAATAAACGATAATTTCATCGATTTTTCTTACATTTCGATCCCTCCGTTTCCTCGGTGTCTTTCGGTGGTTCGACGTAACTGACAGTCCATGATATCGGTCCGCTACAGGGGCTAACAAGTAACGTGAGGGGCGGGCCTTCGCGTGGACTCAGGTAATAGAACCTGCAATAATTTTTATCTGCATCCAGTATGATATTGATGCTCGTAATGAAAATGATTGGGTAATTATTGGGACAGGGCTCACCGATTTCAATAACTCTCAAATACGTTGGACAACACTCTGAACAACTTTTCCCTGCACGTACACACATCACCACTGGCTGGTTTCAGTTTTCAAGATCACAATTTTCTATAGTTCGACTTAAATTTAAGGAGCTATTCTACTATATCATTTAATCTACTGTACTCTTTGAAGAATATCATTTGAAATATGTTTGAACAAGTTTGAACAAGTTTGAACAGGTTCCAACAGGTTTGAACATGTTTGTTTACTTATTAGGAGAAGTATTTACATTTAGAGTATCTTAGACAATGAAGAACTTTGAAGAATATTATTTGAAATATGTTTGAACAAGTTTGAACAGGTTCGAACACGTGTGCATGGAAAAATTGTTGAGAATATTGTCACCAACTGGAGACTATTGAAATACAGCAGAAGGCCCTACGTTCCTAATAATTATCAAATGATTTCTGAGTCAACGTTTAGATAAATTAATCTCTTCGCCTGTACGTACGGTGTAATATACATACAGGGTGTCCCAGTAATAGCAGTACAACTGAGAACGGTTATGCAAAAATGTATGATAAAATTTTCTTGTACGACCTTCCGTTTTCGAGAACGAAAATATTAATTGTTCGACAAACGTATATCTAGGAGCATACATACACATACATACACAAGGGGTGGGCGTCTCCGTATAGGAGTAAAGACACAAATGTAGCGAGGCGTTTATATTTAGTCATAATGTGTGATCGTGCCCGTGCAAAAGTCCCCCTTTAAAGATCGCACCGGTTAAGTTTACGCCTCGACATAGCGTTCGCTGTTTCCCTCTCGCTCTGTCGCACTGATTTTCTTTCACTTTCTCTCTCATACCCTCCTTGCTCCAGCCATCCCCTAGGACGTCGTCACGGCTCATCCCGGTTAGCATACGTACGAGAAGAGCGTCGGGACGCCGCACGTGCTTTTCGCTCACGGACTGGCACTGAAACGGCTATTGTAAAATTAGCGTCTACACACAATGCCGGCGTCGCGGCGTCTGGGGTCGCGCAGCCACGACCCCCGTCGTCTAATTTTGGCGGTCGGCTTGTCCCACGGCAAACTCGAATTGATTCTGTCATTTCGCGAGGACGTTTCGCGACTTTCGTGGAAATCTGGCGACGTTCGACCCACCCTATCACGCGACGTCCACCGGTGCCCCAAATCGAACCTTTCACTCACATTTTTCCGCCATTACAATAGATAAACATTGGAGAATTTTCTAAAAATCATGTTTGAAATATTACGATTTTCATTTGGACGAAATTTGCTATAATTACGAATTTAAACTGGAGAAAACGCATGAAAGAAAGATGGCGGATTCTGTGTAGATGCACAGTGCCCTAAATCGAACATTTCCATCGCATTTTCCCACCATTAGAATAGATAAACATTGGAGAATTTTCTAAATATCCTGCTCGAAATATTAAGATTTACATTTGGACGAAATTTGCTATAATTATGTATTTAAACTGGAGAAAACGCAAGAAATAAAGATGGCGGATTCTATGTAGATGCACAGTGGCCCAAATCTAACGTTTCACTAACATTTTCCCATCATTAGAATACATAAAGAGTGATAAATTTTCTAAAAACCCTATTCGAGATATTAAGATTTACATTTGGATGAAATTTGCTATAATTACGAATTTAAACTGGAGAAAATGCATGAAAGAAAGATGGCGGATTCTATGTAGATGCACAGTGCCCTAAATCGAACATTTCCATCGCATTTTCCCACCATTAGAATAGATAAACATTGGAGAATTTTCTAAATATCCTGCTCGAAATATTAAGATTTACATTTGGACGAAATTTGCTATAATTACGAATTTAAACTGGAGAAAACGCAAGAAATAAAGATGGCGGATTCTATGTAGATGCACAGTGGCCCAAATCTAACGTTTCACTAACATTTTCCCATCATTAGAATACATAAAGAGTGATAAATTTTCTAAAAACCCTATTCGAGATATTAAGATTTACATTTGGATGAAATTTGCTATAATTACGAATTTAAACTGGAGAAAATGCATGAAAGAAAGATGGCGGATTCTATGTAGATGCACAGTGCCCTAAATCGAACATTTCCATCGCATTTTCCCACCATTAGAATAGATAAACATTGGAGAATTTTCTAAATATCCTGCTCGAAATATTAAGATTTACATTTGGACGAAATTTGCTATAATTATGTATTTAAACTGGAGAAAACGCAAGAAATAAAGATGGCGGATTCTATGTAGATGCACAGTGGCCCAAATCTAACCTTTCACTAGCATTTCCCCACCATTAAAATACACAAACATTGACAAATTTTCTAAAAATCCCCTCTCGAAATATAAAGATTTGATAAAATACAAAAAAGAAAGATGGCGGATCGATCGTACCCCTCCTACCATAACTTTCTAATTACTTTGGTACACGTTTGTCTAAATGCTACACGTTCTCGATTATTTACAATTAGTCTGAGCGCAAACAGGTGTAATGCAAAATGCAACGTAAATAATTCGCACGTCCAAACGTGTTGCGCGCGTTGTTTGGCGAACGATTCGTGGAAATCCATCGACGGTCGATTTTTGCCGCGAGCACAAAGGATTTTCCATTTCGCGTTTCGACGTGTTTAATGCAAATTCGCCACGTGTGGTCGCGGGTTACAGCGAACGAATCGAGTTTAAATTATTTATCGAAATGGACTAAATATCCGTTAACAACGATGCAATTTTTTTTTAATATTTCAGCCAACAGTTCTGTCTCTTATTTGCAAAATTTTAATAATTTTATTGCCCCCCTCCTCTTCCTTTTATCTCAATTAAATCCAATACTGGTTCTAGAATAGAAAAGAACACTTTACTAGGTAACTTGAAGTCAGGTAGTCCACTGTTACTTAACTCTCGAAGGATTTGTAATACTTGGGGCTGAATGGAGTCCTTGACACGTGACTGCGATATCATGCATATACACTGCCGTTCAAAAGCACTCGATCACTCGTTACAGACACTATAAAACAGTAGGAGTTCGATTATTATTAAATTACAACTTCAAACGCGAGACAATTTTTTAGAAATAAAAATAAACGCCAAACGCACCGGTACAACACTGATGTTTTGATTGCTGCAGCATCGTTTTCCAACCAGAGATATTTAAATTCGTATAACATTACGAAGAAAATATGGTATCTGGCCGACTTGGCCAAAACAAAAGCATCGGGTTAAAAGTATAAATTATGGTTAAATTTAGAACGATCTTCGAGGGAAATATGAACATACAAAGACCAAGAATCGAACAGTTCTAAATAAATACAGTCTCGAACAATTAATGTACATTTTTTAAATGTAAATTTATAACTTTCAAATTGTTCCTTTTCCCTTAACGCTCGAATCCAGCCATAAAAGTTCAAGTTTAACGCGTATTTTAGTGTCAGAATATTTACAAGTGTAGAATTTGACTCGTGTACGAGTTTCGTGGAAACCATCTGATAGTAAAACTTTATGACGCGTAGCGTCGCGACGCATCGGACCATTAAGTGCCGTGGACCCATTGCAAAAAAGTACAGAGCTCAACGACAATACCGGTGTAGACAAATTGGCTGTTCAAGTATCATCCAACACTATTCTAATCGATAATTTAATTAACAAGATGTGACAGTGATGCGCAGTGTAATATTAACAAACATTCCGGAAATAGAAAATTCTTTGTTCGACAACGTAAGAAACGCGCGGAGGATTATATCATTCGCCAGCAAAGTGAGTCGAATTGTGTTTGGAAAATGTGGTGCTACGGTTGCTGAAACGTGACACGGGGCGCATGACGTTTTTGTATAAACGTTCGGGGCTCCCATGGACTCTGGTACACGTGCATGGTAAACAAGCTGCGTGGCACAAACGAAATTCGTACGAATTGTTTCTATAGTTCGACGAAAAGTGAATGCACCTTTCTGTCCGCTAATTTTAGATCCAACCGAGTGTAATCACAAGGGAAAAATTCTGTTAATAAAACGAAACTCTCTGATCATTACCAATGAGAGATAGAAAAATTAATTGAACGAATCGTTTCAATTTCACACAATAATAATACAAATTGTTTTCTCGAGTGCGAATGATGGTTATCTAATTGGTCGAGGGTTCTAAGATGCATTAATCATTATAGTGCATCTCTACACTCGATCGACGTTCTCAGACATATGTAACCTGCAGATATCTATGTTTCTATCGCATCGTTTGACAAATCAATTGAATTGTCACTTATTTCCCCGTTTAATCGTTCTCTGAAATAATTGTTTTAAATATATAATAGTGAACCTATTTTGGTAGTTTGTATACAATGTATAATGTGAGTTGGATGTGATACTTCCTTCCAATAGAAAAGAGCAGAATTTCTAATGAAACGAGATAGAATTACACAGATCAAAAGGATGTATCATGTCCTCTGAAAAACGCAAGAACTTTCTGCGGTACCTGATATATCAACCAGTATCAACCCATAGGTGTTTATATACTCCTATTACATTCTTTTGGCTAGTATTTCATTAGTACAATGATATAACGAGGTATCATGTGTAACGTAGTAAGGAAAACAGCCGCCTTCCTCACGCTTGGTTCAACAATCTACGGTTTTGCAATGTTTCACGGCTCTACGGAAGATCTGTAAGAGTTTGTATCGAATGAATGAAGAGTCAAGGGTAAAGAAGACGTTTGTGAGATCGCAATTGACGTGGTAGACGAAGGGTAGAGGGTGACAGGTACTCACTGAGACACATTGCCGGGTCGAAGGTTGGCTGGTATCTGGTACTCGGGGTGCAACACGCCTGTTCTGTTGAACTCCTGCACTCTGGTAGGTTTCTCGGACCCGAAGGGCCTGGGGCTACCGATCGTCCTGTATCCCTGCTGCTGCGACAGCCTGTCGCAGAAAGCGCAACCGGTGCCCCTGCGCGCGAACACTGACACAAACGCAACGAGGAAACCGACTTGGAAGCCGTGACGGAACATGACGGGGCCAGGAGCTTGGGAGTCTAAAGGACGACGGTTGACGCCGCGACGTCTGTCGTCCAGTGGCGAACGAGTACGACTGTGTGCCGAACGGTAGACGGGTGCCCAGTCAGCGAGCGAGGCTGCCGCTTGGGAAACCACACTGAGACGAAACGAAATAACCCCTCTTCGCTTCCTACCGAGGCGACTTCGTGTTTGCCCCATCTTCTGGAAGGAACCCTCACTCCTCTCCCCGGCCTCCGCCTCCTCTCCTTTGCTCACAACCCTGCCTCGTCCCCCCGGCGATCAAACCGTACTCGTTGTTATGTTTTGCCGTGCATGTGCCAGCGCGCGACCACGTGTGCACGTGACCCTGATTCGAGGGCATTTTTGCAGAACCGCCGCGTTTGAAGGAAGGGTAAGGGTAGTCCCTGGCAGACCTGCAAAAATATTTAATTTTATTCAGAAACAATGGCCCTGGATATGAGAATCCGAGTACCTTTTCTCTTGTGATTCGGAAGGAGGTCATCCGTGGACCTGGGGGGAACAATGGCGGTTAGCAAATTTAGATTGTTTACACTACGATAATGTATCTGTTACCGTTGGAACCGTCTGTAAGTTAATACTCTTAATCTCGCCGCGGCGACTTCGACAAAGAGGACCGATGCCTTTGTAATTGGGCCGCGTTCTGAGAAGGTGTCCGAGGTGGGAGCCACCCTTTCACGTGTCCAGTCCCGACCTAGACACTGAGACCAGTGACATCTTTTATTTTGAAAATCGTGTGTGTCAGCTATGGCATAGATACGAAAGAGGTAATTATTAATTCTCGTTGAGAGCGACGTGTACCGTGCTGCATAAGGTAAAACAACGGGACCTTCCTGTTTCGCCGGGGCGCAAGGAAAGAAGGAGCCGATATGGCGCGAAAGATCGTGCAGAAAGGGAAGTTATATACGGTACGCTGTATCTTGGACCAACCATGGGACGATGATGACAGCAGGTCTGGCGGGTGGCAGGCCAATAAATCATGGCCAGCAGTGTGGGAACCTCTGCCTATACGTTCCTCTCTCGCGTGTATGGGGTACGCCATTGGTAAAACCTTTACTCCCGTGAGTCGATCGCAGGGTGACCGTACGTCGTACCCGTGCATATAACTCTTTCTCCTTCTTTCTCCGCCTGGGTACGTTCTTTTTTGATTCCGCGCGCGCCTCTTACACACTATCAACCATGGCTGCGTTGCATCCATAGGTGTGTATCGCTATGAATCGTATTATATTGTTACCATCAAATGCATCCTACGTAATCAGTAACGGGCGAGGACCCTTCATCTTTCATTCTTCCACAGTCGGTGATCAAATTGTTAACTCGTTCCAAGTTTCTGCAACAACGGAATCAGATAAGCTTCTGCTTTACTGGCGATCGATGCACGCGCAGTTATTTCTGTAATGCGGAACCTTTGTTACATAACAGCGTAACGTAATTCATAAAGGAGACCACAGATTTCGAGAGGATCGTGTTCGCGATAGGAAAAAAACTTGCTCGAAGAAGCAAAACGACACGAGGGGCAAAAGTAGGGCTTCCCTGCGGTGTACATTTTTGGCCAGTTATCGGTTTTTTTGGAATAATAACAATCTTTTAGGTTAAACAATGTTCCTCTCTGTATCTGGTCACTTTTATGATAACAATTCTTCTGTATTTTCAGTTTAAATAGCTCCTTATAGAGCCTTATAGAGGGGTAAAAGTAGGGCTTCCCTGCGGTGTACATTTTTGGCCAGTTATCGTTTCTTTTTTTACAATCTTTTAGGTTAAACAATATTCCTCTCTGTATCTGGTCACTTTTATGATAACAATTCTTCTGTATTTTCAGTTTAAATAGCTCCTTATAGAGCCACATTGTTGCGAAATGAGTGAATATAGTGAAATCGGATCTCACACTGCTCACGATGCGGTCAGGTCTCTGGTGGACTCCCGGTGAATGGCACGAGCAACTTTGTACACTTTAATGCTTTGTCATCCAAGTCGACTTCGTTTTGTTTGGCTGGTGCGCTGAAAGAAATTGACGTTATCAAATTCCATCACAATGTTTCGATCAATGAATAAGTACAACAAGCTTTAAATACGTGGTCCAGAAATTTGTACCTTATAAATGGTAGATAATAATATAATATTGGTAAAGACTAGTTACGATATCTCTGATAAATATGTTAAAATTACCAAATCGTCTCGGGACGTTCACATGATTGGCCAACACGTGCCCGCAAGTGCGCGTCAATATCTTTCAATTAAGATAAAGGCGCATCATTAATCTTGTTAACAATAGTTGCCCACGGAATCAATTTATCTACCATCTATCACGCAATTTTTGCATTTTAAAAGGTTATTTTCGTTCGTTAAGAATTGTCTATCGAATGCTGACACTTCCTGCTTTATAACTATATAAACTTATAAACCATTCATATTATATGTGGTTCCAAATTCAAAACATTAACATATTTATCTTGAACAATACTTCTTAGATTTATTTAACGGCTATGGATAGTAGATAATAGATTTACATTTCTGAACACGTGTTCTCTAGCGGCTAAATATTACTTCATACACCGTTGAACAATTAATTCCGGGTAAATGTGTCAGGAAGGCAAGAAAGCTGCAAAATCGTTTCGAAACAAACTACAACGTAGCACTCTTTAATTTCAATCTCAGGAACATGAACTCCATTAACTTTTTTTCAACGACTTGTATGTTTCCGGCTTAATTGCCTTCTACTTTTATCCCCCCGGGGGACTGGTTATGGCAATAACGTGGTAGATGCGATATTGGATCTAAAGTTTCGATATTATCCCCCGGGTCAATCGCAATAAATAATCATTTTGCTTGAAAAAAAAGAGCCAGCCACTCCGGAGCAGTCAGTTTTTCGCCCCCCGATATGCAACGACGCTGATGATCTATAACTGCAACATTGTGGCCCATGCCATGAATCGGCAACTAATACACTTTTGGAGAACCGGTTAAAATCGGAGCAGATTGTCGCGATCGTACCATGAAATTGATAGCTTCCATATCTTTTACACGTACGATGCGATCGTTTAGCGAACCTGACGTACCCTGTACGCTTTATTTGCAATTTCAACGGCCAGACTATACATTTGACAGAATGCTACAAGTGGATTTGTAATTAACAGACTGCGAATCTTTATGCAAATTTTTATTAATAGAATTGATGAAATTGGAGCTTTGTAGAGGGTTGTCTCAACCCCCTACTTTAAGTATTTTTTATATTTTTGTATGTTAAATGCATTCTGTAGTTTTTTGAGGATCAAAATCCGCAGTCTGGTAATTAACGATAACAAACAGGGCGTGGCACGAAATTCTAGGCCCAATAAAGCCTTCAGGGTGTACAAAAAGATACATATGATAATTTGATACAAAAGACTTTGATAATTTTCACTGGATATATGAAAATTTCTCTATTATTAAATAATATTTTTGAATCGTATCAATTTCAAGATATTGCAGTCAATTTGTAATATTTAATTAAAAATTGAATTTTCTCTATTATTAACCAGTTAGCTGTGGCGCCCCCTTTCACGAGCGCGCACCTATATGTGTCGCCAAAATCGAGCGATGACGAGTATACTCGTGAATCACAGAGTAAGTGTTGCTGTTAAGATATTGGATCAAAAAGATGTGTTTATTTTATAAAATTGACACTTTTATTACTAATGCTTGGCCTCAAAATATTCTAAATCTTTTGAAATTTCAGAATATGTTTTGTTTTTCTCAAAAATTACAATTTAAATAACCAATGGTCACTACTTTATATGCATGACGAGTATACTCGTCAATACACAAAATCGTGCCATTTCTCCATGACGAATATACTCGTCGATCACAGTTAACTGGTTAAATAGAATTTTTTGGATCATGTCAGGCTATTTCATAAGAATTTCATTGTATATCATTTCAAGATATCGCTATAATCAATTTATATTTAATTAAAAATTGAATTTTCTCTATTAAATAGGATTTTTGGATCATAACGAACCAAGGAACGTTGTAGGAAAACGGAAGATTGGTATCTATGGACTGCTGCACCCCTGATCATTTTATCTGAAACATAAAATTGCTATAAGAAGCTAATCCGACCAGCGGCCGATATTATGTAGATATTTACCGATCGGTAAACACTTTTGCAGTAAACTGGCCGTAATAGAGAGCCCCCGGCGGTTAGCCGCAACTTATTGGAACAAATGACGTTAGATGTAGATGAGAAGGGCTCGAAAAGACTTACACCACAAGTTTTGCTTTACGTGTTTCGGTTCACCCAGGTTGATCCTTTTCTGGAACGAGGCAGAGAGCCTCGAATGTCAGGTTCCGATGATCCAGCTGAGTATCGAGTTTACACGTAACTCGCTCATATGTTGTCCCCCCCCCTCCTCCTCCTTTGCCCCCTCTTCCTCTCTCAGTCGCTCCTGTTCTTCTTCGCGCGGCGAAGACCTACTCTTGCGCTCGGTGGCCACCACCTCGTGATAGTGACCCTGGACGAAGGACCCGCCGACACCTTCCAAGTGTTACCGTATAACCGTGCAAGAAAATCTCACCCGGCCACGCGAGGTCCCTTTCGGGGCGCTCGGGTGTCACACTGGCAACCTGATATCTTATTTGGACCGTGTAAAAGTACACGCGTATGCATTATACGTATATTGCTCTCCTACGTTGCCCCATAACGCGACCCCTTCCAATTCGTTTCTTAGATTAACCTCGCTCGAGTTGAGTATTTCTCTGAACTTCCATTCAGGGGCCCACTTCGGTAATTTTACACCTTCTTCCCCCCCCCTCTATTGTATCTTCTTCCAACCCCCCCACGGTCTTTACGATCACTGTAAATATTTTTACCTAAAAAAATTCACAAAGTTATAATTCATTTTGTACTTTCAGATGCAGATTCATTGGGGGCCCCAGTTTGGTAATTTTACACCAACAAAATCCACCATTTTTCCCCCTCTATTGTATCTTCTTCCAGT